AACGGGCGCGAAAGATTTTCAAAGTTTAAGCTCCCAATCAAAAATTCACAATTCACAAAAAGCGCTTCGCCGTTAAGCGCACCGCACCCACCCCCCCCCCCCCCCCACTGAGTGTTATGTAGGGTACGCATATGCATGTTCCCTCCTTTTGAAAACAGCCCCTAAGTCCCGTGTGTAAAGTCAATACGGGCCGGATTTTTGTGTACTAGACGAGCCGGACTCTGGTGCATGAAAAGCACCCCTTTACCAGACAGTAACAATGAGTCTCCAAACAATAGCCAGATTTGATATCATATTGTGAGCATGTGCTTAAATAGTTATATCGGGATTCCCTGGTTATATTAAAGACGTGGGCTAATATCGTGTACCTGTTTGCCCATTATTTCTCCCTGATTGTTCGACCAACATTAAATTGCTATTGTCTTGCTGACTTTTCTATAGGCTTTTCTACCCTCGGCGCTAAAGGGATTGCGGGAAAATTTCAACACTATTTGTGTTTCTTGATGACCCAGTAAATTCCGTCTACTACTTGATACCAACACTTGCATGATGGATCCTTATTTAGACAGTGAGACAGTTCTGTTACGAGAAGCAATTCAACGAATTGCCATGGCTTGTATTTGTTCTAGAACGCACTACGCTCTTTCGATACCACATGGCCCCAATTCAGCACAATATATACGTATTTTAGTTCTTCTCAACAATGACCTAGATCTAAAACTGGCCGCGGCTGTACCCCCCCCCCCTTCTTAGCAAAGAAATATTCGATAAAATTCTTTGGAACAGAATGATAAACTAATTTCTTCTTGAGATATGTTCGAGGTGAAATTTCAAACATCATTTCCTGGTAACGCTCTTCTTTTTTAATGCATGCTCTATTCTTACGATTTAGGCATAATTTACTATGTTGATTTGCAATTGATAATCTCCCTGGGAGTTTTACGATATCCCCGATGATACGGGTACAGTGTATTTAATTTTGTTCGTAACATTTGCAAAGAAAGAACATTATGAAAATGAGCGTCTTCCTTCTAACGAAACATATTGATGATGTTCCCGACAATACGGATACAATTTGCATTAAAAAAAAAATCGTAAGACAGATAAAACGCTTTTTTTGGAAAAAAAACGACGTTCTTGATTAAGTATCATTTTCAACATCACGGATTTAAAAATACGTTCTCTAATTTTAAGAAGATTTAAAGGACCTTTGTATTGAAATAACAGACTGATGATATAATTATATGATTTATAATGATCATACGACAGAACTGTTTACAAGATACAACGAAAATTAAAGAAAACAAACAAGAAAACCGAAACATGCGATAACATCGCTATAAGGAAATATACACAAATTTAATGTAATATGAAACAAATAAAGTGTCAAAACATGCACGAGGAAAACAATGTCAGAGAGAGTGGGGTAAGTATAAAATAAATTATTTTTTTTTCGTGAAAAAATCAATTTGTATTACAATTGATATATTGTACACAATCATGAACAGAACAGGAGGAGGTGAAATAATGAACAATCATGCCAACGTTAACGCCTACAGAACTCCGATGTTGAGAGGAAAATAAACAATCAGAACAAACATTGTAACCAATGTCATGTACGTAAAATAATATTAAAACAAATCAGTACCCAAAGTAATGCTTTTCAGAGTCAAATCTCGCAAGACGAGAGCGACACACAAGCGGCACTACATGAATAACTAATGCGCCGGACCGGGCGCGAAAGGGTGCAAAAGCTATTCATAGTTTAAGCTCGCATTCACAAATGTCAAGTGCTTCGACGGGGCGCGCCCCGGCGGGGTAATTTCGTAACAATGAGACTCCAAACAATAGCCAGATTTTAATGAGCTGGAAACCAACTGGAGTCCTCTCGTATCCGATGCAAAAAGGCGCAAAAGGGCTCAAAAAGACGCCTCCTTTGTTCTCATATCCTGCTCTGCGCCCCGACGCGTCGCGGCACAATCGCAACTTTGGAAGGCTCCCCTTAGCGCATAATTTGTCTTATTCATACCCCTGGTAAATTCAATGATTTTATTTTTCCTAACTCCAATACCGAAAGGCGGACTGGTTAAATTAGGGCCTCTGTTCAATACTTATAGATGTAAGCTGTAATGTGTCTAATTTTCAAGAAACATAAATCAGGAAAAATCAGTTTTTTACATACTTAAAAATGACTAAACTTGGTAAGATATTAATAATTTAGCTGTTAACTGTATAAATCTGTTTTTTCTTTATGCACTTTATATTTTCATGTCAAATGTTTGTCATAAATCTTTACCTGGCTTATCCTTCATGCCTTTTGAAATTAATTTAGCCTTAACATTATTTTCCAAAAGTGTATGCCGACACTAGGTTGACTGTAAAAGAATTCCCCTTTTTCCTCTTGTTCAAAATGAGTCGCATTAAACGGTTAACGCACTCGAATCACCCTGCTTTATTCGCTGTTTCAAAGTATTTGCCAGTACTCGGTTTTCCGAAGTTGCGTCTGATTTTAGATGTAGACAGATTTTTCAAGATATAGGTGGTGTCGCTATAAAGGGGTTAATGGAAGGGGCCCCTCCAAATAGCGGTGAGAAAATTCGTATACAGTTACAAGTGAGTATTTGCATCCCTTATCCCTCATCCGATGTAATCTGATTTCTTATTAACTTCGTTTGAAAAAAAAAGTAATCTTAAATATCTTAATCGGATTATTGTAACTAACAAAATTATTCTGCCAGCGATTTTAAGCGATTTAACTAGCGGGAGAAAGCGTACTTTGGTTTCTGAGAACATATATACTGGTTATTAGGTGTGTTATTACCATAGCAACGATCCACAGAACGCCAAGGTGACTTTCACCATGCTTTGAAAAACTCGAAATATTAGGTCTAGAACGAAGGAATATCCATAAGATTTGTTTTACAATTGGGTTAACAGACATATCAAAACATGGCTGAAAGAAAAGCAGCAAATAAGCCTTCTGAGGTTGGTAAAGCCCTTCTGAACGCAGCTTTAAATGGCCATATAGATGTAGTTGAGTACCTCGTTGGTCAAGGAGCACAGGTTGACGGGGGTGATTCGTCTGGTTGGACAATACTTCAAGCGGCTTCAAAAAATGGTCATATTAATATAGTTAGGTACCTTGTTAGTCAAGGAGCACAGGTTGAGAGGAGCATTATACCTGGTGAAACACCACTTCTATTTGCATCAATGAATGGTCATCTTGACATAGTTCAGTACCTCATTGGTAAAGGAGCACAGATTGATAAGCCTACTAATAAAAGTCTGACACATCTTTACTGGGCATCACAGAACGGTCATCTTGACGTAGTTGCGTACCTCGTTGGTCATGGAGCACAGGTTGAGAGAGGTGATCCATTAGGTTGGACACCACTTCATGCTGCTTCAAAAAATTGTCATATTAATGTAGTTCGGTACCTTGTTAGTCAAGGAGCACAAATAGATAGGGGCAATAATGCTGGTGATACACCACTTTCTCTCGCATCATCCAATAGTCATCTTGACGTAGTTCAGTATCTCGTTAGTCAAGGAGCACAGGTTGAGAGGGGCAATAATGACGGTGAGACACCACTTATTGCTGCATCAGGCCATGGTCATCTTGATGTAGTTCCGTATCTCATGAGTAAACAAGCACAGCGGAAAGAAGCATCACCTAAAGGTATGATTCGCATTTTTACAGTGATCACTATTTTATGTCAAAAATGAAAATACTTTAATATAGCGACAAAACTGCCATAATGTTTTAGTTTTGAGTTGTTTTTATCCTTTACTTTTTTTTCAAAGGTATTTGTTAAAAATTTCCTTAAATAGGCAAATCATCATGCCAGTCAATTTACCGGCATGGCCCATAGCCACTTGTCTGTAACAAATTGGTAAAATGGCCGCTTCATCCAATATATATATTTCTTTTCATTCTGGTCCCATAAACATTTGGTCTTTTATAATTTGGTCCAATTGCCTTTTTATCTAATATCTATCTAAACCAAATTAGTCCAGTTTCCATTTGGTCCAAGCATCATATTCCCGTCTGTCCATAATTTAATTTCGTGTAGGCCTATACTGATTCCTTCTAATCCCATTTCGTCTAATAACCATATGGTCTAATCATCATTTGGCCATAAATATCATTTTGTATAATTGCCAATAGGTCTATTTTCCAGTTTTGTCCATTACTGTTAGCCCTTTGTCTAAATGAACGATTATTAGACATGGAAATGTTTTTTGTTAACCAAGAAGGAACTTATAGGTTCCATTATAGTTTAACAGTATTCTGTAATAATATTCGGATTAACTTTCTTTGTTCTTGCTGATGTTGACAGTGCTTCCAGGGATGGGGGATGGGTAGGTCAGGCCAAATAGCTGCATATTCTAACAATAAATTATGGGTCTTGTTTCATAAAATGTGTTATCAATAACAAATGCTAACCTTCTATGACCTTCAAATGCCATGATTGCAGAAGCTTGTAATTGTAACAGTTATTGTAACTTGTTATTGATAACGAGTTTTCTGAAACACAGCCCTGATCCGTGTGCTACTATACCCCCGAGGCTCCTTGCAAACTCGCAACGAATTTAATTTTTAAATTCAAACTTTGTTGAAGATTTGGATTATTCAATTTTTTCAATTAAATTCAATATATTTCTCCACAAATGTTAAACATAGGGAAATACATAAAATAAAATACATACATACAATACAAAAATAGAACATGTACATCATATATAAAACGACCCCATATGGAACAATGTATGTTTTAAAAAGAACAAATCAGCAAATGTAGAAGGGATAGTCAACAATCAAAAATGATTTGTTGAGGACTACCCCCAATAAAAAATAAAAAAATCAATAGTAAAAGTATTTATAAAATCAAATGATGAGGTGGTACCAATGGATAAAATGTTATTGGACGAAATGATGCTAGACCATACGAAAATTGGACCAAATGTTAATTAACACCTATGTTTCTGTGTCTATATAGGGTCTGGAAGTGTTTCAGAGGCGTCCACCGCGATGGCATCAATGAGTTTGAAAGTCTTTACTAATGGCATTGTTTATCAGGAAGGTACGAAACTGCAATACGCCTTACTTATATACTAACAAATTAGTCTAAAAAACACTAGATTATTTATGACAAGATATCTGAGTGATAACAAATTGATAAAACTTCGAATCTATACTTTTTGCAGTAAAGGCTTGATTTGGTATGAATTTCACACTGAGCAAAAAGAGGGAAAAAAACGTTTTAATTTGTTTTCCAAAAGTTAAAACACAATCAATGGGATCAGTGCACAATAATAGTCGCCATAGCGTATTGAGAGAGATAGTTGTGATCGAGCACACGTACTCAAAACGGCTCCCTCTCACATACAATAGGGACTTTTAGATTTGCACGTCGACATAGTGGACTGCTACGTGTGACACTGGCAGTGCCTTAAAAGGACGTCACACGTAGCAGTCCACTATGTCGACGTGCAAATCTTAAAGTCCCCATTTATATGGAAAGGAAGTACTTCAGCATTCCATGACTTAAAACTTGAGTGCGTACGCGTTCGCGTGTCACAACCATCTCTGTTAAAGAGAAGGTTGAGTTCTGGGGTGAGGTGAAAATACATTTTTGAGCATTTCATTGTTATTATGCAAGTAAACATCAGAACAAAATGCTCCCTGAAAAACATGGCTCTACAAATACCTTCATATTACTCACTGACGCGCGACATGGATTCCGCAAAACTGATCTTGTGTCTCGTAACTTACTTTTGCCGTTCAAGATCTTGCCAAGGTTATAGACAACAGGGAGCAGCTTGGTGTCATTCTTCTAAATGTTGCCAAGGCCTTGGACGAGGTGCCACATGGTAGGCTCCTTCATAAGCTTGACTTCTACAACATACGAAACTCTAACCATGCATGGATAGCTGACTTTCTTCGTTATCGTACGCAGCAGGTAGTCCTTGAAGAACCGTCTCTACCAAGTTCCATGTGGCATCTGGAGTTCCGCAGGGTAGCGTCGTCTGCCCAATGTCATTTCTGCTGTTTGTTAATGACCTGCCTAAGTACCTGTATTATGACACCACTGTTAGACTCTTTGTAGAAGACTGCCTAGTCTATCGCAATATTGGATCAGAAGATGAAAGTACACACCTCCATGAAGACACCAACTCACTGGAGCGAAGGGAAGACGACTGGATAATGGAGTTTAACCCGAAGAAATACCAGGTCCCCCATGTTTTTAACAAACGCATTCATGGACACACTCTGGAGAATGCAGACACAGCAAATATCTTGGAATCTAACTACATAAGAAGCTTAGTCGGAATGACCACATCCACCAAGTAATACAAAAAGGCTAATTCCACCCAAGCCTTCCTCCAAAGAAACATCAGATCATGCCCACGTAAATTCAAAGTGCTCTGCTACCTAACCTTGCTTAGACCAGTCATGGAATACAGAAGCATCATCTGGGATCCCTTCACCCAAGCCAACATCATTAGATATGATCCAAAGGAGATATGCACGCTTTGTGTGCAATGAACATCACAGAACGAGCAGTGTTACAGCCATATGCTCGACCAACTACAGTGACCATCTCTGCAAGAAAGGTGAGGCTTCGCAAAGAGCCCATGAACAGAAACTCCAAGTGCCATATGCTCGGACACAAGTACTGCAAAAGAGTTTCTTTCCTGATGCCACCAGGCTCTAGAACTCACTACCCAGGCCGCCGTCACCTGTACCTCTCTCCCAAACTTTAAGTGAGTGGTACTCGAGATCCAGCTCCGTTATACTACGGATGTCTTTTTAGCTGCACAAAATTCTGTGTAGGCCTTTTATTGAGCCACTATATATACACCTGCACAGCACCTAGATCAGTACTATGAGAATACACCAGTCGGTGGCCTGTACTTATAGCGAAGAAGAAGAAGAAAAATGTGGGCCTCATGTTCATGCCACATGTTTGTGTAGACCGGCCCATATTCATCTTTATGTGTACAGTGCCTGTTACCTTAACCAAGACTGGGCCAAATTCATGATCATTTAGATGATTCCAGAACCTTGCATTACACGCATATACTAATATACTAATATGCTACATTATATTTTTTTCTGATCGATTCTAAACTGCTTATTTCACAATGCAATCGCATGACCAGAACTCAACTTTCTTTTTATTACGCTATGGTAATCGCTCCGTCGTTCCATGATAAACATTTCCATTGTAGCCTTTCTTGAAGAAATCACCACTTATAAAGTGATCAAAGCATGCAACTCGTGATATTGTATCGTATGTAAGCTGTCTACTGTATGAAACAACTAAGCATTTGTCCAATTAAAAGTTTCTAAATTATTCAACCCCTCAACATATCACTAATTTCAAATTAGGATTTTTTTTTTATAGATTTCAATGAACTTAAATTTATTTGGTCACTACGGTGTCTGGTGAAGATAGGATTTACTAAGTTACCTTTTTTTCATTGTAGAAGCAGAGAAGGTGACGAACGAACATATCAAGAACTTATCAAAACTACTCGGTATAAATCATTTCGACCCCATTTGCGAAGCCTTTAGCTTTGATCGCAAAAGCTCTCTGAACCTCTTAGATTCGCACGATTCCAATTACAGTAAAACCTACGAGCACCTACTGAGTGGATGGAAATTGGGAAAGACCCTGAAAGACCTGGAAAACTCTCTGGAGACATCAGGAATAATATTAAGATCGGATTACAAAATTATTTATGAATTTACTTGACAAACTTTGAACAGGATTGCAACTACTTTCTAAAATTCAACACAATGGCAATTTCAATAGCCTACTGTATATCATACAGAAATCATGTTCGTATTACGTAATACGTCATTTTAATGTTCGTGTATTTCCAGAGGTGATAGACGAGGCTTTTAAAACTGTTTGAAGTTGGCGGTCTCATGCGTTAACAGATACTGTTGATAATAATATTACAATTTCTCATATGTGTGTTTCCTCATGTGTCAAAAACTATTTTTGTTAATATCTGGAAATATATCTCTAATAATATTCAATTATTCCGCTTACATTATTGAGTGCAGATTTTGTTTAAGGATTAAGTCGATTTTCCGAAAGTAGTTGCGATCTTGTATTCATAATTGATCTCATATTAATTATTGATTGCCATTGTTGTATACATGTACCTTATAGATGTTAGCTGTATGCGAATTCTTAACATTAATTTGATTCATGTTCATACCTTCTTAACCTGTAAATCTAGTATCGTTCAACAAATATTTGTAATGTAATTTCTTGTGACCGAATTGTACATAGGCCATACTGATTTAAGAGGGTGTGATAACATTTAATCAGAATGTATACTCAAGTTTAAAAGGAGTGTTATAAATCTACTTCTATTTTGATTATCTACAATCTATAACAAAAAATCTACTGAACATTGAGGTAGGTTTTTAATAAGGGCCTACCTAACAACCTTTACATGTAGACATGTTTGAAATCAACATTTATTTGACTGTGAAAGCAAATGGTCAATACTAACAGTGCCTTACTCACATAGTATTACAAATTTCTTATCTTGTGACAAAATTGTACAGACTTTTTTAAAGTCACACTATTACTTAGTTTTAAAGATTATTATTTTATAGTTTTAAAGATTATTTCCTCTTTTTTCGCTACGTTTTTATTTTAGGTATTTACATTGTAACTAGCTTCTATAGGCCTGTATTTGTACAGACTAATTTCAAGACAAACCGGTGATGAATTTATTCCGTATCCAGCATAATTCATAATTTCATTATGTTATTTTTCTAAAGGGGTAGGCTTTTATATAAGGAAACCCTCCTTTCTGCCTATCACAAGTGCTCTCATAAATTGCCATTGTTATTCGTTTTCACTATCTTGTTTGTTTATCATTCCATTCTGTATTTGTATGTTTTAAATGTTTTCATGAAGAGTGTTGAATAAACTTTTAATTGAATATATATATATATATATATATATATATATATATATCTAATTAGAAGAGCTATGGATTTCCATACATTAGTATGTAATAAATGAATTGTTATATGTACAGCGTAAGTCAAAACAAGGAAACACAGACTTAATTCTATAAATAATACGAGTGCAAATTGGTATTGTAAATATCTTATCTTGTACAGAATTGTACATAGTCAATGTAGACTATTCTAAAATGGTTTAGAAAGGAGATAATGATGTTAGTTTCAGTGACATTATCATTTGGTTCTAAAGGTTCTTATTTCAGATTTAAAGATTATTTTTTTTTTTTTTTAACGCTTTCACTTCAGTTATTACATTGTATATTATTTCTTTACACGTAGGCCTATATTTGTGTACAAATTAATGTTATGATAAACCGGAGTTGTGTTTATTCCATATCAAAATGTCATTAGGTAATTTGTCTATGTTTAACTAATGACATATGTACAGCGTGAGTCACAACAAGGAAACCTAGATTCAATCCTATAAATAACACGACCGCAACCTTCTTTAGAAAATTCAACTCAAAGGAAATTTCAATACCCTAGTGTATGTCCCATGGAAATCATGTTGAGCTTAATACGTCATTGTCATGTTTGCACATTCCAATAGGTGACGCACACGGCTATTGTAATGGCCTTAGGTTAATATTTTCTTAAGTAGTTGCTATCGTATTAAATATTGATGCAATCACAACATAGTTATATATTTAGTCGGTAATGCACAAGTTGCAGTCTGTCGTCTTTTCTTTATTTGTACACATTGATCAATACAATCACATGGACAGCTGAACAGTAGCATGTCTCTTTTGACTCTGCCCAAGTTTTTAATGAAATAAATACTCAACCCGAGAAATTTAATTGAATTGTATTCATTCCAATTGAATAAACTCATATAATAATAATGCAAGTATCTTGGGCAAGGAATAAGGAATTTTATAAAGATTTTTGAAATGATTAGTCACTAGAGGGCGATATTGAATTTGATGACATCATTTGTGGACAACTCTCCATGTCTTCTGTACATCAAATTTCATGTTTTTCCTTCTTTCTTGTGATTGAGATAATCTACTCCCCTGAAAGCAAGGCATAGAATGCTAAATGATATTCTACTTACATGTTATGAAGTCGGATCAAGAACACAAATAAATACGAAGAAAACGAAAGAATTCTGAAATTTGATGTACAAAAGGAGTTTTTCACAAAATGATGTCATCAAATTGAATATCGCCCTCTAGTGACTAGTCATTTCAAAAAGCTTTAGCTTCCTTATTCCTTGCCCGATTTTGTTCAAATTTTCACTGATTTATTCAAATATCTTAAACTTTACAATAAAAGTAACTTAGTATGAAGGTTTTGGTTTCCTTTAAATACGATTGAAACAGGTATCTATATATTTATACTTATCAGTCTGGTGCTATTCGATTGTGGGTTTAGTTCTCTTTCTATACTTAGGGATTTTAAGGTGTGAATTCTTATTCTTATTCGTATCCAATGCTATACATCTTAAAGTAAAAATTCCTAAAAGCGTACATTATTAAAAAGATCATTTCATGGATGTCAAAATATGCTGCGAAAATATATTATAAATTAAAAATATATATATATATATTCTCTTGTAAATAAATGATATAGAGTGTTCTAAAATGGTATGAGTTTAATACAACAAAATAACGCTGGTATATCCTATTCCTGAGAGGTGCCTTTCTTCCTAAAATAAAAGTTAATGATTGGAACTGAAATCCATCGATTCATATTTTCTGTTATAATCACCGATGGTCGTGTGTGGTTGATGTACGGGGGAGACTAGAGCCTCGTACACAATTAGAGAGAAAACATTGAGAGAGACTGAGTGTTAACATGTATTTACGAAAGCAGTGAGACGATTTCCGTAAGAGTTATCCTGAAGCGTACATAATTATTGTTTTCATAATTTCATGGAAGTCAAGGTTTGATTATGGTTTGGAATCAAATGATCATTTTTCGTTTTATTCAAGTCATGCTTGCATGTAATCAGAACATTTTCAGTTTGTTTCCCCACAAATATGGCTCAAATGGATTTGTACATGCCATTTCCGATACAATAGTGCTCAGTAAAGCGTGTAATGAATGGCTGTGATAAATATATCATTTAAAAGCACCCCGGCCCCTGGATACGTCACTGATGTCTTTCCAGTGTTCATGCATAACGATGAAAATATTTTTCTTTACATGCTTTTCAATTCTTCCACAAAAGCTCTCCTAGGTTGAAGTTCAGACTATAAGCCAGACAATTGACTTTATTTCATTCGATTTTTTCTTCTCTTCAATCAATAGCAGGTAGTGCCTGAATTGCTTACACCGGGTATTACTTTAGCGGAGCGATAAAATCCCACATCTAGGCAATTTACATAGAGAAAGCAAGTTTGATCTCACGGTGGGGATCACAAGGTTTAAAATGTTTGTGTCAATATGACATTAGAGTCGTCATTAAAGTAATTTTAAGCGAAAGAGGGTGTCCTTACTGTATTGTCCATGAATAGAAATCCAACCTTCATAGTAAAGAACTTTCATAGAAAGCAGAAAAATCAGGGAAGCAGACAAGTGAAAATTGGAATAAAATAGGACAAAAACTAACATAGATTTGACTTTTGGAAAGTTGTAATCAGTTAACGTATCTCAACTTAAACATTTTATGAATCGGTAATGTCTCTGTAATGCAGTGCCAGACAATTTTCTCATTTATTCCAAAACACAACATTCATAAAATATAGATTCATCTCTCAAAAAGGAATGTCTCTGGATGGTCTTTTTCCTTTTAGAGGATCTATCATAATAAGCTATCTATAAAAGGCCTATATTTTGAGTAGTGACCCAAGGGAGACAACAATTAGAACAAACAGCAATTAATGATATTTTTGTACACGACAAACGGGAGTATTGTTAAGACTACGTAAAAATCCACTGACAAAATTGCCAATTTGAGAATCGCATAGCTACACTGATCTCATATTTCAAACATTAATAACTCTCCTATTATTAAGCTGATTGATTTCTAACTTTCGCCATTCTGTTTTCTTATTTTGTTTCACTTTCATACAAATGGACAAGTTACAAAGATAGGAGTGCCCTAATTAACCGTGTGCACATGACTCATGCTCCGGTGACCATTGCCCATAGGTCAATATCGTACACTAACTGAATTTCTAACTTTAAATATTAGATTCAAGATTCAAATGATTTTATTTCCCATGCAAAACATAATACAATAACATTGCAATGTTATTTGCAATTATTCCCAAACATGGCCCTAACTTTTTTTGAAATATAGCTTTGATAAAATGAAACGTCTCGGTTTGGAGTAATGTGATCGGAGTAAAAGAAATGTTTCACAGGGAACAGGTAAAAATGCCAGAGGTCAACATTTCAGAGGTAAACATTTCAGAGGTAAACATTTCAGAAAGTAAAAACGCCAGAGTTTTAAATGCTAGACGTAAATATGTCTCATTATTATTTATCGATTGAATAAACTTTGAATTTTTAACTATTTTGTTTGAAAGTATATTCGGAGCAAGTTTGAATACTGTACGACAAGCTGTTTTCCAACCAAGCGAATTGTTTGAAAAAAAGTATCAGACAGAGTTCCCTATGTTACTTTTGTCAATAAAGTAATGTGCCGCCCTCTTGTGGAGTTGATTAAGATTGTCATAGTTTGTATCATTTCTCCCTGCCCATTCATTACAGAAAAACAGCATGTGGGGCATGACTAACCCAGTATACCTGGGATAATTGAAATAAAGAAAATACTGTTTTCAGTCTCCTTATAACACCTGAGTTATGTTTAACTTCATTCGCAACTAGATTATCTATCGCTAAAGACGGCTATCTTTAAAGATAAAGTTGAGTTCTGATCATGCAATTGCATTGTGAAAAAACGGTGTGGATTTGATGAAAAAGGTTGATCATGTAGCATACAGGTATTGGTGTGTACTGCAAGGTTCTGGAATCATCAAAATGATAGAAAGTTGGCCCAGTCTTAGAAAAGTTACAAGCACTGTACAAAGAGAGATGTGTATGGGGCTACACGAACATTTTGGATAAAAATCCGTCCCGATTTTTATGTTGTTATATGCCATATTTAGAATATGAAAGCATTTGAAGAGCCATGCTTTTCAGGGAACATTTTGTATCTGATGTTCTTCGACACTTGCATAATAACAATGATGATGCTCTTCCCAGAACTCAAGTTTCTCTTTAAGGTTCTGAACTCGATATATTTTTGGGGATCTGGAAATGCTCGCGCGTTTGCGCATACTTTGGCTGCTCCCCACCCCGTTTGGAAAATCCTGGATCAGCCTCTGCTATTTACCATTCCATGTTTTGCACTTGGCAAACACACCGCTTTTGTAACCACTTATTTTATTATTCATTTTTAAGAAATAGCTATGCTCGCTTGGATTTTTACATTACTATTTGCTTCTGAAAATTGACAAACTAGACATGCAATGTATCGGCATCTTCGCCCGTGTGTGGGTTAAGTTTGTCTTCACATGCTTAATGATTGGTATAGGTCTTAACACATTCAAAACAAACCTCATCTGCTGCTTCAGATGATCTTTCTTCCGCTTTATGACACATTATGGCCAACTCAGCAAAATGCTTACATCGTCATGATATCAAGTCTATCATATGACGTTGTCAATATCAATATTTAACCATCAAAAACGAACTTTGGCCATACTGTTAAGTGATATCAGGTAATATTTATTTTAATTTGCACTTTGGTCATGATTTGAAATATGTAACTAGTGGCACTGACACCCCGTTGATGTTTATCATACCCAGACACGTCATGCACGTAGGCCGTCACTATCTGAAACGTTTTGTTATTTTCCGACATTTTCTTAAGACAAGGAGAAAGGACAAGTCTCTTCTCTGTGGATTAGTCACGGGACAAGAATCAATTTTGGACTATTTCATAGGCAGTATAACCGACAGGTGAATGCAAGGCAAACCTGCATGTTACCTAGACGAAGGTATGTGTATTTACAAATAATCTGTTTTCTGTATAAATGAGATGAAAATGATTAGAAGGCCAATCCGACCGAGGAAAACCGATTACAGTCAAATACTCGGAAAATAATAACTATTATATGAACACATTGTTCATTGTGTGGTGGTGTGAACAAAAGGCACTAGGAAATTAATTTTGTTAATATATTTATTTCATATATTTCTCATTTGGAAGGATCTTTACGTGACTTATCCTACATGGCTTTTGAAGATAATTTAACCATAACATTATTTTCCAAAAGTCAATGTCGACACTAGGTTGACTTTAGAATATTTCCCCCATTTTTCACGTACCCACTTTTTTCACGTATCTATTTTAATCTTTATACCATGCTTGTATTGAATTTATAGGAAATTTGTAAACAATTACAGCTGTATTTCTGGAAACTTGTGCAATGTGTTTATAGATTTAAGTTACAGAATATAAGTCTTAATTTGATATTTCTATTTTTTTACATGTATATATTTAAAAGTGTTTGTTAGAAAAGCAATGAACTTGGAAATTCGGATATAATATAAACCTACTTATGGACAGTCTTTCAAGAAGTTCGAAGTCAGTATTCATCATTTTTTCTTTAAATATGGAGAAGAATGCATTTTTGGGAAATTCATAATTTGGGGGGAAAGTGCACAAATTCAAAGTTATGGCTCAAAGTTATTATGCAAATTGTGCTCAAACTTTTTGAATGTAATACTTTCTTGTGGGAAATGTAATTCTTTTATGTATGACACCCCACACATGATAACACGAAGCTCCCTTAAAGGGACTTGGTATAAAACATTGTAAAGATGAGAGTAAATGGTGCTAAGGTAGTGACTTTAATGCTAGATGTACAATTAAAGATAATCTGAAAGTTTGAGAGAAAAACCTTAATTCTCCGAACAATATAATTACAATTTAATTACATTTTAGGTGAAGTTAGATCGTCACAAAGCAACGAATTGGCTCTTTATACCATTCCAGACTTTTAAGTGTTGACAAATTTTTAAAAGCCTGTTTTTTGTCATATTTTCATGGAAAAACGGTTAGGAAAATTCAAAAATGGTTAGGAGAATTTACTGTTAATCACTGCTAGAGGGTGTTGACCAGTGACGCCTTCTTAGAAAAACCATTAATATATTTGTGCTTTGACAATTTTTAAAGGATTTTTTGCATGTTAGAGGGCTAGAACAGTAGAAGGAATATAATAAGTAACATTTCATACCTAAATCACACAATTTTTCAATCAACTTTCAACAATGTTACCGAGTCACTTTAAAAAGTAATTTTCAGAATCGTTCAACAGTCGTTCAACATAATTTCAAGGTAGTCCACCTATAAATTGTGCTGGGAGATGCCCTGAACACGTTGAAACCCAACGACATTTGACAACATTACATGTCTGAAAATCCTACTTTGCCCTACGTGATAAATAGTCAACCATGCATATTTTTCTCTATTTACGTACTTTTTCATTTTTTCTATCAAATCGTAGATGAGGTCATGATAATGTACTGTCAGAACGATGTTCTCCAAAACAACACCCGTTTCTCAAAAAAGTATCCGCCATTTTCTCCATGACTGTTCCATCGGTTAATTTGATCGGGAAACCTATGTGTAATATACCATCAAACACAAGGTAACTTATTCGCATAAAAAGCAAAATAAAAAATAGCGTTTTATCGTGGAACAATTTTATGCGCTGATTTGTAAACTAATTGTACAATCTACAGTTTCATTTTGGATGAGCCCTGGCACGTTGGTTTATGTGAAGGAAATCGGACAAATAAAGTGGAGCTATCAAACTTTTGCAAACAGCGCCAGGACTTTTCAATACGGATTCTTTTAATCATGAAATTGGAATTATGCTCGCAGGTATTACTTTATCACGTTAGAACTATTCCTTTGCCGTAATTTTCAAAGCATGATCATCAGTAGGCTTCAAATAGTTCAAACCTGGAGGGTAGCAGGGGAAAATATATCTCTCAGGCTGTAGAGCGAATAACTTAATTGACATTTTTAGTCTCTTCCAAGAACGATTTACAGAAAGCAAATGTGACTTTGGGAAACACGAAACGAACGAAGAAATATCCTTCATATTTGCTTTCAATTGGCACCATAGACAGAGCCAAGCATGGCACAAAAAGCAGCAAATGAGCCTAATGAGGACGATACATCCCTTAACAAGGCAGCCTTTAAGGGTTATCTTGATGTTGTTCGGTATCTCATTGGTGAAGGAGCACAGGTTGATCAGCCTAATGAAAACGGTGTGACGGCTCTTCACTCTGCAACACGCACTGGTCATCTTGATGTAATTAAGTACCTCGTTGGTGAAGGAGCTCAGATTGATCAGCCTAATGAAAAGGGTGCCACACCTCTTCATTATGCATCACGCAATGGTCATCTTGATGTAGTTAAGTACCTCATTAGCCAAGGAGCAGAGGTTAACAAGGGTGATATTCTTGGTCACACACCTCTTTCCTATGCATCAATCAATGGTCATCTTGATGTAGTAAAGTACCTCATTAGCGAAGGAGCAGAGGTTAACAAGGGTGATAATGATCGTCGGACACCTCTTTCCTATGCATCAAGCAATGGTCATCTTGGTGTAGTAAAGTACCTCATTAGCCAAGGAGCAGTGGTTAACAAGGGTGATATTCTTGTTCGCACACCTCTTTCCTATGCATCACGCAATGGTCATCTTGATGTAGTTAAGTACCTCATTAGCCAAGGAGCAGAGGTTAACAAGGGTGATATTCTTGGTCACACACCTCTTTCCTATGCATCAATCAATGGTCATCTTGATGTAGTAAAGTACTTAATTAGCCAAGGAGCAAAGGTTAACAAGGGTGATAATGGTCGTCGGACACCTCTTTCCTATGCATCAAGCAATGGTCATCTTGGTGTAGTAAAGTACCTCATTAGCCAAGGAGCAGAGGTTAACAAGGGTGATAATAATGGTCTGACACCTCTTCACTCTCCATCACGCAATGGTCATCTTGATGTAGTAATATACCTCATTTATCAAGGAGCAGAGGTTAACAAGGGTGAAAATAATGGTCTGACACCTCTTCACTTTGCATCAAGCAATGGCCATCTTGATGTAGATAAGTACCTCATTAGTCAAGGAGCAGAGGTTAACAAGGGTGAAAATAATGGTCTGACACCTCTTTCCTATGCATCAATCAATGGTCATCTTGATGTAGTAAAGTACCTCATTAGCCAAGGAGCAGAGGTTAACAAGGGTGATAATGATCGTCAGACACCTCTTTCCTATGCATCACGCAATGGTCATCTTGATGTAGTTAGGTACTTCATTAGCCAAGGAGCAGAGGTTAACAAGGGTGCAAATAATGGTCTGACACCTCTTCACTATGCATCAAGCAATGGCCATTTTGATGTAGTTAGGTACCTCATTAGCCAAGGAGCAGAGGTTAACAAGGGTGATAATGATCGTCAGACACCTCTTTCCTATGCATCACGCAATGGTCATCTTGATGTAGTAAAGTACTTCATTAGCCAAGGAGCAGAGGTTAACAAGGGTGATAATGATCGTCGGACACCTCTTTCCTATGCATCACGCAATGGTCATCTTGATGTAGTAAAGTACCTCATTAGCCAAGGAGCAGAGGTTCACAAGGATGCAAATAATGGTGTGACACCTCTTCAGTATGCATCAAGCAATGGTCATCTTGATGTAGTAAGGTACTTCATTAGCCAAGGAGCAGAGGTTAACAAGGGTGATAATGATCGTCAGACACCTCTTTCCTATGCATCACGCAATGGTCATCCTGATGTAGTTCAGTATGTCAAGAGTGAACAAGCAGAGAGAAAAGAAGCATCAACTGAAGGTATGATTCACATTTTAACATGGGCGGCTATATCATTTCAAAAAGCTTTGTTTTGAATAGGGACAGAGCTGTCATTATATTTCGTTCTTTAACAATTTAAAAGGTATTAGTTAAAATATCCCCATATAAATGTATACCATGTAATTTTTGTCCTTAATGTTTTAAAGGATGTACTTTTTATTCCGCCTTACCCAGATTGTAGAACAATATTCAGCAAAATGTCCTGATCCATCCTATAACTAAATGAATTGTAATCAAATTACACGCTATATTGCCATTTAGTGTAATACAAAGTTCGTCCAATTCTATTGGACCGTATTCTTAAGTCAGGTACAGTTAAACCCGGGTTTAACTAAACCAGACTTCGGGTCTAAGTTTCATTTCAGTTTCTGAAAGCCAGGTTTAGTTAAACCCGGGTTCAAGTCTAGTCTAAAATTAAACCCAGGTTTAAAGTTAAGCCAAGGTTTAACTGCCATGGATATGTAGTCTGCTTCTAATGCACATGCTCAGTGCAGCTGACCACCCATCTTCCAGGGTAGCTGCTAGCTGGATTCCGTGCTACAAATGTATATTCAAAATACTTGACACAAAAAATCTCTTTCGAAGCAACCCTTGAACGTTATGGCGTGATTTGTTTATATTTTTTAATACTGACAGTTTTGCTTTCTGTGGCAGGCCAAATTTGTGTCTTTATTCTGACGTATTCGATGTGTTTTCTTGATCTTCATTATTAAAGATGATACTGATAATAACGAGGGAAACGACGACCAACTGACATCTCTCAAACATGACTCGGGGAGCAATCGGGATGATATTCCCTTCGGTGGTCTTTCGGCACCGCCTGAGATCCTCGCTCGCGGGCAGAGAGCACGGCGAGCGTATTTGGAAGCAGCTCAAGCTGGCACGAAGAAAGTATTCCGAACGCGCCTGATGCTTGTTGGTCAAGAACGTGTTGGAAAGACAAGTCTAAAGAAAACTCTTACAGGACAAAGGTAATCTCTTTATTACCCCTTTATCTCTTTAAACAAAATTCCCCCGCTCTCTCTTTATTGTTCCCCGAGTATCTGCCTCTGTATTGTGTATTTCTTCCATTCACTTGAAAACAAAACAGACAACTTTATTACCAGTCATGTTGACTTAACATTTTCTGTTTGGATACATGAAATCTTTGTACAGCATAATAAAGGGCCAGGTAGCAAGATGATTTTATCTTGTTTATTCTGACTTCTCGGTAATGAAAATAGAGATTCCTCTTCCTTTTTTAATCGCATTTATCTCATATGTTCTCTTTTGTTGGTCATAGAATCATTTTTAATCAGTGAAAATGTACATGTATTATACATTGTGGTCGTTTGTGATAAAATTTGTGAATGTGCAAATTATGTCTACCATAGTGTGATTACTCTGATTTGTATTCCATGTTTATAATCGTGATGTCATGTCATGTCTATCATTCAATGGGCTATCCAATTTTTATTGCAAGTTGCTTTGAAGGAAATCCGGTAAACAATCATGTGATGTCGTGTACGGCAACTTCACCATTGTGGTACAAAATAAATGTGATATAATTTGCCAATATGAAATTCGATTCAGTTAAATAATGGCTTATTAGACCACATGTTACACGACAATAAGCCGTGATTACACATAATAAAACAAATATTCAATATGCCGGGATCTATGAACAGTAATACACATTCATAAGATCTTATCGAATGTAGATGCTAGTTGTTGCTGGATACATACAAAATACATTATCAAAGTTATAGATATAAAGCACATACTTGAAAAGGATCAGAATAGTATAGATGTATATGTATACTGCATATGATCTCTGTCTCTCTCTTTCTCTTTCTTTCTTCTTTACTTGAAGTACAACCCCATGGGACAAGGTGCCCTGTATAGAACTGAAATTGGTGATTTTTTTATGTGGCAATATATCGGAGAGCTCTTTATCCCCAACTACGTCACAAATAATTGTACAATTGAATTCACATTATTCAACAATTTTAGATTTGCATAGATTTATAAACATTTATAATTCATTATGAATTCATCGAATTTTGTTAATTGTACTCGGATTTGTCTGACTTTACCAAATTCAGCTTGGTGAACTTTTTGCGTAGAGATTTTTTACGTGTGTGCTTCGGAGTATGAGTGCGTATATATCATGATTACTGATAATTATGTTATTTATATTTGTTTATATATTATTATGAAATGTATTAATATTGTTAATAGTATTATTATTATCATGTTATTATTTGCTTCAGATTTGAACACAAAGAGGCAATGACGGACGGTGTAGAAACAACAAATGCATTTGAAATTTGCATCGAGGTTGCAAAGGCTGGCGAGAAAATGTGGTCAATTCACAGGAAAGGACATGGGAAAGAAGATATAAAAGGTAAGTAGAACTTAAAAAAATATTTTGACTTTACTTTAAAAAATAAATTATCTGAATAAGTATATCTGTAATGCTGGCATCAAACTGATGGTGACAAATGAGGACAGTAAACACCTTTAGATCAAAACTATAAGCCTATCTTTTCATTTTAATATCTCAATGTTACAATTTATTTGCAGATAGTGGCTGTGGTTTATAAATGTAATTTATTCCTATTTTGTCTTCTTCTCATTATTATTTTCATTTTCTTATCATTATCATCATCATCATTGTTATCAATATCATTATTATTTGAATTGTTGTTGTTGTTATTATTATTGTTAATGTTATTATTATTATTATTATTATTATTATTATTATGATCATTATTATTATTATTATTATTATTACTACTGTCTAAAACGTTTCCTGATATAGCAGTCACAAAGTTATAGTTCTTGCAGTGGTAATATATAGATATAAGAAGTGAACTGATTTTTCTTTATGATATCATGGCAATGTCACTGTTTTTGTACTGCTATGTAAATGTCAAATGATCGAACTGATTAATAGGCTGCAAAGCATCTTAAAACAGTTTTCCCTTTACCTGTACAATAATTTTTTTTAAATCAATTTCTTTCACTAGCTTCTTTTCCCTTCAGAGCTTTTACCTTTATTATGGATGGCATCCTTTTCGGTCTTAAGTTTTGAAGAAAATCATATTTTAGTCAAGATGTGTATTAAAACGATTGAAGGAGTCGCATAACACCATAGCATATTTCTAGCGATCTGGTAATTGTTTAACTTGCTATAAAGGCAGGATTGCACATCAAATTGTTCATTAAATTCTGGAGTCATAAAATCATATATTACAATGTAATACATGATATATGATGATCTTTTTTCAAAGAGGATGAATATAGTAAAGCTCTTGCGGATGAAATAGCAAAGAGGCTGATCGTCACCCCACCACAGGTAATTATTATCTCTGTACATGTATTGTTTTATTGATTTGAAGTTAACCAGTAAGAGAGAATGAAATGGCTATCGTACTTGTCAATCCAAATAAAAATAAGTTATGATTATGATGGAGAAGTGAAGTTCGGCCAGAATATTTTGTTTTAACTCATGACGATCATTCAAACAATTAAATTATATCGGAAATCGTGCTCAATGAATTTGATAGCAATATATTTGACCAGTAAGTAAAGATCAATACTTATACGAGTTGTCTTATGTTACATTGCACTACTGTATATCGAGGTCGCTGTTTCCTTTACATGTGCATTTCATACATGATACTATATTTTCATTATTTTCATTAGTGCAATACAAGTTTATATTTAACTCGGCATTAGCCATTCAAGTATTCACATGCATTAGCTGTTCGCATCTGGAATGTCAAGTACATAGTCAATCATGCAATGACATGATAAATTGCTCTAGACCGGCCTAGAATGACAGTGTAAACAAAAAAAAGAGAAGGATCATCTCATCAACCACTTAAAAAGGTAGTTCTAGTTGCTAATTGTGATGCGGTTAGTGCCAGCTGCTCAATGGCAATCTTAATACTGGTTTATTTTGTGTACAGGATCAAGAAAGTTTGGAACCAAACAGCGAGACTACTCTCGGCAGAGGCCTGAATCCTGTAGACGCAGGTTCGTGAATGTATTTGTTTTGTTTTTTGTTAGGTTTTAACTTGTTTGCGTTGTTTATTTGCGGTCTTCGTCAGTTTTGTTTGTTTGTTTTCCTAATTTTAGATCAATCCTTTATTCACCATTCATAAGATATAAAATTTAACACAGATTGATGACAAAATGATGACATTTATGTTGTTAACTTCATTTCTGTTTATGTTTATTTTATGTTCATTGATATCATAATCGCCATTATTATTATTATTTAGTTATCATCACGATTATTATTACTGTCTGACACGTTTCCCAACATATCATTATAGTTATTGCAGTGGTAATGTGGATATAAGAAGTTTTTTTTTACTGCTCAGTAAATGTCACATGAGCGAAATGGTTAATAGACTGCATAGTATTTTGAACTACTTTCTAATTTCCTGTACAATCATGTTTTGTTTTGCCTTCAGACTTTGTATTCTTATTATGGAAAGCATGTTGTTAGAATTCATCCCCAAAATACACTTTTCAGCCAAACGTGTGAAACAAAACTTTATTTTAGTCAAGATATGTATTGGCACAAATAAATCTGATAATATATAACCTGCTACAAAGGCAGGATTGCACATCATATTGTTCATTAAAATCATATCAATTAAATCACTTTAAAGTCATACAATCGTACATAACAATGTAATATATGATAACATAGTATAATATGGTTTTTGATGATTTACTTTCACAGAGGATGAATATATTAAAGGTCGTGTGGATACAAAAGCAAAGAGGCTGACCGTGACCGCAACACAGGTAATAATCATCTCCATGCAGATATTGTCATTCTGATTTAAGGGAAAAACCAGTGAGAGAGAATAAAATGAAATTGTTTAGTAATCCAAAGTAAAATATCTATGCAAGTAAATGTAGTCGTGGGTTACGATTATGAAGAAGATGTTAAATTCTGCCAGAAAAAGAAAAAGAAACGAATAACCTCAGAAATTTGCTCAATAAATTGGAAAGCTGCTCAATATACCTGAGTAGTAAGTACAAAATGATAATTATATGGGCTGTCTCAGACTATAATGCACTACATCAGCGTTTTTTCAACTGGGGTGCCGTGAGAGGAATGAATTCAATTTTTTGTTGTTGTTGATCCATTATGAAATAAACCTCAATTTCGTGAGGAAAAAAAATATTAGAAACCCTAATGTATTTTCTTGAAGAAATAATGTTGTAAGGACAATTACGAGTCTTTTTCCCAAACTCTCTTCAGTCGCTCGCAAGATTTAGAAACAGTAGGATGTTAGGCAGTGAAGTGCCTGAATAGCTACATATTTAGTCTCTTTGGACAGCGAGGTGCTCGAATATATCTTACATTTTTATATCGAAATATCCTTATTATATTCGTGCATCGAGGTGACCAAATATATGATTTTTGATTCATGGTTTGGGCAGCGAGGTTCCTGCATATATGATACCATTTCTTATTATGGTGTTTTTTGTTTACAAAATAAAAATTTCACCACTCTAAAAATGTTATTGCTTTTGCTCATTCGCTCGCTCCCTAATTTTACAAAACGAAATGTGTCCGTAATGTCCGTAAGTGTGTACATGCACTTGAGGTGTACCGGAGAGATGGAAAGTGAATCTTCTGTAAAGTAATTCGGGAATTAGGGCTACACAAAACTTTCTATTTTCAAAAAGGGTGTCGCAACTAGAGAGAGGTTACAAACGCTGCACTACAGTGTGTCGGGGTCTCTGTTTCCTTTCCATATGCATTTCATTTATGATATTAAATGTTCATACACAAGTCTAACAGCCACAAAATATGTAAGCTGTTTTGGAAAGCGGATTCTATACCATCATGCTCTTATAAACTTTAATTTCATTACTTCAACACAAGTTTACATTTAACTCAGTATTAGTTATTCAATTATTTATAAACCCTAGTACATGTATCAACTATTTTGCATCTTGAATGTCATGTTTTAGTCAAGTAATGACACAAGATATTACTCTAGACCGGTCTTGAATGACAGTGTAAACGTATAAGAAGTGGGATCACCTCATCAACCACTTAAAAAAGTAGTTCTAGTTGTTAATTGTGATGCGGTTAGTGCAAGCTGCTCAATGGCAATCTTAATACTGGTTTATTTTGTGTACAGGACCAAGAAAGTTTGGAACCACACAGCGATACTACTCTTGCCAGAGGCCTGAATCCTGTAGAAGCAGGTTAGTTTATTTGTTTGTTTTGTTATTTGCTATTTTTAGTGTCTTTGTGTTGTTTTGTTTGTTTTCTGAACCCTCGATCAATCCTTAATTAATCGTCCATAGGATATAAAGTATCAATAAAAGTTGACAACAAATTAGTATTTATTTTCTTAAAACTCCTTTACAGCGTTATCACAGAAAAATGTTATTATCCAGTGATTAATTTAAACTGTAATCAATTCTGATTTAGTAAATGTCAGTTACATGAAATATTCTCATAATAACGATTATGTTAAAATATTCACATTTGAAGGTGATAGAATGATAATGCACACGCACTACTCCCCTTGATAGTATTCTGACCAGGCGCCGTTTAACAAATGCAAACATGCCAATCCAACCACATTAACGTTCGCATCCTTCTTGGTACCCATTTAACACCTGAGCGGAAAGTGGCAGATGTAGATTAATTATGAATGTATATATCCTACAAACACATATATGTATTTCTTCTATTCATTACAGAAGGATTTGTCTTGGATAATGAGGAGGCGCCCAAGGCTAAAGAGGAGGATGACAATATGCCAAATCAAATAGCAAGTCTGGTGGAGAAAATGCTTAGGGAACAGGTTCACCTTAAGGTAGAATTCAACTTTGAACCTTGTATCTTTATGTGGGATAAAATGTACAAGATTTTCTACAATGCCTTTTTTATCATAGAATCTTCCACTTTTTTGTTCCATGTTCAAAAGCGCAGCGAACCATATTTTGCGAACCTAACATAAATTACCAGGTTCACTATATGACTTCACTATATGACTATATGACTGTCTCGAAAGTGAGTGTTTTGTAACATGACCTTAAACGTTAATGTTAATTCTGATTCAGATTCAGATTAATTTTATTGGTCCATTTGGAAATTCAGCTTGTCATTACATAGAGCACATAAACAATATACAATATAAATAATATACACACATAGATAATACACAGTAGCAACTTAACATTGACGTAGTCATATAAAAACAGATATATATCGTTTTTACATAGTGGAATAATATAAGAAAATAAATGGGCTTTAATACATCAATTGACCAAAATAACATTGCGTTTAATTCGCTTTTACAGGGCTGTGACTGCCAGCATACACATATATATCCACCTCTGATCAGGGGTATAATAATCTATGACAGTTAATGATACCATGGTGTTTTACCACAGGAGTGTATAACTGAAAATAATCTATTAGACCCAGAAAGATGGAGAGATGGAAAGTAACAATATTTATAAATCCAAGTAAGCATACTTATAAACAGACCAGCTGATTTCAAACTTCTTTGGTGTCAGGAGTGGGGTGAAAATGTATGTGGAAAATGTGCACACATTGTGTGCGGGTAAGCCTGAATCTGATGACCGGGGTAATAATATATCTGTAAAGCGCTTAGGCACATCGTTGGATGGGTGTATTGAGCGCTATATAAAAAACGGATTATTATTATTATTATGTCAGATCCTGAGGCACATGAGAGTGAGAAAGATCTATCAAGAGGAAAACAAAGAAAAGTTGCCTTTATTGGTACAGGTTTCCTTGGAAAACAAATTGACAGGGAACCAAAACCTTTTTTTAATCGATTTGATGCTCCTTCAGAGAAATGTTGGACTTCATACATTCTTGTTTGCTGCACTGGAGTGAATATATATATAGGATACAAAATGGTTATTTGCTTACCAGATATTTTTGCTCATACCCTGCTAAAAATAATGCTACGGTATGTGAAAAGTTTGGACAAAGTGGTTTTGTGATTGTGTTCAGGATCAGTACTGATGTTCCCATTATTTGTGGTAAAATTTATTTTGATAATTGTTCATATAGATGTATATTCATTTTATTCATTCCTCAGGAGATAGAAACAGTCAGGACTGATAGCGGTAGAGGAGAAGGAGTCTCACTAAGTATATGGGACTTTGCCGGACAAGACATATACTACACAACCCATCAGGTGAAAGAACATTTTAAGAACATCAGATTCCTTGTAAATTATACCGTGGTGTCATGAAAGCAAATGTGAAAAGTATTGTTAGATTCTGGGATTTAACAAAATAGAATACTTTTTTTTTAATACAGTCTCCCATACACCTATCATGGCAATCATCTCCAAAATAGTTGATATTTCTCCTGTGATTTTTTCTGATCAGTTTCAGTGTAGATATCTCATTCTCGATATAATGCTTCAGATTCAGGGCACATGGATTTATGTACATTTAATATGCACATTATTACACCCTTATTACGTATGAGAAAATAGATTGCTTTAAACATGCCCTTAAAACTCATTTGTTCAAAGCAGCTTTTCAGTAGATTTAGTTTTATTTTCACATTGTCGTCGTTCATTTTTGTGTGTATTTTCTTGTGTACTTATATCTTTTCTTCTCCATGCGCCTCGAACACATTATTCATGTGGAGTTGGCGCAGTACAAATACTCTGTATTATTATTATTATTTTATTATATTGAAGCTTACATCTAAAATTATTTAACCAAGGCCCTAATTCAACCAGTCCAGTTACGAGAAGGAAAACAAAAATTACAAGGGTAAGAATTATTTGGTTGTTAATCGTATATAAACCGTGCCTGATGTCCCTTATTACTATAAAAATGGGAGAGCATATAGAAACAACAACATAGCATGCTAGTTATTAAATACTTATGGATATTTTTTATTCCCTTCTCATGTAGGTGTTTCTGACGTGGCGAGCCATTTATGTGATTGTCTTTGATCTCAGTAGACGTTTAGATTCTGTTGTTCCCCCTGAATCCAGAGACGAGTATTATGAAATGGTATTTCTTTATTTCATTTCATACTGCTTGGTAAAAAATAAATTATGCTCTACATGGAATATTCAAATGGTAGATAGTGTTGTGTTTTTCTTTGCCAAACATTGTTTTTGCCGCTTTTTATTTTGTAAAGTTTTACGTATTTTCTTCATTCACTACTCGACTCTTTTTTAATAAAGCTTTAACTACCTGTTTCTTTCTGGATTAATACATGTTTAAATTGTTGGTGCAATTAAATCAGTGATCATGGTGTGAGATTAAATAGTTGAAATGTACATCTCTTTGAAAGTCCTTCTCTTTACAAACAAAAAAATCACTTTGGTCTACAAGGTCATCCTACCAATCACTTCCACACTTGTGCAAGTCATTACAAAGATCAACTTTTGAGAAAAAGAATTACCAATCATAATAGATGGTAATTTATTACTAATCATGAATCAAGAGTACTGCTATATCTCTTGATGATGAATTTACATATTTCACCCCATCCTTCAATGATTTCTATTTCTGTTAGTATAACAACATTTATTTTCCCTCAATATTATATATTTTATTATGATTTTTATTGTAAAGGATTACCACGCTTCAAGCTTAGTTTATGTTGCAATCCCTCCTCATAATTATGTTCTGGTAATATAACAATGTAGTAATATTACAATGTAATTACATGATTGTAATAATGTATTATTATATGATTTGATTATCATGCTGTAATCGTTTTTTTGTGTGTGGAAGATAATGAAGATAATAAATCAATAAATCATTCAACAACAAAAAGAAAATTATTTTTGATGTGAGGAGTAGGATATGTATGCGTTACCTTGAGTACAAAGCATGATGTTTATGTGTGTTTTTATCCTTGGCCACATACTTCTTTACAATTAAACCACAGGCTAAAAGAGGTGCCAAATCAGAACTGACATGTCTAGAGTTCATCAATTTCTGGTTGTGTTCCATCTTCGCCCATGCTGTGGCGCCCTCTTCGGTCAGGAATAAGAATACGTCTAAAACCGCCCAGAAATCTCCACCAATATTCATTGTTGGTACGCATCGAGAAAGTGTGAAAGGAGATGCAAAAGAGAAAAAGAAAAAGGTAATGGTTTATGATGTACATGTATTTTGATAATAAAATAATATTTTTGTTTACCCCCTGGAAGCCCCATCAGTATCAGTTGTTTTCCTGAGTGCCCTGCAATTGTTATCACCCCTGAAGTTGCCAGGTCCTTATTTACACCTTGATGGAGGGTGGCAAATGGATTAATGTCTTGCCAAATGACGTTAGTGCCTGGCTGTAAGTAAATGCCCTACTCTGCCGCGACACCTCCACCTCCATTTTGAGTTTTGAAAAAAGAGTGAGAACAAACAGATAACAACATGCAATATACCCTTAATACGCCACTTACACCAGCAACACCGACACCAGAACGACAAAGATCGAGCAAAAAGTACCATACGCTGAGTTTGACGGACAGCTTCAGTCTCTGAAATCGACGGTTGTTTCGCTGAGACTAAGTCTTGCTCCACTGACCGATCTATGCAGAGACTGAACTACGTCGTATGGGGTAGTGAGAGAAGGTATTGGATTGGTTCGGACAGACCGAAATGAATGAAATGCTACAAGTTTTGTTCGCTCTTTACGTATACAAATATCCAATTTGGCTGCAATATTACACTCCCTGTTATTGTTAAAAAAAATAACAAAAACTTAAGTATATACTTTGCATGAGATTACACTCGCTGTTATTGTAAAAAGTAGCAAAAACTGAAGTATATATTTCGACTTACGATAGCTGCTCCCTAATTTAGCTCCTAAATCTACCATTAATTCGAGATAGACTTGTCGTCAACAGGATCCATTGTCCAGTTGACAAATGTCAAAGAATTCTCCATACCAGACGGTTATTTCTGTCTAACCCTGAGTGGCGATAACATTGGTCATTTAAATTCAGTTAGGAGTCAGGATCGGGCTTTGGCATTGTAGCAGCTTGACTATATGTAACTTTGCAACATTTGTATTTTTACTTTCTTGTGAAAGGACAATTAAATGAAAATTTACCCTGATATAGTATTAGTTTTAATAGTATCAGAAAATTAGAGGAACAATTCAGTGAAATTTTGAGTAATATCTGATTGAAAAGTAATTCAAATAAATATTTGTTCTATCTATTAACAAATTTTTCGGTCAAACGTGCACCCTAGATGCATCATTACTATTTTGTGTGTATACAGCCCCATTCCTTCATTAATAAGCTAGACAATGACCATTCATGAAATGTGCACTACTAAGTAAATGTGAGAGTACCTCCAAAGTTGCTAATTTGTGTTTCATTGATTACAACTTCAAAATTTAATGACAGATTTTGTTCAATATTTCACTGATCTATTTCTCTCATTGTTTTCCTTGTCAGTAATGAAACCAATGAGATTGCAGTATGCTATTTCATATCGTCATTAGTTTTGTTTGCATAAATTATCATGTACTCATCTAAAGTTAGGTAAGCATTCATGTTTATCATTATGGGTAAGATGTTCATTTCCTGATCATTTCACCCTTTTTTGTCTTCTAGATTCGCTCTGCCTTTGAGAAGATCCGTAATTCTATCAAGAAGAAGCCGTTTGAATGCCATGTGGTCCCCAAGTATTATGCCATTGAAAACAGATTAGTAGACACAGCTGAAGGTACAGATGCAGGGGTACATCACAACTAATCTCCAACCATTACAATTTATAGTAACCCTGAAGCATATGAGTATTGCTGATTATCATTTTGTTGTGTCTCTTAAAAATTGTCCAAATTTGTAAATTATGGCATTATTAAGATGCTCTTCCGAACGCAAAGAACTGACATACCCGAACAAAATGAAAGCTGCTCACTCTATGACGTGATGTGAATACCTCTAAAATCTCAGTCTGTTGTGATAGTAATCCTAAATTAATTCTTTACTCATAGAATCATATGATTATGATAATTCCAAAAACACTTTCAATTCATGCATAGTTCCTAAGAAGTTATTCAGAAGAAAAAATATTTCAATTATTTGAATCTACTACGCGTGAAAATATTCCAATATGTAGGTAGTACATGCGGTTATACTGACATTGATTTTTATCTACTGTGATTGAGAAAACTGATTATAGGCATTTACTACCTAAAATCAACTGGTATTGATTTAGATAGTAGTAATTCCTCTTAGAAAACTTGACACAAGCTGCATGCTTTAACTGCCTCTGGTATTAATACAACTGCATTCATTTTTTTTTATATGCCTTGTGGTAGAGAAATATCAACTCTTTCATTACCCAATGTCGATTCTTCTCAACATTTTGTGCTACATCTGTACAATTATTCTCTTTCTTACTCTAAATCGATATTTTTGTGCAATAAGCCTAATATCCCTGAACATGCTAAATTAAATTTAGCGTTGAATGTTTAACGGCATTGCCTTAAATATTTTGATTTCGATTATCCACATTCTCGATACTTTTTTTTCTGAATCTGCTGGCAATATTGCTGTGTGATGTTACCATTGTTATTTTGTGATATTACTGATGTATTTTTGATGTTTGAATATGATGTGAATATAACGTTACGTTGTAAAGCAGAATATCAGCCTTGAGCTGCATGTCACTTTGTTGAGTTTTTTTAAATATTAAAGCAACCAATACTTTCCTTTGTAGCTGGTCGCGTTGAGGAGACATATTGAGAAAGTAGCGATGGCAGAGCCTTACATGGGAGAAGAGATTCCGCTCAGATGGCTCTTATTTGAGGAAGCTCTAGCTGCAGATAAAATCAATTACATGACATTAGATCAGGTAGGACTGCAACGTGTATTCTTGCAACTTTAAAATATTTTGTGTTGAGGTATTGTAGTTGAAGAAAATTAGGGAGCTAATGTTTATACATGTACGTGTAGTTCATATTTCAACTTCAAATTTTAAAGGTACTATGTTCCATTTGCAGGCCAACAAAAATGAAAAGGTTAATTCCAACGGCATTTAAAAGATAATACTAATTTAGAACTTCCCTACAAAAGGTGGGGCTTGAAAATGTCTTCAAGTGGGGAAAATAATGACTATTAGTTGTCAAATCGACTTAGGAGCTATAGAGCCAATAAGTAATAGTCTTGATTTTCAGATCATTGTACCGAATGTTCATACGTTTTATGATGCGCAAAGATTCAATCAGTTTAATTTTGGCCATCACAAGAAGTGGGTTATTGATGTAGACAAATGCTCATGTACTCTTTACAGCTCATGTTATGTATGTTATTACCAAAGAAGAAAAAAGCCAGTCAGTCACTCAATAGTGTCTGACAGTTCGTTCGTTCGTGTCTCCTTAGATCAAAATAGTTATGTAAAGTTCCTTAATTAAAAGTAAAGTAAAGTAAATTAAAATCTTCCATCGCCCGATTGCTGCAATGGAAGTTTCATTAACAATGGCCAGGTCTTCATCTGTGCAGCCCGTTCCGCCGCACTGCAAGATGTGGTCCATCGTCTGACTCTCTCCGCAGTCGCAGAGAGTATCTCCTTCATGGGCATAGCCCCATCTTGCCATATTGACCTTACACCACCCCATTCTCGTCCGCATTCGATTTAGGCATTGCCACTCCGGCCACTTCAGGTTAAGCCCTTTGATGAGTACGGGCTTGGCTGATGGTGGAAGATTCTGTTCAGGTGGTGGGACAGAATCGAGGAAGCTGTGTCGGGATAAAAGTCGTTTGTAGGGTTGTAAGTATCTGTGTAGTATGTGTCTGTCATCTGTCGCCTGCTTCATCCGTTCCTTTAGGCAGGTGTTAGTGCGCCTTTGGTTAGGAGATCCAATGCCAGCGAGGTGATATATCTCCTCAACTTTTGTTGGTTTCAGGCAACCTGTTATCTTTCGATATGTGTTATTGAGTGTGGTGTCAAGCTTCTTCACATTGGCTGATCTGCTCCAAACTGGGCAAGCATATTCTGCGGATGACATGCAGAGGGCAACAGCTGCACTTTGTACAGCATTATAATGTTACGGCAGACCAAGTAGCAAATCAGCTGTTGAAAAATGGAAAGGCCCCCAAGACGACTAATTCACACAGGCACAAACTACCTGGAGTTGACCAGAACATGTCTCTTTTCACAAGACCTATTTCTGAAGAAGAACTACAGACAGGTATCTCCACGCTCAAGCCAGGAAAGGACTCGGACGAAGCCAAGAACTTTCGACCGATCTCGCTCCTGTGCCAAACATACAAGCTGCTTGAACGCCTTATTCTCAACATAATTGGGCCTCACGTTGACAGCCAACTAAACTGTGAGCAGGCAGGTTTCCGACCAGGAAAATTCACCACGGGACAACTTCTCAACCTGACCCAACACATCGAAGACGGTTTTCAGAACAACCTCTTCACAGGTGCAGTATTTGTGGATTTATCTGCGGCTTATGACACTGTCAATCACCAAAGGCTACAGACAAAACTTCATGACATCACAAATGACCTCAAACTCACCAGATTCATCCAGAAGATGATGCAGAACAGACGCTTCTTTGTCGAACTTGATGGGCAGAAGAGCAATAGCGGAAACAGAAACACGGTCTCCCCCAGGGTGGCGTCCTGGCGCCAACACTCTACAACATCTACACTGCTGACATCCCTTCAACAGAGAACACTCGAAACTTCATCTATGCAGATGACACCTGCATCACGGCCCAGCATAGTACCTTCGAAGCTGTTGAACTCCATCTCAACACAGCGCTCGCAAGCCTTTCGGAGTACTACAGAGGAAACTACCTACGGGCAAACCCATCCAAGACTCAGGTGTGTGTTTTCCACTTGAAGAACAGGGAGGCGATTGGAGAACTGAAGCTAAAGTGGAACAATGTGCAACTTAACCACTGCGAGCATCCAGTGTATCTAGGTGTAAAACTCGATCGCACTTTATCCTTTAAGAAACACATCGAGAAGAGAATAGGCAAAGTACAATCTCGAAATGCCATCATCGGGAAGCTAGCATCTTCACATTATGGCGCTAACCGATAGTGTCTGACAGTGAAGTCTAGCAAGTAAACGGGTTTCCTTGCATAATTTAAATATTAGGACACTGCTAACGTTCAAATTTCACAGATAGGACATACATGACATATTCATAATTCCTGCAAAATTCTACAGAATTTGAGGTTGGCTGCAAAAGGGACATAGTACCTTGAAGAGCCAAATTGTTTTTGTTTGTTTTTCCTTTGAAATAGTGTTTTCTTTTCTTCAAATTCGCCATTTGTAAATTCTGAAATTTTTAACAAAATTGATTTTTATGTACCGGTATTTAATTTGCAAGCAAATGTAAGTGTAGTTCGTAGTTCGTATCTTTAAAGTTACGTACAACTCTCTTGGTATTTTTGAAAATATGTAATGCGTTATTATGAAAATTCATCAACGATACCCTTTCAATTTCGTAAATTGCCCAGTTTATGCCTGTTTTTGATAATATGTAGTGCCTTTGAAAATCTTGGCACAAGATTCAGGCTACATGTTGCCTTCTGTAAAAGGATTGCTTTATAAATATTCATATTTTGTATTATTACACCCTGTGTAAATTAAATGTAATGTTATTTTTATGATATGTTTTTGTTAGATACTATTTTTGATGTTTTTTACCAATCAAATGATGAATTTAAAACCATTTTAATTGTATTCTCCCAGACCAAGGAACTGACGCAGCCATTCGGAATGGAATCGGAGGGTGAACTTCTCACGATGCTGACCTTCTACCACGACCTGGGTAATGTAGTCTACTACGGAGGAATTGAAGATCACCAGTCTCTCTTACGAGACATGGTGATCCTAAATCCTCAGTGGCTAATTGATGTCTTCAAGCAGGTCATAACCATCCTGGATCCTGCAGAGAGGGTGAGAAACCTCCTCCATTACACCCTCATTCAAATATGCTGTGGTAAGCTGCAGAAGGGTTTTTACAAAAATGAAAGGCAAGTGGGAATTTACGAGACATCGCCGGAGATGTTGCTAATGGATGTCTTCAAGCAGGTCATTACTGTCCTGGATCTCTGGGAGAGTCTTCGTGTTATGCAAAATGTCTGATAAGGACTTTACCATATGGGGAAAACTGAAGGCTAATCCGGGTGATCGACAACACTTGTTATTAGGTAAACACCCGAACGGTGCCAAATTCCCCATGACAGCTCTCTTCTATGTGTCTTTATTTCCAGGACGGGATTGTGAGTGATGCCTGGACCACTCTTGAGGAGGATGGTATCTTAGAGGATAGGTTGATTCAGCATGTATGGCAAGGTTTTTTGGAGCAGAAGGAAGCCTTAGTCAAGCTCATGACCAAGTTTGATCTCATCTGTGAGGCTCCTGTGGAACGACTCCAGCAAGGGCAACAGAGTGGACTCGACGATGAGGTAAAGGTCGAGCTAAACGTTGCTCACACCCCTACATTTTAAATTTCAGATTAATTGTGGATACCATAATTGTTTTTCTATACATGTTCCTTTAAAAATGTTGGTTTGTGCTGTGAAAAGTAGGGATTAAGTACAGTTTTGACAGCTTTTACAAATGGTACTAGAATGTCTATTTCTCAAATTTCGAATAAAAATTGCTCAATAGGTCGACGTTGTTAAATGAAACTTGCAACAATTAAGTGGGAGGAGTGGGATGTGTGAAATGAAATGATGAGTGAAATATGAATTGATTTTTTTTTTTTTTTGATTTTACAAAATGAATTTTTTATCTCGGTATATTTTGTTTTGTAATTATGTATTGGGATATGTTTTGATATTCAGGTATCAAATGCAACAGGAAAAGTGGTACAGAAGCGCTACTACGTTCCTTCCAGGCTGACGTCCCATTGTTCCCCAGAAGAGATTGCACAGATCGAATCCTCTACAGACTTTTATGTGGACTTCAGGGGCTTCTTAACAGGTGAGAATGAATTCATCATCTGTTTACAGCCAGAAGGGTGTTAACACGTGTACTGTATCGTTGATTTAATGCTCTTCTTGCTCCAAAAAGACTGTATGGCAATAAGATTGCAACAAGGTTTGTATAAAGTCAAACCTGTCGAAGTGGCCACCTCTCTATAAATGCCACCTGTCTAGAAAGACCATGCATTTGTTCTCCCTTGAGAAAGAAATATGTGTCTTGAAAGGCCACCTGTCTACATTGGCCACTTGCTCTATTTTCCTTGAGTGGCCTCAATGGACAGGTTTGACTGACCTTCATAGGTTATTGCCAATGATGACCCATGCATCCAGAGTAAATAAAAAGTTTACTATGTCCAACTCACGTATTGATTTGAAAGATTTAAGGATTGGCCTCAACCTTGAGTAGAATTATTTGTATTTGCTTTAATGATAATGATAATATCAATATTAGATCATATCAGAGTGGACATATCCACCACGAAAGGTGCTCAATGTGCTCCAATATTACCCCTAGCTCTGCTGGGCTACTGATTGTAGGTTGCTCCCAGCAAATCAAGGAATCCTTCCCTGCCGGTACCCTTATAACACCTGGGTGGAGAGTGGCAGATCAATGTCTTGCCAAATGACGTGTCAGGGCGATCAGGTATACAAACCAAACGATAGTCGGAGTTAATCCATCTTGTTAGAAACTCGTTTCTCAGAAATATATAATTGTCTTGAAGTATTATTGCAGCTAATATTTCTTTTGAGCAGGCTTTCAAAACGTCGCTAGCCATAATCTGTTGGTCATCTCCGTTTCCACAGATGGGCTATTTCATCGGTTGATGACGAGAGCAGTCAGATGGATGGGTGAAAGAAATGGAGAACCAGTCAATCTTTACCATCGTCATATCAGTCTAATGGTTGATGGAGTGCATCATGCGTTACTAGAGATGTTACCTCCTCGTGAAGCAACTATCAAGGTCTGAGCAAGCGTCAGCAATACCTTTTACTTTTATTGTGGAGATACTGAATTGTAGGTAAAGTTTTTGAGGCCGCGCATCGGATCCCTTCATATGCACTGAATAGCCTCCACCGGGCAATGTTATAGTCATTCTCTTGAAGACGATCAGATCGTACTGTCGATACGTAGAGAACCAAGAGATCTTTAGAGCTCTTATTTCTTTGAAAAAATTGCATAAAACCCTGAAAACTTTACCTATAAATCAGTATCAGGATCTGGTTGGTAATGCTCTGATCTAAGAAAAAGCGGAGCCTCATATATAATATCTCACCTTTAGTGTTTTTAGTTGGTTTTAAATAAACATACATTTTTAGCTGATAGGAGTATTTAAGAAGTGATCACAAGCCTAATAGTTGTTTCTATTGTTAATTTATCTTTTTGTTTCGTTTTATTTTGTAATGTTTAATTATATTTTGTTATTCGATAATTTGTAGTTTTACATCGTATTTTAATTGTATAATGCAATTAGTGCTCTCTTGCAAATCAGTTTATGTGCGCTGAGGAGCATAATCTTTAAAAAAAAACGCACACAGAATAAAATAAATTTATTTAAAAAAAGGAGTAAATAACCCTCACAAACTTGAGGGAAACTGTGCACAATTACACACAATCATATTATTAATTTCTTAATCTTTTCCCCTTTACCTTTGATGCTGAACACATCAGGTCATTGTATTCCGAGGAGCGGTTGCTGATTCTGATGATGATGGGGATAGTAGTAATACACCTCCAGCTCCAAGTGCTGTCAAAGAGGTAGGGAGCTCAACAGGATGGTTTCAATCACTACACCATAGACATGAACAGAGACGGAGGCGCATACCAGTTCACTGGTATTTGCGCGTTCACAAAATATTGTTTGTGTTCGATTGGAAAACTGGAAGCTTGCTTTAGTCTGCCAGTATAAATCATAGCCTCTAAACCATCGAATTTAAACAGTTTTTGGATGTGTCATAGAACGTTTAATTATAATAGAAAGTACAGTTAACTCTGCATTTAGTCAATTCGGTTGGGACCGCGAATAAATAGTTGACTCCTGAATTTAGCTGCAATGCTGCAATCATACCTATATACCTTTAGGTCAGTCAGAAATCCCACGACTTTTACAAGTTGATCACCTGTCTGATTATTAAGATATTTATGATTGGAAATCGAATTTTCATTTTCATTTTCCTAACGGTTTTTATAACACTAAAGACTATTGGGGAAAATGAGTATGTTAAAAAATTGGTCACATAAAGACTTTTACTTTTGGGGGGCACTGATCATTTTGAAGCGCAATTTATTTAGGGCTTCAATATTACACCATATCACAGACACTGATAACACGTAGGGCCATGCATCTCAGATTTAACAGTGTTAAACGATGCCTTTAAGAAGCGTACATAACACATGACTTGCATAGGTTTTTCCAATTTTTTTAAAACTATAAACGACAAAATACGACTTTTACTTGAGTTATGCAGAGTTAACTGTAATGGATTTCTTTGAGTCCTGTTAGATTGGAGGACAGTCAAGTTAGACCGAACAGCACTTACACGTGACTTAGAAATCAAGTACAGTTGAAGGCAGGTTTAACTCCAGTTCTCTTTCTGAAAGTCTGGTTAATATAAGCCATATTCTACATCTAGTTTATGTGGTAACACAGTTCAGTTATCAATCTGTGAAACTTTGTGTTTCATCAAAATGGTAGACATTTCTCAGACCGCTCTGTGTCAGTAGGTTTATGGACAGTTGTAAATGAACATCCTATTTATATTTCATGATTAATTTTGGTCGAAAATTATATTTGAAAACAAACCTTGAAAAAAATGTGCTGATTATGGAACAGGGAGATGAACGGACCAGTTTTTTTTCTCCACCCAAATCAGCAATGCCTGTTCATGTGTCCCGGACTTTGTTAGGTTAAGAGACAATATAAGACAATGCGACGTGCTATCAATGCACCATTCTAATGACAGTTTCGTTGTAGATCCATCTACGATGAGATGTGAATTTAAATAACAGTTAGGTTAGCTTGAAGTAGCCAAAATGAATTCAAAGATAAAACATCTGTCTTGGGGCTGTTTGTGTATTTATTGCAGGTGATGGACTTTGTAACGGAGACCCTTGATAGCCTTATTCAGCACTGGGCTAGAAGGATCGAGTATGATGTCCGGTTTACGTGCCCGAGACCTAAGTGCAGTAAGAAGAAACTGCTTCAAGACTGCTACAAGGGAAAGTCACTGAAGTGTGGACTACATAGCATCCCTACGGCTGCAATTAAATTCAAGTTTGGTAGGTCTATAAGACTTGGAACCCCACCCAAAATGAGTTTTGCTCTGTATTAAAACAAATCTCCCATACAGCAAACCATACAAGTAAAAATACGCCCATTCTCTCGGAGAGTCTTTGAGTGAGGGAAATGTGATATAATAACTTTTCCGTATTGGGTGATTAATGGAAAATGCAGAGCATTACATAAAGCCTGTTGGTCATATATCTGAAGGCTAATCCTGGTGATTCAAACATTTGTTCGCTCGAACTGAAAGACTGCGTTCGTCAGCCATTAACTCATTTCCCAGATTGTGGGACACACTTCCTCAACATATTCGTAACGATGTACTATTGACTCAAATTGGCACTTGGTGCTCCCACTTGAAGGTGTTGAACTCTGGCTTGTAAATCTGTATATATATATATGATTCCATATTTATTCATGTTGTATTATACATTATATTCCTTAATAATATTAATAATGATTGTAAAAGTTATATGATATAATCGTAGCAATAATAATGATTGCAATAACAATAATATAAATGATGTTAATAATAATGACGAATATGCTTATACATATTTGTAACAGTGTGATCTTTTAATGCTGTTTATGCTTTCTTATTGCTAGTTGTTTAATTGCTGCTGTTTATAGTCATTTATAGAATATAAATAATCCTTCAATTCTATAAATGATTCACATAATAACCACCTGTGATGTATACCGTATAATTTTTGTTCCATTTTTCATTATATAATATGAAACAATAATGATATTTATTTGAAACAATACACAGTCCATTTTAACCATTCCAAACCATTCCAAAATTGTATTACTGAATCTTAATATTTTCATAAACATGATATAGGGCTTACCTTTATCTGTACATATTATGATCGTGCAATAGCTTCGAGACTGGTTGTTGTTGAAATTGTATTCTCAATGAAAATTAATTTTGTTGTTGATGTTTTAATATAAATATTGATGTCAATGATACAAATTATAATAATCATAATAATCATGATAGTAACGGTAGTAGTAATAATGTTAATAACGATAATGATAATGATATTATATTTATTTTTTTACAACGTGATGATGGTGATGATGATTAACAGTAATAATATGTTACTATACCTTTCATGAAATCACAACTTTTTAAAAAAACGATAGTAACGGTAGTAGTAATAATGTTAATAACAATAATGATAATGATATTATATTTATGTTTTACAACGTGATGATGGTGTTAATGATTAACAGTAATAATATGTTACCATACCTGTCATGAAATCACAACTTTAAAAAAAATTTGTCATGCAATGTTTTTTTTCCTTTCTTTTTCTCCCTCTTTCCTCCATTTTCTTCTCATCTATCTTTTCTTTTTAAAGCTTTATTTTAACCAATATCAGGTGCATCTAGTCGGGTGTGGGGAGGAAGGTCTGCGGATCACAGTTATTTGGTTAACTTTTTCCATACCCGGGCAGCTCGACCGGATGCACCTGCTATTGCAATATTTATATATGCTTTCTATTGATTTTTTTTTAATCTCAATTCATGTTTGTTATATTGTTGTATTATGTGACTTGATTTGCCAAATAAAATAATAATAATAATAAACAATAATTGATACCACCTGTTATCGGGTTAACACCCAAATGATGTCGAATTTCACATGAGAGCCCACTACAGTAACTATGCATCGTTTATCAATAAAAGTCCCTCATGTGTAGACTAGTTGACACACCTATACACACTGACATAGAATACAGCCTGCATGGGACGAAAGTCCATCTTTAGTTTCGTATGTGGGGGGTTATTATCATATTGATATAATGAGTCAAACTAATAATAATAACAATACGAATAATAATTTGTTAAAAATAGTATCGATGATGATAATAGTAATAATAATTACAATGTTATATTGTTTAGATAATTACTCTGGGTATATGAACAAATATTGAATATATTGTAAATTCAGAGAAAATATCTATAGCATTTGAATGTTAAAGTGCTATATGTTTATTTTCTCTATATACTCGTTTTATGTTGTATGTATCATGTCACATGTACATTTTATTTATTGTTCTCTGTGAATAATGCATATAAACGAAACAAATTTCCTTTTGGATCAATGCATTTGAATTAAATTGAATTTAATTGACTTGAATGTTATAATTGAATTTCTTCGTATTCCTGAACTATCAATGCATAGAATGCCAGGTAAAATTTATTGTATACCTTCTAGCTGTACACCAATATTTTAGCTGATTGGCGCACTTTGGGGTTATTGTTGCAATTATTGTACTTCTGTGTTTAAAGTATTTTTGGTACTCCCGGTATTGTAAAAAAACGCCCTGTTTGTGTTTTAAATTATTTTAATAATTCTACAACATGCCATGACGATATGTTGCACATTTCACTTTGATCAAACAAATACTGATAAAAGTTCACAAATATCTTATCATTCTAAATATAGTATAGAATATTATGTCTTATTCTTTTTGGTGTCAGGGGTGGGGTTAGGTTCACACGTATTGTACATGAAATGTTTACGGCCAAACAATCATTGTTTTGATATTTCCAAACCATCTCTAGATTGGTGTAAAGAAACTCCGAAACCCGAAAATGTAGATTGATATCTTGCCAATAGATAGCGTTGCTGTGGCAGGGATTTAAACCCAATACCTTGTGATCCACAGCCCTCTGATTTATCCACTAGATCTCAACTATTTTCAATTTGAATTTATATCTTCAAATATTTTGATGCAGGTATGAGTGAGGAAGGGGTGGAGTCAGGGAACCAGAGTCCAGTGATGCCTAGAAGATCAAGTAAGTAGTCACTTCATCTTCTCATTCTCATCATGTTTGTCTAGAATCATGTTGTAAGGACTAGGATTTCATTTTCTTATTTTGAATCTGGAGTGTCCATTCAATCAGCTTATAAGTATCTTACCATTTCATTTAAGTTCGTATAGAATATTATGTCGTGTGTCAATCAAGATAGGGCTTACTGTTATTTTATTTGGTGTCAGGAGGGGTATTAAATACACACTGTCAATAAATGTATACTGCTCCGTGTTGTTATTTTAGAGATACCATACTTATGTTCAGTTGCTCCAAGTGTTTAGCAGCGAGTTGAATTGCAGGAAAAGATGGAAGGCAAGGAATGAATCGTATCGGATGTCACTCTTTTGTCTGAACCAGAGCCCTGTTCAATAAGACTCGTTATCAGTAACTAATGCAAAACAAATATATAACATTTTGTCTCCTTGCCGATCAAATGCCACAATTTCAGTAGCTCGTAACAGTTATTGTTACTTGATATTGATGATATTAATATTTATATACATTCTAAACTTGTTATCTTTCTTTGACTGTATATCTGTACTCTGGTTCATAATCCATGTATCATCTAAATCTCTCACAGTAATGAGGTATCACTTTTCTGTATTATATATTTTTGTGTCCATATCTGACCAAAGAAAACTGAAACATTTGTCCTGAATTCGTGTCTGGATCCTTTTGCTAAGGACACAAACATTTTGTCTTTAAACGAATTATTGTTAGTATAAACCTCATCGGTCACCATTGATTTTGTTATCCTTTTCTAAGTAGGCCTACTGTGTAACCTTCACTTCAGTAATCTCGTAGAACAAATAGGATCCGAGCAGATTTATAATAAAATTAACAGTTCACCACTTATTACTGTTTATCCTTTTCTTACAGCTACAGGGAAAGAAAATTATTGTGTGACCAGTAATCTTGCAGAGCAGATAGGATCTGAGCAGATTACAATAAACCTAATTTGTTATCATTATCTTACAGCTTGCAATGAAAGCACCGTTCTTTGCGACCTTTACTTCAGCGATCTTGCAGAGCAGATAGGAGCAGAATGGACTCAACTTGGAATCAGACTAGGATTAAACCAAGCAGCTATTGACCACATCACCGAGGACAAACTAACAGCAGTGGATCGCAGAGTTGCTATGCTACAGCTGTGGAAGAACCGATCGTCATGTTCGGATAAGAGGAAGATGGTGGAGGAGCTTTGCAAGGCCTTGAGTAGCTGTGGTAGGGGAGATCTTGCAGGGGATGTCAAAGAAACCGCAGGAATCAGCTAAACTTCACATCCATTGGACATTGTAATACAGACAGCTAGAGAACTCCTTTAGTTTCGCCCTTGTTTTTCAGAGAAGCCGCATTGATAACCACTCAAGGTGGCAGGTATATCGGGTTTATCACTTTAATAATGTTTCCTTCAAGTATTGGTGACAATCCATTGCAGGTATATAACTGAGACTAAAACTGACGCACCTGCTCTCATAACTGAAGGTGTCGTGGTATAGTGGTTCTTTAACTTGATTTAAGGGTTGGGGGTTCAAATCTTAAGACATTAATCCACATTTGCCACACTCTACTCAGGTGTAAGTGGGTACGTAGCATTTGCAGCTTGGGAAAATATAATTGCAGGGCCCTCGGGAAGAACAGAATTGATGCTGATGAGGCAACCCTGTGCATAAACATGATTATTAGTATGTTGATATTCATATGCATAAACAGTCTGAACAACATAGTAACTCTTGGAAGGTGTATCTTAATATAAAGATATTCGCCCCCAAGTAAACTTGATTCAAAGGGTGAAGTGTCGGGAGGTGTCCAGACCAAGTGCAGGAATGTGCAGGTTGTAATCATGACAGATCATAAGAACTTGTGTAAAATACTTAATACAACTACACAAGAATGTGAAGTAATGACCTTTTTTAAATTTTATATATACATGTATATTTTGGATGGTAAATTCGTTTCATGTTCAATTTTACCTTATACAAGGGAATCGATTATGAGAATGTGAATGGAATAGGAAATCGATGGCGGAAATTGCTATAATTAATATAAATTTCCAATTTCGTTCCCAGAAAATGTTTTGTTTAACAAGAGAATACTGTTACCTATAAGTTAATCTTACATTACAAGTTAGGTAAAAACAAAAAGGTGTAGTACGAAAGCTGATAAGTTGCGTAGCTTACAGAACCGATATAACATGTGTATGTTATGTAGATATGATGTATTATCTTCTTTTTTTGTTGTTATAATGTCTTATACACTTGTGTTCGTTCTTATTTCACTTTATTCATCATGTCATTTACAAGTTAGTCGATTAACATTCTTCTATGGAATGTTGTATTTTGCAATGGAAGGAAATTCCTTAAACGTATTATACCATAGTACAGTTTATAGAATCCATTTCATATTTCATTATCATTTAATAACAGAAATTGAATTAAAAAACAAAAAAATTGGTACATAATATGTGAGCCTAATCATGAATTCAGCAAAGATGTGTAACATGTGGTATCTTTTGTGGCTCGAGTTTGTAGCATTTATTTACAAAAGTCTATACATACTTTGATTTCAAATAAAATATATGTGATATAATTGGTATGCTCTGAATGTATGAAACAATACAATGATAATTATCCACGTATATCACTTTCTTTGTCATACATTTATGATAACATTTCTTCCATGAATGATCATGCCTTGATTGAAATATCATGCCTCACATATTGAACTAATGATATAAAACTGAATATGTGAAATGGAAATATATAGTTCTATAACAATTAATTATGTCAAAGAGACAAACATCTTGTGAATTGACCATAAAATGATTTTATATTTTCCAAGGTGGAAAGTAATGCTTGATGGAATGAACCAACAAGAAGTGTGATAGTTAAGATTGTTGCATTCCTTTCGTAGTTTATGTGTAATAATCATGGTACTTTTACAAAGTTAATATTTAAAGTTACCAAATACTGACCAATTACATTAAAATGTTTCAAAGTATTTTCATTACATCACATCTATTCCATACATAGATGCACAATGTAGTGATTTGGGATTTGTAATGAATGATACTGCACACTAGCAGCTTTAATTTCCACTTTAATGAATTTAATTGGATGAACATGCCAAATTGAAACAACAATTGGTTCAAAATCTGAAGTATGTTAGTTTAATATTTGGTTTATATTGAAATAGGAACAAATTGGTTGACTGAAAATGAATGAGTAGGAAAGTTGAAAGATAGAAATTACATGTGTAAACGAATTAAAGCATTTTAGCCTACAGAAAAATATTATAAGTAATGGCTCTGAATGAAATGGGAAAACAAAAATAGTTTTGAGTGCGCAAGTTTGTGGGTATCTTACTATTTCATCGGGCTAAGGTTACCTATCCGCCAAATAAGCAGCCTACCATAAGGGTGGAGTGTCGGGAGGTGACATGGGGGTGTTTTACAAAGACAGAGATCAATTTTAAGTTGGACTTAACTATGACAGGCCATTCATGCCACTGGTTGTTCTCACTATTGGTCTCTCAATTATGATCTTAAGATAATATTTTTTCCTTCAATAATGAACTATCACAAAATGTAAATTATGTAGATTTGTGACCGAGATTTGTATTTTTCCTTCAGAGAACAAGGCCTGTAAATGATATTAAAGAGGAAACAGTGGCATGAACATCCTGTCATGGTTAAGTCGATCTTAGTCTTTGTGAAACACCCCCTCCCCCAGGTCAAGTACAGGAATGCGCAGGTTGTCATTAATACAGATCATGAGTACTTGTGGAAAATAATCCTGTTTTTAGAGGTGATAGACGAGTCTAATGAAATTGTCTGAAGTTAGCGCTCTTCTGCTTTTACAGATACTATTAATTGTACAATTATATTTTGTACCAATATTTTTGTTTTCTTCATGTGTTTAAAATTATTGTATTATATGAAAATGTATTCTTTAATGTAATATACAATTATTCTGCATTACGTTATTGAACGTAGATTGTTGTTTAAACAAACAAAGAAGTAGATTTTTCAAAAGTAGTTGCGATCTTGTTTCGTCTAGTACTCATCCATTATCTCATATCCATTATTGATTTCCATTGCTATGTTCATGTATCTCACAAATGTTAGCTGTATGCGATTTCTGAATATGAATATGATTTATTTTCATACGTTACTTACCTGTACAGGATCATTTTCATTAATGTATAATCGTTCACAACATATTTTTAAAGTAATTTTCTTATGACCAAATTGTACATAGACCATACTGATTTGAGAGGGTGTGATAACATTCAATTTAGAATGTATACTTAAGTTTAAAAAGAGTGTTCTAAGTCTGCTTTTGTTTTGATTATCTACATTGTATAAACACGCCTATTGAGGATCGCATCAGATTTGCAACTGTCAATATGGGTCTACCTAACAACATTTACATGTAGACATATTTGGAAATCAGAATATATTGACTGTGAAAGCAAATGATCAATACAGTGCCTTATTAACATAGTATTTTAAATGTCTGATCTTGTGACTGAATTATACATAGTCAATGTAGACTATTCTAAAATGGTATAGAAACTAAGGAGATAATCATGTTAGTTTCAGTGACATTATCATTTGGTTCTAAAGGTTATTATTTCATTTTTTAAGATTATTTCCCTTTTTTTACTCTTTCACTTCAGTTTAATATTACATTGTATATAATTTCTTTACACGTAGGCCTATATTTGTGTACAGATTAATGTTATGACAAACCGGAGTTGTGTTTATTCCATATCAACGAATCACAATTTCATAATGTCATTTTTCTATGTATAACAAATCACATATGTACAGCGTGAGTCACAACAAGGAAACCCAGATTTAATCCTATAAATAACACGACCGCAACTATTTTAGAAATTTCAACTCAAAGGGAATTTCAATCTCTATTGTATGTCCTATGGAAATCATGTTGACTTAATACTTCATTGTCATGCTCGTACATCTCAATAGGTGACGCACAAGGCTATTGTAATTGCCTTGGGTTAATATTTCGTAAGTAGTTGCTATCGTATTAAATATTGATGCAATCACAACATAGTTATATATTTAGTCGGTTATGCACAAGTTGCAGCCTGTCATCTTTTCTTTATTTGTACACATTGATCAATACAATCACATGGACAGCTGAACAGTAGCAAGTCTCTTTTGACTCTGCCCAAGTTTTTAATGAAATAAATGCTCAACCCAAGATTTATTAGAATTGTATTCATTCCAATTGAATGAACTCATATAATAACTAGATGGAATTTTGACTGCGCGCAGTCGAAAATGATGCCTCCGCCATAGAGCAATTTAAACAAGTTTGGAGTTTAAATCTCCAGTGGTTCTTGAGATATCATGATAACAATCTCAATGTATGGAATTTCATAAGTTGACCTCTGTGACCCTTGACCTTTGACCTACGTGCTTCAAAATCTAATCAGATTGTCTTCCTATGGTGATACACACTATCATTAAGTTTGAAGTTTAAATCTCCAGTGGTTCTTGAGATATTATGATATGGTGATACATACTATCATTAAGTTTGAAGTGAAAATTCTCCAGTGGTTCTTGAGATATCGCGATAACGATCTCAATGTATGGAATTTCATAAGTTGACCTCTGTGACCCTTGACCTTTGACCTACGTGCTCCAAAATCTAATCAGATTGTCTTCCTATGGTGATACACACTATCATTAAGTTTGAAGTTTAAATCTCCAGTGGTTCTTGAGATATCATGATAACAATCTCAATGTATGGAATTTCATAAGTTGACCTTTGTGACCCTTGACCTTTGACATACGTGCTCCAAAATCTAATCAGATCGTCTTCCTATGGTGATACATACTATCCTTAAGTTTGAAGTTTAAATCTCAAATGGTTCTTGAGATATCGCGCTAACAAACTCAATACAAGGAATTTCATTAGTTGACCTCTGTGACCTGTGACCTTTGACCTACGTACTCCAAAATCTAATCAGATCGTCTTCCTATGGTGATAAATACTATTCCCGAGTCTTAAGTTTAAATCTTAAATGGTTCTTGAGATATTGTGATAACGGTCAAACGGGACGGACGTACGGACGGACGTACGGACGTACGGACGGACAACCCGAAAACATGATGCCTCCGGCACCACCTTCGGTGGCGGAGGCATACAAATGAAAGTAACTTGGGCAAGGAAAAAGAAGGTTTATAAAGCTTTTTGAAATGACTAGTCACTAGAGGGCGATATTCAATTTGATGACATCATTTGTGGACTACTCTCCATGCCTTTTGTACATCAAATTTCATGTTTGTTCCTTCTTTCTTGTGATTGAGATAATCTACTCTCCTGAAAGCAAGGTATAGAATGCAAAATGAAATTCTGCTTCACAAGTTAAGAAGTCGGATCAAGAACACAAATAAATACGAAGAAAACGAAAGAATTGTGAGATTTGATGTACAATAGACATGGAGAGATGTCCTCAAAATGATGTCATCAAATTGAATATCGCCCTCTAGTGACTAGTCATTTTAAAAAGCTTTAGCTTCCTTATTCCTTGCCCGATTTTGTTCAAATTTTCATTGATTTTATTCAAATATTTTAAATTTTACAATAACAGTAAATAATAGTATGAAGGTTTTGGTTTCCTTTAAATACGATTGAAACAAGTATCTATACTTATCAGTCTCGTGATATTAGATTGTGGGTTAGTTCTCTTTCTATACTTAGGGATTTTAAGGTGTAAATTTTTATTCGTATCCAATTCACAATGCTATACATTTTAATGTAAACATTCCTAAAAGCGTACATTATTAAAAACGTCATTTCATGGAAGTCAAAATATGCTGCGAAAATAGATTATTGTTTTTTAAAGAAAATTATTCTCTTGTAAATAAATGATATAGAGTGTTCTAAAATGGTATGAGTTTAATACAACAAAATAACGCTGGTATATCCCATTTCCTGAGAGGTGCCTTTCTTCCTAAAATAAAAGTTAATGATTGGAACTGAAATCCATCGACTCATCTTTTCTGTTGTAATCACCGGTGGTCTTGTGTGGTTGATGTACGAGGGAGACTAGAGCCTCGTACAAAATTAGAGAGCAAACATTGTGAGAGACTGAGTGTTTACATGTAGTTACGAGAGCAGTGAGACAATTTCCGTAAGAGTTATCCTGAAGCGTACATAATTGTTTACATGACTATTTACATAATTATTCAATTAATTTCATGAAAGTCAAGGTTTGATTATGGTGTGGAAACAAATGATCATTTTTCGTTTCATTCAAGTCATGCTTGCATGTAATAAGAGCATTTTCAGTTTTTTTTCCCCCAAAATCAGGCTCAAATGGATTTGTACATGCCATATTCAATACAATGGTGTTTAGTAAAGCATGCTATGGAATGCTGTGATAAATATATCACATGAAAGCACCCCGGCCCCTGGATACGTCACTGATATCTTTCCAGTGTTCATGCATTACGATGAAAATATTTTTCTTCACATGCTTTTCAATTCGTCCACAAAAGCTCTCCTAGGTTGAAGTTCAGACTATAAGCCAGACAATTGACTTTATTTCATTCGATTTTTTCTTCTCTTCAATCAATAGCAGGTAGTGCCTGAATTGATAACACCGGGCATCACTTCAGCGGAGCGGTAAAATCCCACATTTAGGCAATTTACAAAGAGAAAGCAAGTTTGATCTCACGGTGGGGTTCAAAAGGTTTATAATTCTGATGTCAATCTGACATTAGTATCGTCATTAAAGTAAATATAAGCACATAGGGGGTTTCCTTACAGTATTGTCCATGAATAGAAATCCAACCTTCATAGAAAAGAACTTTTAGAGAAAGCAGAAAAATCCGGGAAGCAGACAAGTGAAAATTGTAATAAAATCGGACAAAAACTCACAAAGATTTTGACTTTTTGAAAGTTGTAATCAGTATACGTATCTCAACTTTAAATCTTCTGAATCGGTAATGTCTCTGTAATGCAGTGCCAGAGAATTTTCTCGTTTATTCCTGAACACAAACATTACTGATTTAGATTCATCTCTCAAAATGTATTACTCTGGATGGTCTTTTTTTCGTTTAGAGGACCTATAATAATAAACGATCTATAAGAGGCCTACATCTTGAGTAGTGACCCAAGGGAGACGACAATACGAACAAAACGTAAATTAATGGCATGTTTGTAAACGACAAACGGGAGTATTGCTGATGACTACGTCAAAATCCACTGACAACATTGCCAATTTGAGAATCGCATAGCTACACTGATCTTATATTTCAAACATTCATAACTTTCCTATTATTGAGCTGATTGATTTCTTACATTCGCCATTCGGTTTTTCTTATTTTGTTTCACCTTCATACAAATGGACTAGTTACAAAGATAGGAATGCCCTAATTAACCGTGTGCATATGACTCATGCTCCGGTGACCATTGCCCATAGGTCAATATCGTACACTAACTGAATTTCTAACTTTAAATATTAGATTCAAAATTCAAATGATTTTATTTCCCATGCAAAACATAATACAATAACATTTCTAAACATAGCCCTAACTCTTTTGTTTTTACATATAGCTTTGATAAAATGAAACGTCTTGCATGGTTTGGAGTAATACATGTATGATCGGAGTAAGAGAAATGTTTCACAGGGGACAGGTAAAAATGCCAGAGGTAAACATTTCAGAGGTAAACATTTCAGAAGGTAAAAACGCCAGAGGTTTAAATGCTAGACGTAAACATGTCTCATTATATCGTATCGATTGATTAAACTTTGATTTTTTAATTATTCTGTTTAAAAGTGTATTCGGAGCAAGTTTGAATACTGTACGACAAGCTGTTTTTCTAAAAAGGAGTATCAAATGTCAACCAAGCGAATTGTTTGAAAATAGCACCAGACGGAGTTCCCCATGTTATTTTGTCATTAATGTAACATGTCGCCCTCTTGTGGAATTAAATTCAGAATATCATAGTTTGTATCATTTTTCCCTGTCCATTCATTACAGAAAAAAAGCATGAGGATCATGATTAACCCAGTATACCTGGGATAATTGAAGAAAGAAAATATCAGTCTCCTTATAACACCCGAGCAGGCGCGTACGCAGGGGGTTACCCCCTCCCCCAACGGAACAAAATGTCAAATTTTCAAATTTCGAGACCAAAAAAAAAGAAAAAGTGTCCTCTTACCCCCTCCCCCACGCTTATTCAGCGGTTGGCCGAATCGTTGCGATTTTTGGGGCCCGATTTTAACACCCCCCCCCCCCTTGAAAAAAATCTTGCGTACGCCACTGCACCCGAGTTATGTTCGACTTCATTCGCAACTACATTATATCGCTCAAGACCGCTATCTTTAAAGGCCCACTGCACTACTTGTAGCTACTTGCGCCCTCTATATAACAAACAATGCCTAATCGGTGACCATTGGTCCCCCATAATTCTCTTTTTCTTATGTTAACTGAGAGCAGAGTTGATGAGATAACCACCTGTCCAGTGACCTTGCAGGGCAGTCTAATCCCTCCTGTAAACTATGGCAGATAAGCTTTAAGGTTCTGAATTGCAAAAATTCGATAAATTGTGGGGGATCTGTGTTATGCTCGCGCGTTTGTGCATACTTTGGATTCTCCCCTCCTCTGTTTGGAAAATCCGGGATCCACCTCTGATATTTACCATTTCATGTTTTGTGCTTGGCAAACAAACCCTTTTTGTTAACACTTATTTCAATATTCCTTTGAAATAGCGATGCTCGCTTGAATGTTTTCCATTATTCCAGTATTTGCTCCTTGAAGTTGACACAATAGACATGTTTGGTGTTCGGTTTGAAGATTGAGGGTCTTAGTTCATGCGTGGGTGCGGGCCATAGAGCGATAAGTGTTGATCTTGACTTAAAATCGTGTGTAACTCTAATATACTAGCAGGGCATACGTTTTGACAACGACTAGTACTATTTATTCATTTATTCATTTTTGTTTATTAATACTACGATGACGCAATAATATTGGTTTACTAAGCGCTCTGTTTAAAGAACATGCAATCTACTGTATACCACAACTACCTTTTAGGCAATGTTTAACACTAAATGGAAAGCGTGCAACTTATAAATGATACTTGATACTATCTTTACTTAAACACACTTCCAAGTGTCTTAAGCAAAAAAAGAAATATCATTCGAATTAAAGTTTCATGCTCTTAAATCACTTATTTTACATATGGGTCCTTAAAAACAGATTTTTGGTACCTAAACATATTTGGTCTATAAAGCCTCATACCGAAAATGTATTATGATATGTTGGTACCGGAATATAGAGGGTTTCAAGCAGTCCTCTTGATGGTCGTAAGTAGCTGATTCTTTAGGCTCTTTTAGAGAAACAGGTCTATGTGATATGTTTCATTGTGCTGTTCATGGTTGGTTTTCTTCACCAAGCAAACATTTTTAGCCAACATTTTCGATCTGAATTGCAAAAAAAAAAAAATGTTGGCCCCTATACTATTACGATTTCGCACTTGGGACACAATTGGCCAAAATTCAAATTTTACACTTGAATCAATGATTTCAAAAGGAAACTCTGTTTCCCTGCTGTGCAGGCTATGAACCTAACTACCATGTAAGCAATGCAAACACTAATTTCTATAATAACAATTGTCTGGCATTTACTATGGACTTTAACCCAGGGAACCTTTTGTTGAAAAGTGTTGAAAAGTGGGTTGAGAATAATAAATCTCTTCATCGTTATGCATGAATACTAGACATACACCGTTGGCTGATCCAGGAACCAGAAAACACCTACTTTTAGCCCCCCCCCCCCCCCCCCCCCCCCCTCCGCCCACACACACAAAATACGACGATCAAAAAAGGGGAAGGGTAGACTTAATATAGGAGTTGATGACTTTTTTTTATATTTATTTTTATTTGTTATTGCATGATGTTTAGACTTATACCCATAAACTGTGGCAAACTGAAATATCTTAAAGGTAGAATACGGGCCACTATGTTCTATATGAAGGCCAAACAAATGAAAAGGCTAAATTCTAACGGCATTTGAAAGACAATACTAATTTAGAACTTGCCTAAAAAAAGGAGGACTTGAAAATGTCTTTAAATAGGAAAATAACGACTATTAGTTGTTGAATCGACTTAGGAGCTATAGAACCAGTAAGTAATAGTCTCATTTGTCAGACCATCGTACCGAATCGTCGTACGTTATATGCTGCCCAAAGATTCAATCAGTTTTATTTTGGCCATTACAAGAAGTGGGTTATTGATGTAGACAAATGCTCATGTACTCTTTACAGCTCATTGTATGAATGTTATTACCCAAGATGAAAAAAGCCAGTCAGTCACTCAATAGTGTCTGAAAGTGAAGTCTAGCAAGTAAACGAGTTTCCTTGCATATTTTGAATATTAGGACACTGCTAATGTTTAAATTTTACAGCTTGGACATACATGACATATTCATAATTCCTGAAAAGTTCTACAGAATTTGAGGTTGGCTGCAAAAGGGACATAGTATCTTTATATATTTTTAAATCCTTTTTTTTATCAATATCCCCTCGTTGAAAAGAAAAGTAAAAGCACATTAAGTCCAGATTAATTGCTGTTAGGAATATATACACGACTCTATAAAATGCACAATAAAAACACAGTACATAACATAATATATTGAAACATAGTGTATAGGTCATACCTGATTTAAAACATCTTGAAATCCATCAGCTGTTGAGAATCGTCACAAACTTAAATTAGGTGGGTCATATAGTTAATGAAAAACTATTTTTAAAATGCTACCAAAACAATAAAATATTAATAAAAATAGTTTGTTTTTCCCTGCAAAATCTCAAATCTCAAATAAAGGATATCTCAAGTACATTACAATTGTATTTTCTGCGAGTGTAAAACATGAGAATAGGTAGATCAGAACATGGATCTACTTATTACTCATCATCATAATCATTATAACTGTATTGTCATTACCATTATTCGAATAATAGAGGCAAAAGTTGTTGCTGTTACAAAAAAAATCTGGTGTATGTAAACATTCATAACGTGTGTCAGTGTTCGCCTAAGTACATGTATATGCATGAAAACTATTCTTAGAGTGCAGACACCGTTATGCAGCCCAAGAGTGGATTGTGACCGTAATCCTTTGGCTGTAAGTGCTTGTGTAGGTGTTCGCGCGAGAAATCTCGCGTCTGATTACGATCATTCTCTCCTCCACAGCCCCCCCCCCCCTACACCCTCCTCGGAAAATGATGTATGCCACTGAGCATTAGAATGATTAAAGCACATCATACAGTCGAAATACGGATTCGTTGCTTGGGGAAATACACATGGAATTGAAAGAAATTCAAACAATACCTTCCTTCAAGCTAGGAGGAAGTAAAATTTTGTTTGTAAAATATATGCAACTATTTATCAACAAGCATTTGTTCCTTTTATTCCCTACTCTATGTAATGCAAGTTATTTAGAAACCACGGACTAACGTTAACCCTTCACTAAAGGCCGACGCCGGGTGCAACCGGTGTGCGCAGGATCGCCTTGGTCAGTTCAGGTCATCCCGCTTCTCGCCCACGAGACCAACATTAACAAAAGAAATACTTAACCGACGTTCCACTAGAGCGACAGCCCAAGGGGTCGACAATGACACAAGCTTCAAGATACCAATATTGGCAAAAAGTTTACAAGACCTCGAATTCCCACTAGATCCGGTGGAGACCGACAAAGTTAGAAGAAATACATGAGACAAATATAGCATTGGAGAAGGTTTCAGAAGGTCCACGATACCCATGACACAAGTCACCGACAGCCCGTTAGACTGACGAAACAAAGAATTACATAGGGGAAGATAGAAAAATGCTGGTTTCCTGGGCTGTAGCCAACATCGAGAAATATAGACAAATTAGGTAAAGTAAATTCCAAAACAACTTTTTATAAAATTGTCCTATGTGGTGAATTTATTGCGAATACAAGTACAAAAGTACGGTAATTTTGATGGCAGATTTCACGAAAGATTCTGCGTTTAGAAATTTAAAAAAGCACCAACAGTCATATTTTACGGTGATGGAATAATAATCATTCTAAATGAACCATCTATCATTGCGTTATTCGAACTATTAATACAGAAAGTTTGACGTGATTTTCAGTTTGTATTTATCCATAATGTTCACGTATCATGGGGAAAACGAGAACAAAATAGTGCGATCGATCGAGTGGGTTAGCTCAATACAATTTTTTCCAGTAAATATCGCTGCGACTAGCTGGTTTCGGTTCATTCTAAATAGTCAACCGTGCATATCTTCTCTTTGCATGCATTACATTCCATCAAGGTGATGTGGTCATGATGACGTACTATCATGAATATGTTCTAAAAAACAACGCCCGTTTCTCACAAAAGGATCCGCCATTTTCGCCATGACTGTTCCATCGGTTAGTTTGATCGGGAAACTGTAAGCACACACAAATGAATTATTTACTTGCTATCTGTGTGTAATATACCACCAAACACAAGGTAAATTCTTCGGATAAAAAGCAGAGAGCTAAATTTAAAGAAAAGTTCCCATCGTTTTACCGTGGACAAATTGGACAATCTACAATTTCATTTTGAAGCAACAGAGCTTTCATGCTATTTATGGATGGGCCGGAGAACGTTGGTTTATGTGAAGGAAATCAGACCAAAAAGGTGGAGATATCACACTTGTGCAGACAGCGTCAGGCCTGTCCGAGATGGATTCTTTAATTTTAAAATTGGAATTATGCTCGCAACTATTATTGGTGGTTGGTTATTGGTGGATATTTTACCTGACTGCAAGGAAAGCATAAATAAATGCTTGTAAGTAAGCAACCAACCAGACGGGCGACGGCTTTAGGTCCTCTCCGAGGAACCTGGTAATGAGGATTAATGTCTTAATACCAAATGACACTCAGGCATCGACTTGGTTTCGAACCCGGGTCACCGGAGTACGAGACCACTGCTCTACCAACTGAGCTATTGCGCCTCCTCGATCACTTTATCACGTTAGAACCATTCCTTTAATTGCCGTAGTTTCCAAGGCATAATCATTAGTAGGCTTCGACTATAGTTTAAACCCGGAGGGTAACAGAGAAAGACATATACCTCTTAGACTGTAGAGCGGGTAACCTCATTGACGTATTTAGTCTCTTCCAATAACGATTTACAGAACGCAAAGGTGACTTTGACAAACACAAAACGAAAGATAAAGAAATTGCTCACAATTGGGACCATAGACAGAGCAAAAGATGGCCCAAAGAGCAGCAAATGAGCCTAATGAGGACGATACACCCCTTAACAAGGCAGCCTTTAAGGGCAATCTTGACCTAGTTCAGTACCTCATTAGTCAAGGAGCAGAAGTTATCAAGAGTGGTAATGATGGTCTGACACCTCTTCACTATGCATCAATCACTGGTTATATTGATGTAGTTAAGTACCTCATTCGTCAAGGAGCAGAGGTTGACCAGGGTGAACATGATGGTCAGACACCTCTTCACTTTGCATCACGCAATGGTCATCTTGATGTAGTTAAATACCTCATTGGTCGAGGAGCAGAGGTTAACAAGAGTGATAATAGTGGTCAGAAGGCACCTCTTCACTTTGCATCACGCAATGGTCATCTTGATGTAGTTAAGTACCTCATTAGTCGAGGAGCAGAGGTTAACAAGGGTGATAATGATGGTCAGACACCTCTTCACTTTGCATCACGCAATGGTCATCTTGGTGTAGTTAAGTACCTCATTAGTCAAGGAGCACGGGTTAACAAGGGTGATAATGATGGTCAGACACCTCTTCACTTTGCATCACGCAATCGTCATCTTGATGTACTTAAGTACCTTATTAGTCAAGGAGCACGGGTTAACAAGGGTGATAATGATGGTCAGACACCCCTTCACTATGCATCAATCAGTGGTCATCTTGATGTAGTTCGGTATCTCATTAGTCACGGAGCAGAGGTTAACAAGGGTGATAATAATGGTATGGCACCTCTTCACTGTGCATCCATCAATAATCGTCTTGATATAGTGAAGTACCTCATTAGTCAAGGAGCACAGATTGATCAGCATAATGATAAGGGTGTGACGGCTCTTCACTATGCAAAACTCAGTAGTCATCGTGATATAGTTCAGTATCTCAGGAGTGAACAAGCACGGAGGAAAGAACCATCACCTGAAGGTATGATTCACATTTTAACATGGGCGGCTATATCATTTAAAAAAGTTTTGTTTTGAATAGGGACAGAGCTGTCATTTTATTTCGTCCTTTACCTATTTCAAAAGGTATTAGTTAAAATATCCCCATATAAATGTTGACGATGTAATGTTTGTCCTTAATGTTTTAAAGGATGTACTTTTTATCCCGCCTTACCCAGATTGTAGAACAATATTCAGCAAAATTTCCTGATCCTATAACTGAACGAATTGTAATCAAAATAAACGCTATATTGCCATTTGGTGTAATACAAAGTTCGTCCAATTTTACAGGTACAGTTAAACCCGGTTTAACTAAACCAGACTTCAAGTCTAAGTTTCATTTCAGTTTCTAAAGGCCAGGTTTAGTTAAACCCGGGTTTAAGTCTAGTCTAAACTTAAACCCATGTTTAAAGTTAAGCCAAGGTTTAAATGCCATGGATATGTAGTCTGCTTCTACTGCACATGCTCAGTACAGCTCACCACCCATCTTCCAGGGAAACTGCTAGCTGGATTCCGTGCTACAAATGTAATAATTTCAATTAAAAATACTTGACACAAAAAATCTCTTTCGAAGCAACCGTTGAACGTTATGGCGTGATTTGTTTATATTTTTTAATGTTGACAGTTTTGCTTTCTGTGGCAGGCCAAATTTGTGTCTTTATTCTGACGTATTCGATGTGTTTTCTTGATCTTCATTATTAAAGATGATACTGATGATAACAAGGGAAACGGCGACCAACTGACATCTCTCAAACATGACTCGGGGAGCAATCGGGATTATATTTCCTTCGGTGGTCTTTCGGCACCGCCTGAGATCCTCGCTCGGGGGCCAAGAGCACGGCGAGCGTATGCGGAAGCAGCTCAAGCTGGCACGAAGAAAGTATTCCGAACGCGCCTGATGCTTGTTGGTCAAGAACGTGTTGGAAAGACAAGTCTAAAGAAAACTCTTACAGGACAAAGGTAATGTCTTTATTATTCCCTTATCTCTTTAAACAAAATCCCCCCCCCCCCTCTCTCTCTCTCTTTATTGTTCCTTGGGTATCTGCCTCTGTATTGTGTATTTCTTCCATTCACTTGAAAACAAAACAGACAACTTTATTACCAGTCATGTTGACTCAACATTTTCTGTTTGGATACATGGAATCTTTGACCAGCATAAAGGGCCAGGTAGCAAGATGATTTGATCTTGTTTATTCTGATTTCTCGGTAATGAAAATAGTTCCCTTTGTGATTCCTCTTCCTGTTTTAATCGCATTTATCTCATATTTTCTCTTTTGTTGGTTATAGAATCATTTTTAATCAGTGAAAATGTACATGTATTATACATTGTGGTCGTTTGTGATAACATTTGTGAATGTGCAAATTATGTCTACTATAGTGTAATCGTGATGTGATGTCTATCATTCAATGGGCTATCCAATTGTTATGGCAAGTTGCTTTGAAGGAAATCTGGTAATCATTGTTTTGAAAGTCGTAATGTCGTGTGATGTCGTGTACGGCAACTTCACCATTGTGGTACAAAATAAATGTGATATAATTTGCCAATGTGAAATTCGATTCAGTTAAATAATGGCTTATTAGACAACATGTTAGACGACAATAAGCCGTGAATACACATAATAAACAAATATTCAATACGCCAGGATCTATAAACAGTAATAAACATTGATACAAAAATTATCAAAGTTATAAAAATAAAGCACATACTTGAAAAGGATCAGAATATTATAGATGTATATGTATACTACATATGATCTCTGTCTCTCTCTCTTTTTCTTTCTTCTTTACTTGAAGTACAACCCTGTGGGACAAGGTGCCCTGGATAGAACTGAAATTCATGATTTTTTGTATGTGGCAATATATGGGAGAGCTCTTCATCCCCAACTACGTCACAAATCATTGTACAATTGAATTTACATTATTCAACAATTTTAGATTTGCATAATTCATTATGAATTTATCAGATTTTGTTAATTGTACTCGGATTTGTCTAACTTTACCAAATTCAGCTTGTGAACTTTTTGCGTAGAGATTTATTGTTTCGGAATATTGTGCGTATATATCATGATTACTAATAATTATGTTATATATATTTTTTAAATCTATTATTATAATATTTATTAATATTGTTAATAGTATTATTATTATCATGTTATTATTTGCTTCAGATTTGAACAAAAAGAGGCAATAACGGACGGTGTAGAAACAACAAATGCATTTGAAATTTGCATCGAGGTTGCAAAGGCTGGCGAGAAAATGTGGTCAATTCACAGGAAAGGACATGGGAAAGAAGACATAAAAGGTAAGTAGAACTTTAAAAAAGATTTTGACTTTACTTTAAAAAAATATAAAAAATTATCTGAATAAGTATATCTGTAATTCTAGCATCAAACTGATGGTGACAAATGAGGACAGTAAACACCATTAAATCAAAACTATAAGCCTATATTTTCATTTCAATATCTTAAAGACCGTCAATACTACTGGGCCAGAAGTAATTAGACCACACAGCGAGGTCACTGACAGGTGGCTATCTCATTAACTCAGCTCTCAACTAACATAAGAAAAAGAGGATCATGGGGGACCAACAGGCACTGATTGGGGAATTTTTCTATATAGAGGGAGCAAGTGGTTACAAGTAGGACAGTGGGGCTTTAATGTTACAATTTATAAGCAGATAGTGGCTGTGGTTTATAAATGTAATTTATTCCTATTTTTTCTTCTTCTCATTATTATTGTCATTTTCTTATTATTATCATCATCATTGTTATTATTGTTATCAAAATCATTTTTATTTGGATTGTTGTTTTTGTTATGATTATTTTTAATGTTATTATTATTATTATTATCATTAAGAATTTCCGTTTCGGTTTAATAAAATTTGGAGTGGACTATTAGGCTATTATTATTATTATTATTATTATTATTATTATTATTATTATTATCATTACTACTGTCTAAAACGTTTCCTGATATAGCAGTCACAAAGTTATAGTACTTGCAGTGGTAATAATTATATAGATATAAGAAGTGAATTGATATCATGGCAATGTCACTGTGTTTGTACTGCTATGTAAATGTCCTATTATCGAACTGATTAATAGGCTGCAAAGTTTTCAATCATTTTTCACGAGCTTCTTTTCCCTACAGAGCTTTTATTTTTATTATGGATAGCATGTTGTTATAAGTCACCAAAACATATCCTTTTCGGTCTTAAGTTTTGAAGAAAAGCATATTTTAGTCAAGATGTGTATTAAAACAATTGAAGGACTCGCATATTAAACATCATAGCATATTTCTAGCTATCTGGTAATTGTTTAACTTGCTATAAAGGCAGGATTGCACATCAAATTGTTCATTAAATTCTGGAGTCATACAATCATATATTACAATGTAATAAATGATACATGATGATCTATTTTCAAAGAGGATGAATATAGTAAAGCTCTTGCGGATGAAATAGCAAAGAGGCTGATCGTCACCCCACCACAGGTAATTATTATCTCTACACAGATATTGTTTTTTATTGGTTTGAAGTAAACCAGTAAGAGAGAATGAAATGGCTATCGTACTTGTCAATCCAAATAAAAAAATCTCTATAAAAAAAGGAAATGTAGAAGTGAGTTATGATTATGATGGAAAAGTGAAATTCGGCAAGAATATTTTGTTTTATTTCATGACGATCATTCAAACAATTAAATGATATCGGAAATCGTGCTTAATGAATTTGATAGCAATATATTTGAACAGTAAGTAGAGATCAATACTTGCATGGGTTATATTATGTTACATTGCACTACAGTTTATCGAGGTCGCTGTTTCCCTTACATGTGCATTTCATAAATGATACTATATTTTCATTATTTGTATTAGTGCAATAGTTTTTATATTTAACTCGGTATTAGCCATTCAAGTATTCATGAACCCTAATACATGCATTAGCTGTTTGCATCTGGAATGTCAAGTACATATTCAATCATGCAACGACACAATAAATTGCTCTTGACCAGCCTAGAATGACAGTGTAAACGAAAAAAAGAGAAGGATCATTTCATCAACCACTTAAAAAAGTAGAACTGGTTGCTAATTGTGATGCGGCCATTGCAAGCTGCTCGATGACAATCTTTATACTGGTTTATTTTGTGTACAGGATCAAGAAAGTTTGGAACCACACAGCGATACTACTCTCGGCAGAGGCCTGAATCCTGTAGAAGCAGGTTAGTGAATGTATTTGTTTTGTTTTTTGTTAGGTGTACCGTGTTTGCGTTGTTTATTTGCGGTGTTTGTCAGTTTTGTTTTTTTGTTTTCCTAATTTTAGATCAATCCTTTCTTCATTGTTCATAAGATATAAAGTTTAACACAAATTGATGACGAATGATGATATTCATGTTGTTAACTTCATTTCTGTTTATGTTTACTTCATGTTCATTGATATCATAATCGCGATTATTATTATTATTACGTTGTTATCATCATGATTATAATTACTGTCTGACACGTTTCCTGACATATCATTATAGTTCTTGCAGTCGTAATGTGGATATAAGAAGTTTTGTTACTGCTCAGTAAATGTCACATTAGCGAATTGGTTAATAGACTGCATAGTATTTTAAACTACTTTCTAAATTCCTGTACAATCTTGTTTTGTTTTTTCCTTCAGACTTTGTTATTCTTATTATGGAAAGGATGTTGTTAGAATTCACCAAAAATTATCTTTTTTCAGCCAAACGTCTGAAAGAAAACTATATTTTAGTCAAGATGTGTATTAGCACAAATAAATCTGGTAATGTATAACCTTCTACAAAGGCAGGATTGCACATCATATTGTTTATTAAAATCATATCAATTACATCACTCTGAGGTCATACAATCTTATATAACAATGTAATATATGATACCATAGTATAATATGGTTTTTTATAATTTACTTTCACAGAAGATGAATATATTAAAGGTCGTGTGGATACAACAGAAAAGAGGCTGACCATGACCCCAACACAGGTAATTATCATCTTCATGACTGTGCATATATTGTATTTCTGATTTAAGGAAAAACCAGTGAAAAAGAATGAAATGGGTATCGTATTTAGTAATCCAAATTAAAATCTCTATGAAAGTAAATGTAGACGTGGGTTATGATTATGAAGAAGATGTTAAATTCTGCCAGAAAAAGAAAAAAAATGAATAACCTCAGAAACTTGCTCAATGAATTGGAAAGCTGCTCAATATGCCTAAGTAGTAAGTACAAAATGATAATTATATGGGCTGTCTCAGACTACAATGCATACAGCAGAGTTTTTTCAAGTGGGATACCGGGGCACCCTGGGGGTGCCGTGAGATAAATTAATTCAATATTTGTTGTTGTTGATCCATTATGAAATAAACATCAATTTCGTGAAGAAAAAAATATTAGAAACCCTAATGTATTTTCTTGAAGAAATAACGTTGTAAAGACAATTACGAGTCTTTTTCCCACACTCACTTTAGTCTCTCGCAAGATTTAGAAACAGTAGGATTTTAGGCAGTAAAGTTAGTCTCTTTTGACAGCGAGGTGCTCGAATATATCTTACATTTTTATATCGAAATATCGTCATTATGTTCGTGCATCGAGGTGACCAAATATATGATTTTTGATTCATGGTTTGGGCAGCGAGGTTCCTGCATATATGATACCATTTTTTAGCTGGTGTTCTTTGTTTACAAAATAACAATTTTACCACTCTAAAAATGTCTTTGCTTTTGCTCATTCGCTTCGGTCGCTCCCTAATTTTACAAAACGAAATGTGTCCGTAATATCCATAGGTGTGTACATGCACTTGATGTGTACCGGAGAAATGGAAAGTGAATCTTTTGTAAGTAATTCGGGAATTAGGGCTACACAAAACTTTTTATTTTCATAAAGGTTGCCGCGTTTTGAGAGAGGTTAAAAACGTTGCACTACAGTATGTCGGGGTTACTGTTTCCTTTCCATATGCATTTAATTTATGATATTAAATGTTGATACACAAGTCTAACAGCCACAAAATTTGTAAGCTGTTTTGGAAAGCGGATTCTATACCATCATGCTCTTAGTGTTGGCTCAGTAAATAGAGCGTCCGCCTCACAACCGGGAGGTCGTGGGTTCGAACCCCGGCCGCGTCATACCAAAAGACGTTAAAAGATGGGAGTTGTTGCTACCTTGTTTGGCGTTCAACAATAAGGGATAGAGCAACGTCGATCTGGCGCTGCTCAGTGGCTGCCGGGCTAACGATCAATTGGGCAAAAAGAATTTCCGTTTCGGTTTAATACAATTTGGAGTGGACTATTAGGCTATGTTTATGTTTTATGTTCATGTATGTTTATGAACTTCAATTTCATTACTGTAAAACAAGTTTACATTTAACTCAGTATTAGCCATTCAATTATTTATACACCCCAGTACATATATTAGCTGTTTTGCATCTGTAATGCCATGATCTTAGTCATTTGATTACACAAGATATTACTCTAGACTAGTAAAGAATGACAGTGTAAACGAATAAACAGTGGGATAACCTTATCTACTACTTTTAACAATTATGATGCGGTTTGGTACAAGTTGATCGATGACAATCTTAATACTGGTTTATTTTGTATACAGGACCAAGAAAGTTTGGAACCACACAGCGATACTACTCTCGCCAGAGGCCTGAATCCTGTAGAACAGGCCTTCTCAACTAGTTTATTAGAAGCGCCAAAACAAAAATGAATTGAGGTTGAAGTGCCAACCTGTATGTTTGGTGACTGTGTTACGAGGGAGCGTAGGACCGAGCCGATACCGGGGGGGGGGGCGAAGCCCCCGAAAGCTAGTGGATTTTAGGTCTTTTTTGAGGCCCAGATGTGGCATTTTCCCGGGCCCCCCACTCAGAGGTCGGAATGACCGCATGCGTGTTGCCAAAATGTCCGGTAAAGGGGTACTTTTCGTGCAACAAAAGTCCGGCCCGAGAATTGTAAAAAAAGGGGTGTATTTGAATTTCACCCGGAGATTTCTTTAAAAAGGGGGTGTTTTTCTTTTTTTCTCTCATCTCTTTGGACTCCTGAGAAATTATTCCGAATTTAGGGGGGTACATTGAGCATTTTTCCTGATTTAGGGGGGTCTCCAAGGCAGGAAAAGCCCGCGAAAAGCCCGCGAAAGGGGGGTTCGGAAATGTTGGCAGTCCTCAGATAGGGGGTGCTTTCAAAAAGAGGTTACGAGCATATGCGTACCCTAAATAACACTGAGTGGGGGGGGGGGGGGCCGGGGGCATTTTTAACACCTTTTTGTTCCATAAAACATCAATCATAATTTCATATTGATGTGAATTAATTAGTACAATTCCTGGCTAAAATCTACACTGGAAGTTAATTTATATATGTAATTATTTTGGTGCAAATGTCAAAATGAAGTGAAAATCAAACAAACAAAATGGCTTGCTTACATTTTGGGTTCAACTTCGACTGCGACTTTTTGATTTTTCTGAGTTTTTTTATTTCAATATAAATTGTTTTAATGTTGTTCTTTCTTTAATTTTTAATTTTTAATTTGTATTAATTTTTTGGAACAGCCGCGCGCCACTCTGACTGACCGCAAGCGCCACGAGTGGCGCGCGCGCCGCCAGTTGAGAAGGCCTGCTGTAAAAGCAGGTTAGTGTACTTGTTTGTTTTAGTATTTGCTATATTTAGTTTTTTGTGTTGTCTGTTTGTTTTCTTAACCCTCGACCAATCCTTAATTCATCGTCCAAAAGATATAAAGTATCAATTCAAGTTGATAACAAGGTGGTGAGTGGCAAATGTGGATTAATCTCTGGCCAAAGGATGTTAGTGTCGTGCTGGGATTCGAACCCTCTACCACTGCATTGTAAGTGATTATCCAGTGATTAATTTAAACTGTAATCAATTCTGATATATTAATTGTCAGTTACATGAAATATTCTCATAATAATGAATATGATAAAAGTATTCACATTTGGAGGCCTTATTTAGGTGGTATAATGATATTGCACACGCACCACTCCCCTTGGAAGTATTTTGACAATTTAACAAACGCACACATGCCAATCCAACCACATTAACGTTCGCATCCTTTTTGGTATCCATTTAACACCTGAGCGGAGAGTGGCAGATGTAGATTAATTATGAATGTATATATCCTACAGACACATGTATTTCTCCTTTATTACAGCTGAGTTTTTCTTGGAATTTGTGGAGAAGCCCAAGGCTAAAGAGGAGAATGACAATATGCCAAGTCAAATAGCAAGTCTGGTGGAGAAAATGCTTAAGGAACAGGTTCATCTTAAGGTAGAATTCAATTTTGAACCTTGTATCTTGATGTGGGTTAAAAGGTACACGATCTTCTACAATGCCTTGATTTTATCCTAGAATCTTCCACTTCTTTGTCCCGTGTTGTTATAGGATCTATGTCCTTGCATGCATAATCTATCTGCGTGTTACCACAGCATAATAACTTTTAGCAGGATGTAATGAGTCTGTTTCTTCAAAAGTGCAATGAACCATATTTTGCGCAGGTAACAGAATTGTTCAGGTTTACTATATGACTGTCTCGAAAGTAAGTGGTGTGTACCTACCTGGCTACCTGGCTGCCACCGTCAGTTGCTGGCGATTGGCGACCACATCTGCACATCTTCTTGTTGTCTTTCTCCAATTGTTTCTGTCCTGTGCTAATCTTTTGGCTTCTGTATATGTGAGACCTGTCCATTCTTTGATGTTATCAAACCACTGCTTTCTCTGTCTGCCTCTTTTTCTTTTTCCTTCTACTTGGCTTTCTATTATTTGTGCTGCTAAGGGGCTCCCACTGCCACGCAGAATGTGTCCAAAGTAACCCAGTTTGAGCCGGGCCACTTTTCCAAGGAGATCTCTTTCTGTGTTTAGTTCTTGTAGAACACTGAGGTTAGTTCTTTTGTCCTTCCAGCTGATCTTTAACATTTTCCTCCAGAACCACATTTCTGCTGCCATGATGCGATTTTCATCGGCTTTGAGCAGTGTCCAGCTTTCGGCACCATAAAGCAAAGCACTCCAAACCAGGGTTTTGACCAGTTTTATTTTCAGACCGGTTGAGATGTTCCTGTCATTCCAGAGTACATGCAGGTCAACCATTCTCTTCTTTGCTATGGCTATTCTTATCTTTATGTCATTGGTACAGCTGGCATCGCTGTTCTTTGTAGATCCGAGGTATTTGAAGCTTTCCACATCCTTGACTGTTTCCCCGTCGATCTGGATGTTACAATCAGTGTCTGAGGTTTTCCCAGCAACTAGGAGTTTAGTCTTTTTGACATTTAAATGCAAGTTGAGTTTCTTGCCGGCATCATTTACTGCATGAGTGAGACTTTCGATTCCATCTTTGGAAGATTCGATAAGTGCTGTGTCGTCGGCATATCTGAGATTCGAGATGTTTTTGCCACCAAATTTAATGCCATAGTGCGCAACATCTGCTTCCCTCATCCCACTTTCTGTGTATGTGATGAAGAGGTATGGTGATAGGATACAGCCCTGTCTTGCACCTTTTCCTATCTCAAACTCTTCAGTATGTTCACCATCCCATCGGATTCTGGCTCTTTGGTTAACATAGAGAGATTGGATTAATGTGAAGAGGTGTTTTGGGAAGCCCATTTCTAAGAAGATGGAGAAAAGTTTGTTGTGACTCACATAATCAAACGCCTTTGAATAGTCTATGAACATAATAAAAGCTTGTTGATCCATGGCAATCACCTTCTCAAGTAAAACTTGCAAACATACAAGCATGTCTCTGGTCCCTCTTCCTTTTCTGTAGGCAGCCTGATCTTCTGGTTGCTCTTGCTCTAACTTTTGTTTCATTCTGTTAACAATTATCACGAGTAAGATTTTGCTGGTGTGACTGACAAGGGCAATAGTCCTTTAGTTTGAGCACAGTTTTTGATCCCCAGATTTAAACAGAACAACAAATTCCTGTATCTTCCATTCATCTGGCCAATGGCAAGAAGTCCAAATGCTCGCACACAATTTGTGGAGAAATTTGATACCATATGATCCTGTAGCTTTCACCAGTTCGGCTGGTATTCCATCAATTCCTGGTGACTTTCCTGCTCTGAGCTTCTTCACCGCATGTTCAACTTCTGAAAGAAGTGGCACTGGTTCTTGTTCCATTATAGGGACCTGCTCTTCTGTTTGTGGACACTCATCATTTGGTCTTTCGAAAAGCTCAGTTCCATATTCTTTCCAGCGGTCCATTATGTGTATCCTCTGATCTAAAATGATGCCGTTCTTGTTTTTTATGCATGATTGTTGTACTTCTCTGGGGTTGGTCTTGACCGATTTGATAGCTGAGTACATTTCTTTGGCTTTACCAGCTATGTTGAAATTGTTTTATCCTTCCTTATCTTTCTTTGGATTTCTGATCTAGACTCTTGTACCTTTCTTCCTTGGCTTTAGTACCTTTGTCCCGTCTTAATCTGCTCTTTTCTTCAGCTAGTAAGAGAACTTCGTTACTAATCCAGGGCTTCTTAGCATGTCTTGTTTCTTTACCAAGGGTAGCTTCAGCAGATTCTTTAAGCACTGTTTTGTAGACTGTCCATATAGTTTCTGATGAAGATTCTTTGTTAGCTTCTATTTCAGAGAGATTCTTCTTGAATTTAATTTCTGATGAGTTCAAGAAAGACTGTAGCGTGTTGGGATCTTCGAGTGCTTTGACATTCAGTCTTCTTGATTTTGATATCTTGCTGACTTTAGACAGTTTGATTTGCATCTTTTCGACTAACAGTATGTGGTCCGTATCGCAGTCTACTCCTGGAAAAGCTTTGGCATCTTTGATGCTTGACTTCCATCTGCGCCTGATCAAGATGTAATCGATTTGGTTCCTGTACCTGTCCCCAGGAGATTTCCAAGTGTATAGATTCCTCTTGTGGTGGTCAAACGTTGTGTTTGTTAAAATAAGGTTATTGACATGACAGAATTCTGCTAATTTATCTCCACTCTCGTTTCTGTTGCCAAGGCCGAATTTGCCTACTCCACACCTGATGTCCTCACCTTTTCCAATCTTAGCATTGATCTCTCCCATGATTACTAGTGTGTCCCCATTGTTTACTTTATCTACAGTTGTTTGTAGTAGGCCATAAAACTGTTCTATAGTGTTCATGTCATGTGTTGATGTGGGAGCATAGACCTGGATGATGGTGAGGTGTTTTGGTTTTGCTTTCAGTCTTACCATCACAATTCTCTCTGATACTGGAGTGTATGCATCCAGTGCATTTCTGGCTTTGTTTGTGAGTAAGATGGCTACACCACTTTCACTTTTGCCGCTATCCTTTCCTGAGAAGACAATAGTGGTGTCTCTGTCTGGGTTGAGTACTCCTTCCCTTTTCCATCTGGTTTCGCTTAGACCAACTATGTTCAGTTCCATACTCTTTAGTTCTTTTATCAGGAGTTCCAGTTTTCCAAGTTGGTTCTTTGTTCTCACATTCCAGGTGCCTAATCATAGCACTTGCTTCTTCTTGCATAGGTTAACAACAGACGGGTTTGACGTCCTGCCATCAGATGATATCCTTTCCGAGGCGGAGTTTGGGGTACCACCGTCATGGGCATATCTTGCCGCTGTCGCCTCCTCTTCCCCAGTAGCATCACGGGTGGGCACCCTGGGGGTCTCAACTTCCACCTGAAAAGGCTTGTTTCTCTTATTTAATCTGTGCATCATGTGGTATTCTCGGGAGAGATTTACGACAGTGGGTTCCCGTTACCTTCTGCCTCACCCTGGTCTGTTCGTCCCCATTGAAGTCAATGGGTTAACAACCCCCACCACGAGAAGGTGGACCAGGACGCTTGCCTGTATCTCACAAGTCGGTTGACCCCTCACTTAGCATGCTATTTCTACATGTATGAAGCTACCAGGGCCAGTCTCCTCCTTGTATGGTCCATCACCAACAACAGTGATAAGAGACACAGGCTTATAGGGGGTTGAAACGTTAATGTTAACATAAATGTTTCTACAGAGCTGTGACTGCCAGCATAAACAGATATATCCACCTCTGATCAGGGGTATACTAATCTGTTACAGTTAATGGTACCATGGTGTGTTACCACAGGAATGTATAACTGAAGATAATCCATTAGATCCAGAAAGATGGAGAGATGGAAAGTAACAGTATTTATAAATCCAAATAAACATACATATGAACAGACCAGCTGATTTCAAACTTGTTTTGTGTCAGGAGTGGGGTGAAAATGTATGTCAGATCCTCAGGCACATGAGAGTGAGAAAGATCTATTAAGGGGAAAACAAAGAAAGGTTGCCTTTATTGGAACAGGTTTCCACGATAAAGAAAATGCCTTGTATAAAGGAAACATAACCCCTTTCTGTTACTTGCTGCTCATTCAGAGATATGTTGGACTATATATATTTTTGTTTGCTGCACTGGAGTGAATATATATATATATATAGGATACAAAATGGTTTTTTGCTTACTAGATATTTTTGCTCATACCCTGCTAAAAATAATGCTACGGTATGTGACATAGAAGATTACTTCATGATACAAGTTTGGACAAAGTGGTTTTGTGATTGTGTTCAGGATCAGTACTGATGTTCCTATTATATTTTTTACAATTTTGTTTGATAATTGTTCATATAGATGTGTATTCATTTTCTTCATTCCTCAGGAGATAGGAAAAGAACGGATTAATCGTGATAGCGGAGAAGGAGTCTTACTAAGTATATGGGACTTTGCCGGACAAGACATATACTACACAACCCATCAGGTAAAAGAACATTTAAGAACATTAGATTCCTTGTAAATTATACCGTTGTGTCATGAAAGCAAATGTGAAAAGTGTTGTTAGATTCTGGAATTTAAAACAATGTAATGAATTGTATTAACTACAGTCTTCCATACATCCATCATGGCATTCATGTCCTAAATATTTGATATTTCTCCGATTATTTTTTTCTGATCAGTTTCAGTGTAGATATCTCATTCTCAAAGAAATTTGAAATGGAGACTATTATTCCATTGTCTCGATATAATGCTTTAGAATCAGGGCACATGGATTAATGTACATTTAATATGCATATTTTTATTGAGAATGTGACACATTGAAGCTTACATCTAAAAGCAGTAATTCAACCGATCCACCTTGCATTCATCAGTTACGAAAAACATAATAAACATCAAATTTACAAGGGGGTATGAATTATTTAGTTGTCAATCGTATATAAACAGTGCACGATGTCCCGTATTATAGAAAAATAGAGCAAATATAAATATCATAGAATGGTAGTTATTAAATATGTATGGTTCATTTGTATTCACTTCTCTTGTAGGTGTTTCTGACGTGGCGAGCCATTTATGTGATTGTCTTTGATCTCAGTAGAAGTTTGGATTCTGTCGTTCCCCCTGAATCGAGAGACGAGTATTATGAAATGGTATTTCTTTATTTAATTTTATATTGTTCAAGTTCAAGTTCAGTTCATTTCATATCCAATAAAAATGTACAACAATATAACATTCAAATACAATAATATAGAATATGTCATGAGATAAGAACAAATACAACAACAACAGTATAACACTAAAAATAATTAATGGGTAGAGTAGGGATGTGAGGGACCAGAAAAGGCCATTGTCCTATCCAGGCTGATCCCCCTTTTCTACAAACCCATAAGTAAAATCTTCAGAAACTGCTTGGTTAAAATAAATTATGCTTTGCATGGGAGATGGATAAATGATAGAAAGTGTTATGTAGTCTTTGCCAAACACTAGTTATATGCCATTACTCAATTTGTAACGTTTACATATTTTCATAATTCCTTGTACTAGCGTAAAATGTATTCTTATATATAGTATTGATAATATAATAGCTCATGTTCATTCCGACCCTTTAAAAAAAAGGTTAAACAACCTGTTTCCTTCTGAATTAATACATGTGTAAATTGTTGGTAAAATTAAATCAGTGATATATTAGGCTTTGTTTTTCTTTTGAGTACATGGTGTTAGATTAAATAGCAGAAATGATCCTCTCTTTGAAAGTCCATCTCTGCTCCAAAAGAACATATTGGCCTACAAAATCATCCTGCCAATTACTTCGACACTTGGTCATGTCATTAAAGCGAACAACTTTTGAGAAAAATAGTTATTAATTATGATAGCTAGCAATGATTTACTGATTAAAAATCAATGAGTACTGCTATTTCTCTTGATGATTAATTTACCATCTCTGTATGTCATCTTCTCATAAATCTCATTTCACCCCATCCTTTAATGATTTCTCTTTCTGTTAGTATAGTATATATTTTTTTAATTCTCAATATCCCTTTTTTGGGGGGTATATATCGTCGGTGGGGTGACAAAAACTCGTATCTCAAAAATCATGAATTTTCAGGAGAGCGGAAAAACTTTCCTGTCTCAACAAATTTAGTGCTGAGACACCGTCCTTTCTTTTGAAAACTGAAATATTTATACAATTTCTAATGTCATTGTTGAAATTCAGTAAAATTATTTTTTTTATATTTGAAAGTGAGTTACGAGGTTTTTGCTTTTATCTACATTGAGATACGAGTTTTAAGTTTTTATTCAAATTGAGATACGAGTTCTTACTTTCAACTTTGAATGAGTTACGAGGATTTGAATACACTAACTTTGGTACTGTTAGGCCGTGTGTGAGTTACGAGGAAAAGGAATTACGTATCTTATGTTACGAGGTTTTGTCAGTGCAGCTTCAAAGGGGGTTTAAAGTTACGAGGTTTAGTTTAAGGGTGTTTTGTGGAATTTGTGAAAAACCGAGACAGGAGTAGTTCCATGGATTAATCAGGTGGTGTCGTAGGCCATTAGGTACACAATTATGCAAAAAAAATCAAAATCTCAAAAACTTGAGTTTTGTCACCCCATCGACGATATACAGTAATTATACATTTCTAATAAAGATTGTCACAGGTTTATGTTGCAATCCTTCGTAATGATTTTGTTATGGTAATATTACAAAATAAATACACAATTGTGATAATGTATTAATCATATGATTAAATTATCCTGCTGTAATAGGTATGTCATTACGGAAGATAATGATGATAAATAAATCAATCAATAAAATAAAAAAATAAAATAAATTATGTTAGATGTCAGGAGTTAATTCTTGTTAGAATTACTACACAGCAGTGTGAATCAGTGTATTTTTTTATCATTGGCCTTGTCATACATACTTATTTACAATTGAACCACAGGCTAAAGGAGGTGCGAAATCAGATCTGACATGTCTAGAGTTCATCAATTTCTGGTTGTGTTCCATCTTCGCCCATGCTGTGGCGCCCTCTTCAGTCCTCAACAAGAATATGTCTAAAACCGCCCAGAAATCTCCACCAATATTCATCGTTGGAACGCACCGAGAAAGTGTGAAAGGAGATGCAAAAGAGAAAAAGGAAAAGGTAAGGTTTCATGATATACGTATATGTTGATAATAAAATGATAATTATGTTTACCCCATGAAGCCCCAACAGCATCAGCTGTTCTTCCTGACGGCCCTGTAATTGTTATTGCCACTGAAGTTTACAGGAGGGTGGCAAATATGGATTAATCTTTTTGCCAAAGGACGTTAGTGCTGTGCTGGGATTCGAACCCTCTACCCCTGCATTGTAAGTAAAGTTAATGCCCCGCTATGCCACGACACCACCACCTCCATGATGTGTTTTGAACCAATAGTGAGAACAAACAGACAATATAACATGAAAGATACCCTTCATACTCCACTTACACCAACAAGACTGACACCTGAACGACAAAGATCAAACAAAGAGTACCATACCCTGAGTTAGACTGAAAGCTTCAGTCTCTGATATCGACGGCCGTTCCGCTGAGACTAAGTCTGGCTCCACTGACCGCCTCTATACAGAGACTGGAGTACATCGTATTGGGTAGTGAGGGGCTGAGGGCATGGAATGGGTCGGTTTGGCCAGACCGACATGAATGGAATGCTACCAGTTTTTTTTCACTCTTTATGCGTCTTCGTATTTCCACTTTGACTGCAATATTTCACTACCTGTTATTATAAAACAAAAATAGCAAAAAAGTATGTATATACTTTGACATACGATAGCTTGCTCATTTAGCTCCTAAATTTACTATTATTTCGAGAAAGACTTGTCGTCAACAGGATCCATTGTCCAGTTGACAAATGTCAGTTTTATTAAAGAATTCCCCATACCAGACGGTTATTTCGGTCGAACCCTGATTGGCGATTACATTGGTCATTTAGATTCAGTTAGGAGTCAGTTTGGCAGTGGGATTGGGCTTTGGCATTATGACAGCTTGACTATATGTAACCTTGCAACTTTTAGATTTTTACTTTCTTGTGAATGGACATTTTAAATGAAAATTTTACCCTGATATATTATTGGTTTTAATAATACAAACAAAATGGAGTAACAATTCAGTAAAATTTTGAGTAATATCTGATTAAAAAGTAATTTAAACAAATATTTGTTTTATCTAAACAAATCTTTCGGTCATACGTGCACCCTAGATGCGATCAGTAATACTTTGTTTGTATACAGCACCATTCCTTTATTAAAAAGCTAGACAATGAAATATGCACTTCTATTTTCATGTTCTCATCTAAAGGTAGGTATGCATTCATGTTTATCATTATGGCTAATATGTTCATTTCCTGATCATTTCACCCTTTTTGTCTTCTAGATTCGCTCTGCCTTTGAGAAGATCCGTAATTCTATCAAGAAGAAACCGTTTGAATGCCATGTGGTCCCTAAGTATTATGCCATTGAAAATACATTAGTAGACACAGATGAAGACGTAGGCACAGATGCAGAGGTACATTACAACTAATCTCCAACTATTACAATTCATAGTAACACTGTAGCATAAGAGTATTACTGATTATCTTTTTTTGTGTCTCTTATATATTGTCCAAATGTGTAAATTATTGTATATATTAAGATGCTCTTCCGAACGCAAAGAGCTGACATACCCGAACACAATGAAAGCTGCTCACTCTAAGACGTGATGTGAATACCTTTTGACATAAAATTTCAAATGAGATAGTAATCCTAAATTGATTCCTCACTCATAGAATCATATGATTCTTTGGTATTTCCCACAACACTTTCGATTTCATGCTAGTTTTTAAGAAGTTATTCAGATTTTTTATTTTTTTTTAATCTACTGCGCATGAAAATATTTTAATATTTAGGTAGTACATGTGGCTATACTGACATTGATTTGTATCCACTGTGTTTGACGAAACTGGCATTGATTTAGATAGTAGTTATTCTTCTATTCTAGAAAACTTGACACAAGCTGCATGCATGCTTTAACTGCCTCTGGTAATAATACAACTGCACACATATTGTTTTTGTGTTTGTTTATATGCCTTGTGGAAGAGAAATATAATTTGTTTCATTACCCACTGTCGATTATTCTCCACATGTTGTGCTATATCTGTGCAAGTTTTCTCTTTCTTACTCTAAATTGATATTTGTGTGAAATAAACCTAATATTCCTGAACATACTCAATTGAATTTAGCGTTGAATGTTTGACGGCATTGTCTTAATTAATTTGATTTCGATTATCCACAACCTCGATACTTTTTTCTGAATCTGTTTACAATATTGCTGTGCGATGTTACCATTGTTATTTTGTGATATTGCTGACGTATTGTTGATGTTTAGATTATGATGTGAATATATGATTACGTTGTGAAACAGAATGTCAGCCTTGAGCTGCATGTCACTTTGTTGAGTTGTTTAAATGTTAAAAGAAATCAATACTTTCCTTTGTAGCTGGTCGCGTTGAGGAGACAAATTGAGAAAGTGGCGATGGAAGAGCCTTACATGGGAGAAGAGATTCCACTGAGATGGCTTTTATTTGAGGAAGCTCTAGCTGCAGATAATATCAATTACATGACATTAGATCAGGTAGGCAGCAACGTTAATTCTTGAAATTGTAAAATAATTTGTGTTTAGGTATTGTAGTAAAAGAAAATTATAGAGCTATTGTTCATACATGTACGTGTAGTTCATATTTCAACTTCAAGCTTTAAGAGCCGAATTTTTGTTTTCCTTTTAAACTATTTCTTTTTCTTCTTCAAATTCGCCATTTTTATATTCTGAATTGAATTTTATGTACCGGTATTGAGTATATAGTGTATTCCTTAGTTCGTATCTTAGTTCGTACAACTCTCTTGGTATTGTTGGGAATATGTAATACTATATTATAACAATTCATCAACAATACCCTTTCAATCTCGTAAATTGCCCAGTGTATGCCTGTGTTTGATAATATGTAGCGCCTTTAAAAATCTTGGCGCAAGATTCAGGCTACATGTTGCCTTCTGTAAAAGTATTGCTTTATAAATATTTATATTTTGTATAATTACACCCTAATTACACCCTAATTACACCTAAATTAAATTTAATGTTATATTTATGATATGTTTTTGTTAGATACTATTTTTGATGTTTTTTTACCAATCAAGTGATGATTTTAAAACCATTTTATTTGTATTCTCCCAGGCCAAGGAACTGACGCAGCCCTTCGGGATGAAATCGGAGGGTGAACTTCTCACGATGCTGACCTTCTACCACGACCTGGGTTACGTAGTCTACTACGGAGGCATTGAAGACCAGCAGTCTCTCCTACGAGACATGGTGATCCTGAATCCTCAGTGGCTAATTGATGTCTTCAAGCAGGTCATAACTATCCTGGATCCTGCAGAAAGGGTGCGAAACCTCCTCCAGTACACTCTCATTCAAATATGCTGTGGTAAGCTGCAGCAGGGTTTTTACATACTAAATGAAAGGCAAGTGGGAATTTACGAGACATCGCAGGAGATGTTGCTAATTGATGTCTTCAAGCAGGTTATTACTGTCCTGGATCTCTCGGAGAGTCTTCGGGTTATGCAATTGTCAGAAAAGGACTTTACCATATGGGGAAAACTGAAGGATAATCCTGGTGATCGACAATACTTGTCCTAAGGTAAACATCCGAACGGTGTCAAATTCCCACTGACAGCCCTCTTCTATGTGTCTTTAATTCCAGGACGGGATTATGAGTGATGCCTGGACCACTCTTGAGGAGGATGGTATCTTAGAGGATAGGTTGATTCAGCATATGTGGCAAGGCTTTTTGGAGCAGAAGGAGGCCTTAGTCAAGCTCATGACCAAGTTTGATCTCATCTGTGAGGCTCCTGTAGAACGACTCCAGCAAGGGCAACAGGATGGAGTAGACACTGAGGTAACTCTCCGGCTAAATGGTGCTCTGACCCGTGCTCATGCAGCAATGCCCACCCAAAACATGTACAGTGTTAGGGTTAAGGTTGTAATTGGGTTTTCTGTTTAGGATTAGGGTAAGGGTTTATTGTTTGGTCCAGTGCTGAAGTTAGGCATTCGGTTAGGGTAGGAAGTTACCATGAAGCAATTATCGCAGGAGCTAAACATCATGTTTTAAGTAAGCCTCAAAATATTTTCACTAGAAATACACGGACAGGACATATGGACTCGACGATGAGGTAAAGGTCGAGCTAAACGTTGCTCACACCCCTACATTTTCAATTTTAGATTAGTTGTGGATACCATAATTTTGTGTCTATACATGTTCCTTTAGAAATGTTGGTTTGTGCTGTTTTAAGTAGGGATTAAGTACAGTTTTGACAGCTTTTACAAATGGTACTAAAATGTTTATTTCTCAAATTTCAAATCAAAATTGCTCAATAGGTCTATGTTGGAACTTGCCACAATTCAGTAGCAGGAGTGGGATGTGTGGAATGAAATGATGAGTGAAATGCGAATTGTTTTTTTGTTGTTGATTCTACAAAATGTTTTTTTTGTCTCGGTATATTTTGTTTTGTACTTATGGTTTAAGTGTTTGGATATGTTTTTGATATTTTAGGTATCAAATGCAACAGGGAAAGTGGTAAAGAAGCGCTACTACGTTCCTTCTAGGCTGACGTCCCATTGCTCCCCAGAAGAGATTGCACAGATCACATCTTCTACAGACTTTTATGTGGACTTCAGGGGCTTCTTAACAGGTGAGGATAAATTCATCGTCTGTTTACAGCCAGAAGGGTATTAACACGTGTACTGTATCGTCGAGTTAATGCTCTTCTTGCTCCAAAGAGACTATATGGCAATTATATTGCAACAAGGTTTGTATAAAGTCAAACCTGTCGAAGTGGCCACCTCTCTATAATGCCACCTGTCTACAAAGACCATGCATTTGTTCTCCCTTGAGAAAGAAATATGTGCCCTGAAAGACCACCTGTCTACATTGGCCACTTGCTCTTTTTTCCTTGAGTGGCCTCAATAGACAGGTTTGACTGACCTTTAAAGGTCTTTGCCAAAGATGACCCATGCATCAAGAGTAAACAAGAAGTTCACTATGTCCAACTCACGGATTTATTTGAAGATATAAAGATTGCCTTCAACCTTGAGTAGAAAGAGAGTAAATTACAGACTATTTATGATATTTTTTTTTGGTATCAGATTTGTATACAGTATTCTTTTCATTTGATTTAATGATAATGATAATATCAATATTGGATAATATCAGAGTGCACATATCCACCACGCAAGGTGCTCAATGTGCTCCAATATTACCCCCAGCTCTGCTGGGCTACTGATTGTAGGTTGCTCCCAGCAAATCAAGGAATCCTTCCCTGCCGGTACCCTTATAACACCTGGGTTGAGAGTGGCAGATCAATGTCCTGCCAAATGACGTAATGTCGATAGTCGGAGTTTAATCCATCTTGTTAGAAAAGTCGTTTCTCAGAAATATCTAATCGTCTTAAAGTATTATTGCAGCTAATATTTCTTTTGAGCAGGCTTTCAAAACGTCGCAAGCCATAATCTGTTGGTCATCTCTCTTGTTTGCCGTTTCCACAGATGGGCTATTTCATCGGTTGATGACGAGAGCAGTCAGATGGATGGGTGAAAGAGATGGAGAACCAGTCAATCTTTACCATCGTCATATCAGTCTAATGGTTGATGGAGTGCATCATGCCTTACTAGAGATGTTACCTCCTCGTGAAGCAACTATTAAGGTCTGAGCAAGCGTCAGCAATACCTTTTACTTTTATTGTGGAGATACTGAATTGTAGGTAAAGTTTTTGAGGCCGCGCATCGGATCCCTTCATAGGCACTGAATAGCCTCCACCGGGAAATATTATAGTCATTCTCCTGGAGTCAATCATTTCATACGTAGAGAACCAAAAGCTCTTCGGGGCGCTTATTTATTTTAAATAATTGCATTGTGTAACCCTGAAACGTTACCTATTCAGTTAAAGGTGTGGTTCTTAGTCATGTAATCTGAAAAGCGGAACCTGATATATAATATCTCACCTTTAGTGTTTTAATCTGTATTAAATACACATACATTTTAAGCTGATAAATGTATTTATTTAAGATATGAGACATAAGATATGATCACAAGCCTAATAAATGTTTTTATTTCTAATGTATCTTTTTGTTCTCGTTTTGTTTTGTAATTTTTTGTTATATTTTGTTATTCGATAATTTGTAGTTTTACATCGTATTTTAATTGTATAATGCAATTATTGCTCTCTTGCAAATCAGTTTATGTGCGTTGAGGAGCATAATCTTTAAAAAAAACGCACACAGAATAACAATTTTTTTTGTTAAAAAGGAGTAAATGACCCTCACAAAATTGAAGGAAACTGTACACAATTACACACCATCATATTATTAATTTATTAATCTTTTCCCCTTTACCTTTGGTGCTGAACATGTCAGGTCACTGTATTCCGAGGAGCGGTTGCTGATTCTGATCATGATGGGGATAGTAATACACCTCCAGCTCCAAGTGCTGTCAAAGAGGTAGGTAGCTCAACAGGATGGTTTCAATAACTGCACAATAGACATGAACAGAGACGGAGGCGCATACCAGTTCTGGTAGCTTGATTTAGTCTGCCAGTATAAATCTTAGCCTCTGAACCATTGAATTTAAACAGTTTTTTGGATGTGCCATAGAACGTTTTTTTGAAATATAAAGTACAGTTAACTCTGCATTTAGTCAATTTGGTTGGGATCGCGAATAAATCGTTTGACTTAGGCTAAATTCGACTAAAAGTGACTCGGTAATATTGCCTCAGGATCTGAAACAAAATCCCGAATTTAGCTCATGCTGCAATCATACCTATATACCTTTAGGTCAGTCAGGAATCCAATGACTTTTACAAGTCGATCGCCTGTCTGATTATCAAGATATTTATGATTGGAAATCGAAATTTCATTTTCGTTTTCCTAACGGTTTGTATAACACTAAAGACTATTGGGGGAAATGAGTCTGGTAAAATTGGTCACTCAAAGACTTTTAATTTTTGGGGGCACTGATCCTTTTGAAGCGCAAATTGTTTAGGGTTTCAATATGACACCTTATCACAGACACTGATAACACGTAGGGTCATGCATCTCAGATTTAACACTGTTAAACGATGCCTTTAAGAAGCGTACATAAAATTATGACTTGCATAGGTTTTTCACCCAAAAAAGGTTTAACTATAAACGACAAAATACGACTTTTACTTGAGTTATACAGAGTTAACTGTAATGGATTCTTTGAGTCCTGTTAGATTGGAGGAGAGTAAAGTTAGACCAAACAGTTAATATAAGCCATATTTTACATCTAGTTTATGTGGTAACACAGTTCAGCTATATCAATCTGTAAAACTTTGTGTTTCATCAAAATGGTAGACCTTCTCAGACCGTTCTGTGTCAGTAGGTTTATGGACAATTGTAAATGAACTTACAAGACAATAGTTCATGATTAATTTTGGTAGAGATATATTGGAAACCAAACCTTGAAATAAATTTGCTGATTATGGATCAGGAAGATGAGCGGACCACTTTTTGTTCTCCACCCAATTCGGCAATGCCTGTTCATGTGTCCCGGACTTTGTAAGATTAAGAGACAATATAAGCCAATGCGACGTGTATCAATGCACCATTTTAATGACAGTTTCATTGTAGATCCTTCTCCTCTGAGATTTGAATTTAAAGAACAGTTAAATAAGTTTGAAGTAGCCAACATTAAATCCCCCCAAAAAAATATCTGTCTTGGGGCTGTTTGTGTATTTATGGCAGGTGATGGACTTTGTAACGGAGACCCTTGATAGCCTTATTCAGCACTGGGCTAGAAGGATCGAGTATGATGTCCGGTTTACGTGCCCGAGACCCAAGTGCAGTAAGAAGAAACTGCTGAAAGACTGCTACAAGGGAATGTCCCTCAAGTGTGGACTACATAACATCCCTACGGCTGCAATCAAAATCAAGTTTGGTAGGTATATAAGGCTTGGTACCCCACCAAAATTATTTTGCTCTCTATTAAAACAAGTCTCCCACGCAGAAAACCTATGGTCACATTAGTTAGTCTCTCGGATAGTCTTTGAGTGAGGGAAATGTAAGATAATAACTTTTCCATATAGATAGGTAGTCGAATCTATTTCATTAATCATGAAAAAACATTTAAATAAAATAACATACAATATCGCATAGATTTAAATTCAAAATAATAAACATTACAAGGATACGCACACAACATAATATACACCATAAAGGTAATCTGGACAAAACATCTACTGAGTAATAATTAGGTTTTATATCTCTTTCAAGAAACATTGAGTGATGGATCAGATTTGATATATAACGGTAAACTGTTCCAGATTTTGGGCCCTTTGAAAAAAATACAATTTTTAGCTAGTGAGGTGCGTATTTTTGGTAAATGAAAGTCTGAAGTTCCACGTGTGTTATAAGAATGTATATCGGCATTATAACAAACAAATTCTGAAATACTGTGTGGTATATAGTTTTCAAAATATAATTACATACACATTGCAATTTCATAATCAGAGAAATCAAATATATTCAACATATTCAGGTTGTTAAATAACGGCTTTGTATGGGCAAGAACATTTGCATGCGAAATGATTCTGGGTGATCGTTGGTTGGTGAAAAATGCGAAGCATTACATAAGGCCTGTTGGTCATAAAATTGAAGGCTAATCCTGGTGATTGATAACACCTGTTATTTGATAAACAGCCGAATGGTGTAACATTCCCGATGAGAGCCATTGATGCATCTTTAATATAGATAAAAGTCCCTCATGTGTAGACTAGTAGACACACCTGTACACACTGACATAGAATAGGGCCTGCATGGAAACCAAGCCTTTACTTTCGTACGTGGTGGGTTATATGTTATACTTGATTTTCTTCATACTCCTCAACTATTAATGCATATGTGGGGGGTTCTCATGGTTACCTTTCTTTTTACGGGGTCCACCCATGAGATCATACAGAGGTGTGGCTATCTTAGAAAATACAGGGATGAATTTCCTGTAATAGTTAGCAAATCCAAGAAAAGAACGAGCCTCTCGAACACAAGTAGGCCGGGGTAGGCCAGTTTCTTAGAGATTCAATTTTGTCTGGGTTAGTTTCAATTCCTCTTTCTGAAATGATGTGGCCCAAATATTTAAATCTTGTTTGCAACAATTTACACTTTGACGCCTTAAGCTTAAAGCCATGTTTCGCTAAGCGAGCAATTACAGCTTCGAGCCTCACAAGATGTTCATCGATAGTCTTACCATACACTATTATATCATCTAAATAAACGACACAACAAGTGTGATTCAATTCTCCTAGGCACTTCTCCATCGCGCTTTGAAAAGTGATGGGAGTATACAAAGTCCGGAAGGCATGCAATTGCACTCCTACAATCCAAGCGGAATGGGAAGTGCAAATGTATTCTTGTGCTTGTCTTTTTCATCAACTTCAAAATGCCAGTAGCCAGATTTAAGGTTTAAGGAGCTAAACCACTTTGCACGATGGAGCATTTGGAGCGTCTCATCTAATCACGGATTGTGCGCTAAATCAATGCAAAAATCTCACAGTTCCATCTTTCTTGCGAACAAGACCGACAGGTCTTGCATACTGGACGAATGATTCCCAAATGACGCTTGCTTCATGCATATACCTAATGTGTACACGCACTTCTTCGTATTTTGAGGGAGGGATCCACCGGTACCTCTCCCGAAATGGCTGCCCTTACAACAAAAACTTATGGTAAATGAATGGTACTATTTACACCATTGAAATTTGAATATGAAATATGCAAATTTTGTAACATTAATCTACCATTCACCATTGGCCTACCATTCAACATCCACCATTGGCCTACCATTCAACATCCACCATTGGCCTACCATTCACCATTCACCATTGGCCTACTATTCACCATCCACCATTGGCCTACCATTCAACATCCACCATTGGCCTACCATGCCAATGGTGAATGGTAGATTAATGTTACAAAATTTGCATATTTCATATTCAAATTTCAATAGTGTAAATAGTACCATTCATCTACCATTGGTGATTATGCAAATGAGCGTCCCAAAAAATATTATTAGGTTGAATGGTATTTCACTGGTAGATGGATGGTGCCCATTCAAGCATAGCGAGCGTTATCTCAATGGTATCCGAATGGTATTTAAATGGTGTTTGTAAATGGTATCTGTATGGTATTTTCAGTGGTACTTCCGAATGGTATACCATTGGTATACCATTAAACATTTTTTTGTAAGGGTGTGCATCATTGAATTTAATTGAATTGAATTTAATTCTCATTTATTTCATTCTCGATTAAATATTACATTGATACAAAAAATACAAAATTATTCATGAACAAATTTAGAAATGAAATGGGGAACTACATAAATAAAGCCCTTAGGCCTTGTACAAGCATAGTTCCCAAAGCATTCATAGCATAATGTAAAGCAAAGATAAATAACTATACATATTTGAGATAAAGAAACTGCTTTAACTTTTTTTTGAAGAAGGGGATAGTGTGTTTGATGATACTACTTCGCCCTATATCATGATCAGATATGCTAAAGGCATGGGAGTATTTGCCCAAAATCTCTTCCACCTTGCTTAGATTGCAATCCTTTGAAATTCATTTGGTCATTACAGCCTCTGATAGAGAAAGGATTTAGTAAGTTACCTTTATTTCATTGTAAATGCAGAGAAGGTGACAAAGGATCATAATTTTTATGAAGAAATTGTAAAAACTACACAATATAAATCATTTCGACTCGATCATTATCCCCTCTTAAAATCAGGAATAAGCGAGGCATCACTAGGAAACACAAATTCCACACTTCCAAGACCGTTGGCATCCACAGTAGTCGACATATGCATTCCTCCTGAAGGTGCATCAGCAACAGTCGGTGAAGTTTCTCCTTCTACAGCAAGGTTAGATTTTTTTCTTAATTGCCAATGTGTTTTATGATTATTCTTGATTAAAATCTCATTGATGCGATAGGCCAGAATCTTAGGGAACGCTATCGATACTGTTCTTAGAAATCAACTCATCATCAACACTGAGTGAAATGCGCTCACAGATTGAACGTGCGCATGTGCGTGCGTTGTTATAACACGTAAACTCCTTCAATTTGTTGGTGCATTTTTTCTTTAAAGCTTTAAGTAACAATTACTGCGGGTCGACTCGAACTGGGGCGAACAGCAAATATAAATTCAAACATCAAATTTTGCAATAATATTTTCAATGATTCGGCTAATTCTATAATTGTCGCGATTTTGCTTTGAAATTATCCTTACGCATTCAGAAAAGAACAATCGCTATGGGGAACAGCCTACAAAGCTCTTTGTATTTCTCTTTGTAAATCGAAAACGCTGGAACGTCTTACTTTTGGACGAAAAGATTGTGGTTGTTGAGGTTTTCTTCTTTCAAACGATGTTACACTCATCATCATTGGTTGAATATCTTCCTCGCGTTTTTTTATTTGAAAAATTGTAGTCCAATTAAAATGTATGTCACATCAGAGAGATCTGAGGCTGTGACGTCATAGATTAATTCACAAATAATCAGTGCAGTCCATTCAACAAAACAGGGGCGCGCGGTTTCACGTGCATTATCAAGAGATTACGAATGTAAGAGAGTGAAGGCCTAATGCGAAAAGGAAGAGGATTGTGGTAACGCAAGAAAATAAATATTTAATTGTATTACATGTGCATGAAGAAATCGTGAATCTCGGGATCGGGATTTCGGGTTGAGAGTCCCTGCGTAAAGTACAACGGTCACCCCTATTTTTGTATAATAGATATACCAAGAGTATCATCTACGAACTTTAAATTAAGAGTACATAACAATTTATATGGATTAAGCATTGCCCCTACGAAGATTTGGTACAAGTCTTTGCAATCGTGACATTAAAAAAGAAAACTGAGGTACCTAGTGTGCAAAACGAAATAATAAATTATACAATTGCACCAAAGAAGTTACATAATAATAAAAATGCCTGCATTTAAACTGAAAGTTTATTTCTTTATCCATATATATATATATATTATATCTAACCAGGAAAGTGAGCGACGCAATGCTAAATGAGTTGGCAAAACGAATTCCACACGGCAAATACGACACGTTTAGCGAAAAGCTAGGAATCGAGCACAACCAGGCCAGGACCATTGTGGTAAAGTATGGCAACGACTATGAGATGGCAACAAGGGAATGCATGGCGATATGGAAGGATAGATCAACCCGTGGTGTGGCTGACTTACATCAAGTTCTGAGAGAAGCGAAATTGGGCGGTTTAATTGTTTACTGTAATTAACATCAATACAAAGTGAGCCATGTTGGGATAAAACACACACAAACACATACACTGGGCATATATTTATGAGAAAATTATGTTCTGCGACGGAGGAGATGGCCAAACGACTAACTACAATAAATATCTATCATTACTAAATATTTTTTTTTATCCTTTTTTCTATAAAAGGACCGCTTTCTTGGACGCCCCCACCGATTTGGGGGTGACCACTACTAATTAAAAAGACCTGTGAAGTAGTGGCAAGCAAACCCCCTTTTCCTGATATGTTAAATAATTTGTCGCCCATCAGGCTTCTTCAGGCTATTGATAATGATATGAAGAGTTTAATTCCAAACGGAACTAAATCCAGTTATGTAACTTCAGAGAAAAAGGGAATTGTTTATCAAACGTTGTACAGGCATCTATGGAAAAGTGATTGGGCTGCAGCGAGGTTGATAACTCATAAACAAGTCTGAAAAAAGGCTTCTACGGGAATTCGTAGCTTTAATGATTTGAGTGAGAATTTCATTCCATATTTCATTCCGTAAAAACTGTGGATAAAACACAGATAAGGAATCATAAATTCAAGTATATCAAAGCATCATCAAATTCACTACAGTCTCTTGGAGAAACTCATAAATGTACATTGTGATCTTCATAATTTCTCATCAGATGGAAATTTAACAAGACTAAATTGGAATACACTTGACAATAATAGAACAAAGAATGTAGCAATTATGATGTATAAGATTGTCTCAAAACAAGCTCCTGAGTATTTAGTAGAAATGTTTATATTTGCTGACCATACATACACTACACGTTCAAGTCTGTATAATGTGAAAACAATAAGACCAAATACTGAGACTATGAAAAGATCTTTTAAATATAGAGGGGCCTTAACATGGAATAACTTGCCACATGATGTGCAAGGTGCTAAATCGTTAAATATTGTTAAGGCAAAGCTGACGTAATACGAAATAAGTGTGTGGGAAGGGGCTAACTTATTATTTTCGGAGAGCTTTGTTGTTGCTTGTTTTTAAGGTTTTATAGTTTTATACATATCTTCATAATTTCAACCTATTTATCATTCTTATTTATGTTATATTACTCCTACGCAATATGTTTTAAATGTCTAATCGTGTGCAATATGATCTTTGCAATACGATATCAGTTTTTGTCTCTTTAAAAACAAAAACAAGTATATATGTAGTATCTAACTGATCCATATTCAAAATGCTCTTAAGTATTTATTATTATTCCATACTTCATTTTACTTCTACTTAATATGGAATACGCATTTGTCTTAATTTCATAATTATTACACATTCTACATTATGTGTGTTTTCTTTTGTTTATTGTTTTAAAGTTTAATTATTTAATATTTAACATAAATACATAATATGTTCTTAACTTATTTATAATCTTGTTAAACTTCTTTTTGTTTTTACTTTATACATATATATATATATATGCAAAAAGATTATGATGATCATAACTTATTTCAATTGTTTATCTTTTGGGCCTACCAATATAGTTCTAATTAAGTAAAGTGTTTTAAGCTTATTTTCTATATATTGTCGTGTTATTGTTGTGAATTTGTCAGTGTTATATTACTTTTGTTTATATGTCATGATTATGTTGTTTTTTATCGACACGGCCCTGATTGAAACCAGTCTGCGAACAGTTTCGGGCTTTTACCGTGTATGAATAAAAATAAACTCAAAATAAACTCAACTAATTTTCACTTTATGTTTTGACAATTCATGAAAATACATTAAATATATACCAAAACTATCCTCTTTGCATGACTTAATGACAATCTTATGATTTAAATTTCCTTGATGTGCTGGCAAAAAGGGGGTTCTTGAACCTCAGCACAACCATTTTCATGTAGACTTCTGAGTGTTTAATATCAAGTAAACAACAATATATGGCGCTATACTAGGCCCCTTGTCTGGGGAAGTGATATTACAAAGATATATTTATTCATGTCTTGCATCAATAGTACAAGAAATAAATGACTTGGGTGATAAAGTATTTACAAGTGCACTGTCACAACAGTGATATTAGAAGGTGCATTTCTTCATAATTGCTCCCAAAAATGTAGGTAAATAATTTTGTTAAAATACAGGTACTGAAGTGAACAATGTTCTGGTATCAAAAACTCAATTTTCATCAAAAGTGGATTTAGCTCCTTTTGGAATTAACCTCTTTATAATTGATGTGTCCATGCATGAATGCCAATTGTGTATTCTTGTATACTTTGAGAATTGTTTTTTTAATGATTTGTATGACGATGTCATTCATGAAGTACAATATTCTTTTTACATTTGTTTCTGTGTTTTTAAAATGAAATGTGTTTGAATCGACTGATTCAGAGATTACTACCCAAAATACAGTTTCCTCCAAACAAATGAAGAATTCAATGTTGACAATAACAATACATTTTGCAACATTTCACTTTTGCTTTTGCCCCATATTCAAGTTTGCTACACATTCCATGATTACGTAATCTTTAAGAATGGAGCATCATTGAAAAAGGTGAATAAACAGTACTTACCAAGACAAATATTAACGCTCAAACTTGAATTGCAGAAATGTGTAAGAGATATTTCAATTAGAGTAGTCGTGGTAGGTACAGTTAGAAACGCTAATGCCTGATTTGGCAGTGCATATATCATGCACAAAGTGCATCTTGCCACGGTAATATTATGTTTGTAGGTTCGCCCTATTGTTGTGTTTCACATAAGTTGTCCTGGAGAAAAATTAGTTATCTCCCTTGAAAGTTAGGAGTCTCAACATGAGCTATATGAGCTAAAGATGAAGGTTATGAAAAGATTTCTATAAAATGTTTATATATCAATTGGAAAATGAAGATGTCATTGAGAAAAGGAATAAATAATAAATAATGATGATTTCTTGACAACAGAGTATTTGATTTCAATTTGTGTTTTTGTATTGGAATTACAACAAATTAGAGAAAATGTGATATATCTCTGTGGTAACAGCTGAAATTTACAGATGTATTGGTACATTTCTGAATATTTGGTCATATACAAGAATATTGTACTAGAATGTGTGTTTAAGGCTGAGTTTTGGTGAAGGCAAAGGTTGTTTCGATTTGGACGACTGAATACACTCTAAATTTTACATTTGTATGTGCTTGTGTTCAAACGATTCAACCATTTTTTTTTCTGAACTGTTAGCAGCAGCGTGTCTACAAACGGTTACTTATCTTGACCAATTTCAAAACAGAACCATTCAATATATAACAGTAAGAGACAAAACTGTTTGCTAATTTACCTGAGTTTTAATTGTGTGCGTGTGCCTATTGAAGTTCCCATTAAATTGCCCATTAAAGTAACGCATTAATTCATATTTCAAATCCTTTGAAGAGGACTTAAAACCATCGGTCCCCCGGTTGCTTCTTAGCAGTTAGGTAAAACTAATAAAACAAAGAGACAAACCAACCAACCAATACTATTCGTATTCATATCACGTGTCAATGCTTGTAGACTCTCAATCCCAAAGAGGGGCCAACCTAGTGACGTTGAAAACAAAGAATAATTTCTTTGAACACAGTGCCTTATTTGTAAATTATCGTAAATTTCCTTTTTCTAATAGAATTGTAACATAAGCTAAGTCCGTTTTTATTAAACCTATAATACGTATTTCGCCTTTACAATAAACATGGTTTAATTTGTTTCGGTATCTTCCTTTCCATCGTTTATTTTTGTAGACGGTCATACAAGTGCTTGCATCCTTGTATTTTTTCTTACTTACCATTTATTTACAAAACAGGTAATGGTTTTATACTTCATAATTTCCATGGTCTCATTTTCTTCCTGTGCATATCCGACATGTCCGATGAGCAATAAGCAATATACTTACTTGAACATCAAAGTTGTATACAGTGTGAAACAATTGATCATCAATTAGTTTTTTTTGACATGTCATTGTATTTTTCAGAATTGTACATAGATTGTTCTAAACTGGAAAAGGTAAAGGCACTTACTCAGAATCATTATTTGAGCGTTTTTAAGCTTATTTCTATGTTTTTCTTAAAGTGTCGACATTGCATGTATTAATGATTTAACAAGTATCTGTATCTTTCTACATTATCAGTCTAGTGCTCACATGTGATGGTGTAGTTCTTTTCTTATACTAGGTGTACATTCTCATTCATATCCAATCCACAATGATATACATCATAATTAAAAACACATATTCAAATAGATCATGGAAGTCAAGATATGCTGTGAAAAAAAATTGTATTTCTTTAAAGAAAAGCATTTAAGAATTATTCTCTTGTGAATAATTTATACATATACTTTTCTTAAATGGTGTGAGTTTAATATAAAATAATTACGCATGATGTGTTTCTGATGAGAAATAATTATAACATTGCTTAATTCATCAGTATCTTAAAAGATTTCTTTTTTATTTGTGTTAACTTTGTATTGTCCTATACGCATTTGACCTAAAACATGTACGATTCTCATCTGTAAGCTGCCTGGTTTCTAGTGATAAATTATTGGCTGTATTTGTGATTTTCTTAGAATGTCTATTAAAATAGCAAGGATCAAAGAGCATGATTAACTGTTACTTCAAAGATTGTGCTGCATTTCTTCCTAAAATAAAAGTTAATGAATGTATATAAAATCCATCGACTCATTTTTTTTTCTTTTACCAGTTATAATCACCTATGGTTTTGTGTGATTGATGTTTGAGGGAGACTAGAGCCATGTACAACATTAGAAAGCAAACTTTGAGAGAGACTGTGTGTGAACATGTAGTTACGAGAGCAGTTAGACAGTTTCCGTAACAGTTCTTCTACAGCGTACATAATAATTTACATCATTTCATGGAAGTCACGGTTAAAAAAAGATAAATTTATGAAAAGCATTGTCAAATTATGCCGCTGTGATTGGATTATTACATAATAATAATAATAATAATAATAATAATAATAATAATAATAATAATAATAATAATAATAATAATAATGATAGTGGGTTCTTTTATAGCGCTCATGTCAGTCAGATTTGACCTTCCTGGCGCTCACGATTATAGACTGTTCTAAAATGGCGTCAGTTCAATCACAATAATTATCATTTAAAATTACTATGTATATACATGTATATATGAATATATAATATATAAATATATATATATACACGTATATAAATATATATATATAGTGCGTTCAAAAATTACCTTCAAATCCATTTATGGGTGCTAAAAGGGCACTAAAAAGGTCATTAAAAAATAAGACCAATAATTATGCACTTTTAAGGCATTGGCGGTCTGAAACAAGAACTCAAGTGTCCCTCTTGTCACTGAGAGAAGAAAAGTCATATTCCGATAGTTTATGTTGCATCTACATGTGCCTATTGGACTATACCTTTCTTCTTTATCAAAATAAACGGGCCTCCTTTAATACTTTGATACTTGAAATTTCACCTGACTGTATGCCTTGCTCTTCTGAAAAAGGTTCTTTTCTGAAAAATGCAGATACCTCTACTCATAACAATTAATGCCCTCATTATTATGTGAAAGAAACGTAAGAAAAATACCTTCTCATTGGGTTTGAAAGTTTTCGTTTTATTCAAGTCATGCTTGCATGTAATCAGAAGATTTTCATTTTTCCTCTCCACAATCTGGCTCAAATGGACTTTTACATGCCATTTCCAATCAATATAATGGTGCTTAGTGAAGCGTGTTATGGTTGGCTGTGATAAATATATCATTTGAAAGCACCCCGGCCCTGGATCCGCCACTGATATCTGTCCACTAAGTGTTCATGCATGAAGATGAAGATAGTTTTGTTTTCAACTCGTGCACGAAAGCTCTCCTGGGGCTGAAGTCCAGATTACAAGCCACACAATTGGAATTATTACATTCAATTTGTTTTCCCTTCAATAGCAAGTAGCGTCTGCATTGCTCACATGGGCATTACTTCAGTTGAACGGTGAAATCCCACATTCAGACACTGTACAAAGAGAAAGCAAATTCGATCTCACGGTGTGGTCGACCTGACATTTGTGTCGTCATTAAAGTAATTTTAAGCGCAAGAGTGCATCCTTATTGTATTTTCCTTAAATAGAAATCCGACCTTCATAGCCATGAACTTTACAATAAAGCAGGAAAGTCGGTGAAGCAGACTTGTGAAAATTGGAACAAAATCGGACAAAAACTAACAAAGTTATGAGTTTTGAAAGTTTGATCAGTTGGCATTCGAAGTGCATTCCAATCAGGGCTCAAATTAATTTTTTGTCCACGGGGGCTCTTCCAAAAAATTAGAGCCCCCGTGAGCCTACTCATTGGGGCTCTTTTAGTGCTGACGGGGGCTCTTATTTTAATACAAATTTCCATTGAATTGGTATCCATGAAACTCCTAAATTCCTTGGTATTTTATCATTATAATATATTTAAGTCGGCATTTTCCCTCTTACAAATTTACTTGTTACATAGCTGTTATTGACTTTTATCCCCGTGATGACATTCTCTCCATTTCTTCCCGTTCTGCACATAATGTCCTCCTCATTATTCGGAGCAACCTTATTTACATTCTTTCTTTACTTTTAGTCTTTACCATTTCCTTCCAAAACACACTGAGGGGCGGATTTAGCTTTTTGCTAAGGGTGGGGGGGGGAGGGGTAACCCAAATACGATGTGGAGCATATCAGGTGTATAGGTTTATGTATCCAATCAATAAGCCACTTTAGATCAGTTACAATCAATTGGGTTCATTGATATATAAATTAAAGAAATGGAGGAAAAGATCGGCTTGATGAAAGTCCTTTGATTAAGGTGCGTTAATTTGTTGTTGGCCAAGGTTATTTGAAAACATTAACTCCTCCAAGTATTCGGTCTGGTTTCCCTTAAAGTTGATACTGTTTATTTGACCTTACCCCAATAACACATCATCATGAATATGATGGATGTTGTTTCCCTCCTAACTCAACTTCTGAAGCGATTCCAAACCCGAGAAGACAAGAGGATGTATATTTGTAATAGCGCAGTATTCTAGATTTAGCTTTTGTAAGACAGAGAGTTGCCGGAATATCGCTGGCGGTAAAAAAAAACTCAGGAAATGGTTACTACTCACATCCAAATGATTAAGATCCAATAGTCCATCGAAAAGAGACACATTTATATCGTCATTCCATATGTTATGTATTTTATGCCCAGGGTTTTTCATGTCTAAATTAACAAGGGATTGTAAATGTTGAAATGAGGCTGGTCCGAGAATAATCCCGATTTTGTGTTGATCAAGAGAGTTTAGGAAAAGCGATCTTAATATTGGGGTGTTCCATTCCAGAATTCTATATAATTGACTTCCGGACAAATCAATGGTTTGAATATTGTCAAGTCCCGAAAAAGCCGTGAGCTCAAAGACCAAAAAACCCGAAATACAGATGCAGATATTTCTGTAATCAGATTACCGGATAAGTCCAACTCCGATAAGTCCAAATCTGATTTTGAGGATTTATTTGTGTTACTTGGCTGTCGTTGATTATCAGTACCTTTAAAGCCACACTGCACTACTTATAGCTACTTAATTGCTCCCTCTACATAACAAACAATGCATAATCGGTGAACATTGGTCCCCCATGATCGTCTTTTTCTTATGTTAATTGAGAGCTGACTTGATGAGATAACCACGTGCCCAGTGACCTTGCAGGGTAGTGTAATCTCTCCTATTCACTAGTATTGATGTGCCTTAATGCCTTCATGCCTTCGAAAAATTCTGGGTGAATTTTGTCTATGGGGAGATGGTTATTTGAGTTTTGTTAAATATGAGAAGACTAAAGGATGGAGGCTAACATCGACCGATTGACTATTCCCGTTTGGAAATTACATATCACAACTGCATATTCTGATATTGTCATGGTCGCAGCTACCAATGAATGGCCGTAAGCACTATTTGAAATTCATCAAAATTTGCCAGGAGCACCGGTAAATTTTGATATCCAATTTTTCTTGAAATCAGAAGTGTTGTAGGGGCCAATATTTCTAGTGCTCATCCCCAGTGTCATTTCAAATATATCAAAATTGTAAAGAATCACTATCCACCCAATTTTCAAAATTTCCCAGAACTTTGTATTACCTTTAAATAACTTATCTTTCCACACAATAACCTTAAATTCTCTAGTTTCCATGGGCATCAGACTTAATAATTATTAATAAATTGTTTTTTTCACAGTGTTGTAAGAATAAAAAAAACAGTATATATTGCGTCAGCAGGTGTAATGTATTTCTTCTCTTAAACAAATCAGAAAAAATGATGAAATCCCATGTAATCGTTAATACTATTACATAAGCTAACTGCTAACAAAACTCGCTGACTCACTGGACCGCGGGCTGGACCGACACGTAATTGTTGCCACGTGGAAGGTCGCTATACATGTACATATGAAATCTTTGATTGTTTACTTATCCCTAAGTCTATGTGTTATTGTTAGCGGACATCCCTCTGTATAATTATCATTGTGTTGTTATACTGAAGCCCTTTTTAGCTCTGGCATATTGACACTCCTGGCGCTCCTTATCGTAATTAGGGACTCTTAGTGGACTGCTACGTCTACTAAAGTCCCTAATATTACCCTGTCTTTAGCACAGCTGCCAGTACAGCGCTCTAATGTATTTTTCTTCACCTTTTTCCGAGGCGGAGTGTTGCCATTTTAATTTATGCTGCGACAAGGTTTCGAACCCCGTACCTTGTGGTTCACAGTCAGGATACTTATATTATCCACTGGACCACTACACCTCTACAATTCTTTACTTCCACTGAATGGAAATTAAAATGACGTAATTCGTCATTGTAAATAAGATATTGAATGTATTATTATATCTAAGTATTGCCAACTTTGTAAAGCGCTTAGAAACATTGTAATAAGCGCTACCGAACTATAATGTATTATAGGTTTTCCCGCCCAACTTCGTAAACTAAGCATCCGAATTAGCATTACGTTCATTCAAGTTCGTGCGAAATTGAATGACTATGTAGATCAACATTCAAATACCTAATTGCGTCATTCAATTTGATTTAGTAGCATGCGATTTCATACTCTTGACACGGAGACGTGCAAAACGAGCATTTAATTTAGAAAAGCGTGCAAAGAGCATTCAATTTCGCGCCGGACAGACGGTGGTATGTCTTCGTGCATTCAATTTCGTGATTAGGCATACATATGTGACATTTGTGCATTGCTTTTCATTTGATGTTAATTTGTCACTTAATATACTTCTGTTTGAATAATTTGATGCAAAGTTTACTTAGACGAATGACATGCGTAATCGTTCTGTCATTACACAGGTAACTGTTCCCAGAGAAGGTGCACACTTTTTTTCTCTTCTAAGCACAAGCTATTTATAAACAGATCTTGGACAGAGAGGTAGAGCGACATGGTCATGATGGAAACAAAATACAATGATGAATAAAGAAAAATATTTTAAATTAAAAGAAAGAAAAATCACCTACTCAATCAAGATTGATCAATACAAACCATTAATAATGAAAAATATGAAGATATAAATAAAGTGATGTTTAAACAAAAATAAAGAATGTCGAAAGAAAGAGAAAACATAAAATGCAATATGAATATATCAGATAAATAAGAAGATTGTATAATTTGAAATCATGTCAGAAAAGATCATAGAGAAAAATAATAAATAAATGAACATGAAATACTGAATATACGAATGAACATCGAGCCTCATACTATGATTATGAGGTCTAGTTTTAATTTGAATGACCCGATTGCGAAAGAGGTTGCCCATAGACGAAAATGAAACCGCAATTCACCAAAGAATTCACCTCCCACTCAACATTGCCGAAATTGAATGACCCTTACGCATTTCCAAATTGATTGAACCAAGCTTAAATTTGAATGTGCATGTTTAGAAAATTCGGTGCCTCGAAACGAAATTGAATGCAACAAGTTGAAAAATGAAACAGGGGAGCAACGAGTGGAGAAAATTTGCTCGAACATGAATGCACGTTAATGAAATTGATTGCTGCTTTTACGAAATTGGCCGGGAAAACCTATATTTATTATTATGTTATTATTATCACGAAGACGAATCGAGGGCTATGTCATTACCCAGTTCAATGTAAACAGACCAGGGAGTTAGATTGGACAGACTATGCTCATTACGTAACCCGTTACTGTAATGTTTGCACATTTCAGTAGAAGAATCGAACAAGGCTAATGAAATGGGTTTTTTTTTTTTAATATAAAAAAAAAAAAAAAAAAAAAAAAAAAAATGAAATTTAGGGTTGATTTCCCGAAAGTCATTGCGATCGTGTTAAATACTTCCCTACTAAATAGTACTATGTAAGTGAAATCAATGAACATCAATAATACTTTATAATTCTATCTCGCCTACATGCCCACATGCATGCACTCAAATCCACATTCTCTCTACAGGGGTACATATTTCCAAGATTTATTCTCTGATAGTTGCATCATATAGTCATCGCTTGTAACTTCCCTCTCTCTCTCTTTTTCTGTCTTTTTGCGTCCCTCTTTCTCTCTCTTTTTGCCTCTCTCCTTGTTTCTCTCTCTGCCTCTCTCTTCCTCTCTCTCTATCTTTCTCTCTCTCTCTCCCTCTCTCACTCTCTCTCTCTCTCTCTCTCTCTCCCTCTCCCTCCCTCTCTTTCTATTTAATGATGAGACCCTTCAAGGCAAACATCACTTGTTTAATGTTGGGTAAACCATTGTCCTGTATGAGGGTAATTATTAATGTGTGCGACAAATGTTCGGGCCATTTCCAGTCAAAGATTATAGTAATTTGAACATTTCTTTTCGAATTTCGGTCAAAGTGGATGTATGAGCAAGTTTTACCCCACATGTCTACAGTATAATACACGTAGATAGTCAAATAAAATCTTATACACGTACTAAGTAATTAAGGAGTCAATGATTTCGAGAAGAAAAAAATCGCGATACACTCGACTTTTTATGGTATTCTATTGCATATTTGAGTTTATTAAATGCCAAAATGAGAGAAGATGAAGAAAAAAAAATCAATCACTAAACTACCTTCCTACTGTTTTACACTCTATATATCACGAACCGGTGAACATTCTTAAACTAATCTGATTTAGATTTGCCAGCTTTTTGTTGCTTACTGCAACATAGCCCACAACATTTACAAACGATCCATCGTATAATGAAGATGAATGCGAGGACGACAGCCGCAAGGAACGCCATGACGTCGAGCGATTCTCGTTGGATGAAGTTGAGTTCCAGAGCCCGAGATCGAAGATGATCACCACCGAATTTCAAGATGTGTTCGATGTAGTAGACAACTTTCTCCCGGACGGGAACTATTTCATCTTTCATTATCGCGGCAGCTTTCTTCGCATTAGTTGTATACCTGATGGAAGAAAAGGGAGGAAGAGAAGAGGAAAGGGTGAGCAGATGATGATAGACACACTGGGTGAGTACTGGACATATTAAAAGTATTTATATATTGTAAATTACACTGTTGTTTCCCGATACATACAGTGGCGTATCTCGACCGAGGCGGGGTTGTGAGAATACATTAAATTTGAGCTAGTGGTGAATCAGCGGGAAAATATTCTAGGTCTTATGGCTTTGGGGAAAGGAGGGTGAAGGGAGGGGAAGGGAGGGTGATGGGTGTGAGTAACTGTTGACAGTTCTATATAACCAATCCCTTAATTATAAAGTGTAGTATTTTTGGTTTAATTACAATCCTTTATTGAACGACACGTTCGCAAATATTTTTGAAAATAACCTATTAGTTAGGAAATGTCCCACCCTTGTCAATACAATAACGTATTACGTAATCCGAACTTGGTTTCTATGGAGAAACCATAGAATATTGAAATTGGCTTCCAGGCGATTACTTGAAAGGTTTTGCTGATTGTGTTGAAATGGAAAGAAAATAAATAGTATGAGAGTTGACTACTCAAAAGGCTCCGCTACACCTTGGTAAAATTTAACCCGGAAACACTTACTTGGGGTTATCCAGCATCTCATGAAGGGCCTCTCTAAAGCTCTCCTCCGTGAGGGTGTTCTTGTCGACCACGAGGCCCATCCCTTTCGCTTGCATGCGGACAGCATTACCCATCTGATCACCAGCTAGAGGCATGACTAGGACCGGTACTCCGTGGGTGACTATCTCATTGATACCGTTAGCACCGCCGTGGTAGATCATTAACTTCGTCTTGGGGTGACCTGCGGTTTCGATGTGAAATGTGAAAACATTTTGATAAATCAGTAGCTTATTTATATGCTGCAATTAAATTATAGAAAAAAATCTTTTAATGATTGCAATTAATCATTAGTTTCGATTTTCATTAGCATAATTTAAATCGGCCAAATATGTAATGTTTATATACTTCCTATGATAAAGAAGTGATAATCACATGTCTCTATTGTATTTTGTTATGTTTTCTCCAAGATCTATCTTTTTTAGTCTCCCCTTTTCATTTTCATATCAGGCAAATTAACTCTTTATTTCATTGATTTCTATTCGATGCTGTTTTAATTTCGATTTGTTTCAGCATTATGGCTGCTACGTATATGATCAAAACTAATCAATTAATAATCTAAATTAGTTCAAATAAACATATTTATGTCTTTACCAAGTAGGTCATTCTGTGGTAGCCAATCGGAGACAAGCGTGTTGTTTCCAAGGGTACGTGGGCGTGTCCCCTTTAATCGCCATAGCACCCTCTGTGGTAGCTCGCTGAACACTTTGGCCAACTTTTCATTGAGATCCTCATTCATCAACGATGAAACAACAGATCCCTGAAAAAACGAAGTAAAACATATTGCATTAAAAAAAAAAAACCTCAACGCAAAAACAAAAACATAAAGACAAAAAACACCAATAACAAAAAAGAAACTATAAAAGACAACCCTTAATGAAAAGCCACTGCGGCTGAGCTAAGAGCTATAAAGTATCATCAGTTACTGTAAATTCGGGGGCACTGAATTGAAAAAGTGGTTAATCCAACTATAGCGACAAAGGGAGAGGGATATTAAAGGAGGAGGGCGTATTTGACGTTATAACTAATTAAATGTGTCCCTGGATACGTTTCGTGTTTTTTGTTCTCCAATTCTACCTCTCAGATAATTTGTGTTATTTATGCCCTCTTTCTAAAGATTTGTTTTAACGAAAAATCCTGGACTGCACCCCTGATAGAGGGAGTTGACGCAATCACCAACATGCATGTTGACGCCCACTGTAAGGTGTGCGGATGGAGCGATTTACTATAGATTTCTTTTTCAAAAAGGTGACGCCTTCCCCATTTTCTATTGGAATTACATATCCCTAATCCCTTTATTGCTAGGGTTGAGTCATGAATTTGTAGTATGGTCCATGCTAAAATAAAATCAGTCGGCTATCTTACCAGAGTAAACACAATGATGCCGTGATCTCCAGAGCCTTCGACAAAGTCGTTCATTTCCTGTAAAGAGAAAATACATTGACTTGATTGAATATTGATCATCTATTCTAAATTCACGCATGTATGGTACATATGCCCCCAGTGTAAACATATATTTGACGAATTGCAATAGAGTTCGTCTGAGATTATTCTTACCTTACAGAAAGAAATAAATATACAAAGAAAATGGAAAAAAGAAGATGGATTGCCCTGAACAGCCGAATGTTGTTATTTTGAAAGTGGACATTAAGAAATTATTCACCAGAACGAAATACGAATAGCACCTGGTGTGAAACAAATGATTCAAAGATTCGTCACCACGGCATGGAGATACATTTAAATACATTACTACAGGAAGTCTATCTGGTCTTAGATTCCAAATGAAATACAAAATAAATGTGTCGTGGTCTACTGGATACGTCACCGGACTGTGGATCACATGGTTCGCGGTTCAAGCCCCGTCGAGCGACACTGTCCTTTGGCAAGACATTCATCTTCATTTGCCACACTCCACCTAGGTGCATGTTAGTAAATGGGTACCTGGTAGGCGGAATGTATTCCTTGAATGCTTTTGGGGCAGCTGGGCTACATCCAGGGTAATATAATACTATTTGTAGGCACCTTCAGCACCCCCTGGGATGAATACGTGCGCAATTATATACACATGCAGTTGCCATTCTTTTTATTTTGTTTGTCCTGTCTCGGTTTATCCTGTTTCGAGATATTCTTTTTTAATGTCAATTACATTTCTTACGTTTTAGATGATTTGCATGTATTTCTGATGAATAATGTAAAATCAAATATATTTACATGAATCATTTTCTATCTAGTTATACCTGTGGTAATGGTTTGACTGGTTTAACGGTGATTCCGCCGATTGTGACGTAGTTTGGTGCAATGGGTGTAGCGAACTCAAAAGCCCAGTGACCTTGAGACAACCAGAGTTGAGCTTTCCCAAGAAGCTGATTAAGGGTCAGATCGGGTCTGATGTTATGTTCCTTCTGAATCTGACTCATACCCACACGGGTGAAGTACATGAGCATTGGCTCGGTGACATAACGCATCAGAATATTGGCAGTCCTTTGGAAGAACGTCATCTGATCGGTAAAGGTGGTTAATCCGCTGAACGGAACATATGATGATGGAGCGGGGATTCCAAAGGTGTCTTCAGAAAAGGAGGGCGCCCTTCGAAGAGGAGTCATCACGATGAAAGGAACCTTGAGGTACTCTGCAAGCAAGGCATCGCATCCGGAAAATGGAAGGGTGATGATCAGATCAAATTGCTCTGCCTTAAGGCGATCTAACGTCTCCTGGTCTTCGAAAAGTCGAAAACATCCTTCGGAGAACATCGGAAAGATCTTACGCATCCTTGCTATGATCTCCATCAAAGATTCTTGGCTAAAACCAAGAGCAATGGACTGAAGGCCTGAAGCTACCTCCTCCATCTCCTCCTTTGTCCGGTTGGTTTTAAAGAAGATCTTCCCAGTGACGGCTCCCTCAGTGAGGCCCTTAGTGACCTTATACTGAGGGGTGAGGAGTATGACTTCATGTCCACGTTCAACCAGGGGTTCCGTAATAGCAGAAAACAGAATATGCTGACTAACGGTGTTTAAGACCATCGTCATCGCGAGCATGATTTTCGCCCCCGTGGCAACCGGGGGAGGAGTGAGTCCAAAGCACAAGACAGCCGCAAAGAGTAAACCAGCGCTTGGAAGCCTTGCCATGTCTAGTTAATCACCGTTTCTGTCAATTTGTATACTCAAGAAAGAAGGGTACGCCTTCCTTGTTATTCGGATCATAGGTTAGTATGGACAAGAAGTTACCAGCTATGGAATAGAATCAATCTCAGACAACACCTGTAACTGCAAGCTAGGATCCTATACGGGTGTATATTAAATACCTATTCATGCGTCTACTGACCAATATGTATAATAAGAAACACCCCAGACGCGTACAGGTGAATTATAGACTATATTGATCGAAGGTTTGAGCTGATGTTTACAGTTAGTATTATACTATTAACTGTTGTGTAACCTGCATTCGAACGTGGAGTAGGTCCATGAATGGTTAGTCCAGTTTCTGTCCCCTTTTTATTTGTATTCTTCTATATCACACGCATCGATCCCACACACAGGGCGGTGTCTCCGCTCATCGCGATCCCCCTCATTACAGTCCAAAAGGAAGGGGGTACAGAATGAGAGGAATAATTGCAAGTTTAACTTTCAACGATGAGGGTGTGTTATTTCATCAGCTGATTGAACTCGCGATACGGAAGCTGTACAATAGGAACTTTAACGAACAGGTTTGTAAAAAAAACGCGTTAAAACGCGTCATATGACGTACGAAAACCAAGGTTTGTCGACAAACCTCCTTTGTGAATTCGGGCCTGAGGGTGTGTTATTTCATCAGCTGATTGGATGCGCGACACGGAAGCGGTACAATGGCTGGATCGAGCCATGATGAAATTTGGAGGATCGACGAACACAAATCCAGCTATTCAGTGACCCGCCCACCACCACCACAACCACCCCAACAACAAGAGCAGAGACAATTAAGTTCGGAAGAGTTTATTGAACATCTAAAAAATAATACCTGTCCATCTCTATAAATATAACAGCTTAGCTAGTTGTTTGGAAAAGTTTCCGAGTATTGCGAGCAGAAGAAAAAGAAGAAGAAGAAGAAGAAATGTTTAGTTGCTGCTGCTTTGGCTTTGTCGTTTCGGTGCTCTCGAAAGATGTTGTAAGGGGTCTTGAATGAAGAGACTACTTCCTCGCGATCTTGGTTTCCTTCCTGCTGACAAATGAGGACTAGTCGATGAATTCTAGACTCGACTCAATGCATTTTCATTTATCAGAAAATCATAGCTTGCCCTGTGAAATAGAGTCAGGGCAGATATTGACCGGTTGTGTAGTTTAAACAAAACGGAGGGGCAAAATTCCGAAAGAAAATGAATGACAAGCAGAACAAATACACAAAAAATAAACAGCAAAAACAAACAAAACAAAATATGTTACTTTCCATGTACTCCAAATTGCCAATTGGTATTGATTGGGATGCAATGGGGGCACTCAATGGGGATTCAATTGGTAAATCGATCCAGATAGAAAAACCAGTGATAAATTACTGATACTTCGTAATCGATATTGGCAACTGTCTACCAATTACGTATATTCTAATCTCAATTGCATAAACTCCATCACACTTATCATTTGAAGTGAATTCAATTAGAGTAACATTTAAAATGCCCAGGCTCGTACACATACATATACTAAATATTCATGTTGTTTCTTGGTTAGTAATCATATAATCAATATATCTATTGCTAAAACGTGAATGCAATTGTAACATAATCAGACAAAATAATTTATTGGTTAATAATTGCCAAAGGAAAATAGAAATCACAAAATTGATGTGCATTGTCATAATTTGCTTCACAAATCATGATAAATGTATCTTTCTGTGACACGTGTAAATTAATAATGAATATTCATGAGATGCATAGATCTATTGGTTTTTATTGGTTTCTGTTGGTTTCTATTGGTTTATATTGGTCCTATTGGTTTCTATTGGTCCTATTGTGTTATATTGGTCTCATCGGTTTCTATTGGTACTATCGGTCCTATTGGTTTGTATTGGTCTTATTGGTTTCTATTGGTCATATTAGTTTCTATTGGTCCAAATGGTTTCTATTTAGCATTGGTTTCTATTGTTTTCAATTGGTTTCAATTGGCCCTATTTGACTTTAACGGGATTTTAATTGGACCAATCGGCCCCATTAGACTTTAAAAGGTTTTCAATTGGACCAATTGAAGTTCAACTTAAGGCCACTATTGGTCCAATTGAAACCAATTGGGGTCCCATTAAAGTCTAATGGGGCCTATTAAAGTCTAATTGGGCCTAGGCCAATGGGGTCAATGGGGCCAATTGAAACCGTCCCATTGGAACCAATTGAAACCAATGGAAATTTAAATTGGTGTTCAATTGGTTTCAATTGGAATTTCGTCTTGGGCTTGCGGCAGACTGTATAATTTCCCACTTTTCTGTGGCAGATCTGCCACAGACTGTTCCTGCGTCATGGTATGCGGCAAGTCTGCAGCAGAATTTCTTTCTGCCGCATACTTCGGCATACTCTTTGCCGCAAACTTCAAGTCTGCGCAGATTTGCGGCATACTTTTTACTTTCCTATGGGTATGAAGGCTTTCGTTAACACCATGGTAGCCTCACAGAGAAAGACATACCGTCGTATACGGCTGTCACATGATGTAAACGATCGAAAGCCTCCAGTTGTGATAAATGAAATCTTATTTACCTTTGGTAATGGTTTGACTGGTTTAACGGTGATCCCGCCAATGGTGACGTAGTTTGGTGCAATGGGTTGAGCGAACTCAAAAGCCCAGTGACCTTGAGACAACCAAAGTTGAGCTTTCCCAAGAAGCTGATCAATGGTCAGATCAGGTCTGATGTTATGTTCCTTCTGAATCCGACTCATACCCACACGGGTGAAGTACATGAACATTGGCTCGGTTACATAACGCATTAGAATATTGGCAGTCCTTTGGAAGAACGTCATCTGATCGGTGAAGGTGGTCAGTCCGCTGAACGGTACGTAAGATGATGGAGCGGGGATGCCAAAGGTGTCTTCAGAAAAGAAGGGCGCCCTTCGAAGAGGAGTCATCGCGATGAAAGGAACGTCGAGGTACTCCGCGAGCAAGGCATCACATCCGCAGAGAGGCATGGTGATGATCAGGTCAAATTGCTCTGCCTTAAGGCGATCTAACGTCTCCTGGTCTTCGAAAAGTCGGAAACACCCCTCGGAGAACCATGGGAGAATCTGCCGCATCCTACCCACGATTTCCGTAAAGGATTCTTGGCTGAAACCAAGAGCAATGGACTGAAGGCCTGAAGCTATCTCCTCCATCTCCTCCTTTGTCCGGTTGGTTTTAAAGAAGATCTTCCCAGTGACGGCTCCCTCAGTGAGACCCTTAGTGACCTTATACTGAGGGGTAACGAGTATGACTTCATGTCCGCGTTCAACCAGGGGTTCCGTGATAGCAGAAAACAGAATATGCTGACTAACGCTGTTTAAAACCATCGACATCGCGAGCATGATTTTCGCCCCCGAGGCAGCCGGGAGAGGAGTGAGTCCGAAGCACAAGATAGCCGAGAACAATAAACCGGCGCTTGGAATTCTCGCCATGTCTATAGTTTTAATCACCGTTTCTATTAATTTGTATAATAATGAAACATTAAAGTCTGATCACAGGCTTGCATTGGGTAGAATGAATCCCAAACGATGTAGTATATAGCTCTTATAATAGACAGTGGGTTCACGCCGTATTAATACTAGTAGGTCTGTATTACGAATACTAGTAGGTTTGTACAGTTGTCTGACCTTTCCGCACGCTTCTACGGACAATGTGCATTGAGAATCAGTCAATCAGTCTATTGATAGAAGTTCGGTCTCACGTTTACACTATGGTATTATCATGGAGCTATTATTAGCCTATTGTTGGGTAGCCTTCATTACAGTTTGCTAGACGACCAAATCACCTGATATTTCCTTAGTAGCTAGTCTTCGGCTGTCCTATCTATACAGTTATTTTGGATACAATTAAATATTAACCTATTGTTACGTAACCTACATACAAGTTTGCTAGACGTTCGGGTCACCTATCCGTAGTAGTCTTTTTTCCGAACATGTTTTGTCAAATACAATATATTATTAGCTTGTTAAGTGTTGCGTAGCCTTCAATCAAGTACGCTACATGACTACCTTTAGTTTGTATACCCGTAATATTCTTGAGCTCACCGTTCTGTATATTTTGTATTATTAATACTAAGTCAGCGGCCTATGGACAGAAAAATTAGCGAGGAAATAAACGTTATTTTCTATGAAAATGAATATACAATTACAGACCTATGCATTTTCTTACCTGCCGTTTCGAAAAGATTTTATACAGCATGTGAAGCGGGTCTTTATCGAATACTTCCTTGTTTTTGTTTGCTCAATGTTGCGTCTAATTTGTCTTTTAAGAAAATGTCAGCATGCTCTTCATAAAACGGTCTTTTAAGTGAGTCTTGAGTATCAAGACTACTCCCTGTGGCTCTTAGTTTCCTTCCAGACAATGTGTGAGGACTAGTTTATGAACACTAGACTCCACTCAATACATTCATATCCAGTGAAAATCATAACTAATTGCCCTGTTAACTCATTAAGGGCGGATAAGAATTATTTTTTATAATGCGAGGGGTATAATTCCGAAAGAAAAATGTCTGACAAGCACAACAACAACGAAAACAACAACAACAACAACAAAACCAACAAAAATACAACGAGGACGACAACATCTACATTCTATTTACTAAGTTGCTATGAAAAAGAAGAAGAAGAACAGGTAATCATAATCATGTCCACCTTCATGTTGATACCTAGCAGTTGAAACGTGGTATGGGAAGGGGGGGGGTGCACATTTTCAAAATTATTATTTGAAATACATATTTCCCATTGTTAGACATGTTCAAGACTCAACAGTAAAACTTAAGCTTTTTGTGTAAAGTGACGTCTTTAAAAAAAATATTGTTATCGACATACATAGACATTTTAGCAGTCAAGTTTTTCCTCATAACAATAGGGACTTTTAGATTTACACAACGAGAACGTGGACCGCCACGTGTGACATCCTTTTAAGATAATGTGACGTCCTATTAAGGCACTGCCGGGCACGACCCAGTGCCTTAAAACAATATCACACGCGGCAGTCCACGCTCTCGTTGTGTAAATCTAAATGTCCTTATTACCATCGGTATACAACCAACGTCGTAAATAACCAACTCGTTGACAAGAGTATAAGCCTTTATTGTGTTCACATTTCAATTGCTGATGCAGATGGCTATTGAAGTTAACTAAGGTGGATTTTTTCTAAAATCCGATATTACCGATCGCGTTAGTAATGCACATTTTGCATTTCTATTCGTATCCGGACACCTACCCCCTGGACATCCACCCCGAATAGCCAACCCCAGTCAACTACCCCATAGGACAACTACCCCTAGGACAACTACCCCCAAGGGCAACCACCCTCTAAGACAACTATACCCCCTAGGACAACTACCCCCGGACAACTACGCCCAGAAAACTACCCCCTAGGACAACTACTCCCCGGACAGCAACCCCATAGGACAACTACCCCCAGATAATTACCCCCCTTAGACAACTACCCCCTAGGATAGTTGCCCGGGGCAGTTGTCCTAGAGCATGGTTGTCTGGGGTTAGCTGTCTGGGGGTAGTTGTCCCGTGGGTAGTCGTCCTAGAGGGTGGTTGCCCTAGGTGTAGTTGACTGGGGGTGGTTATCCGGGGAGTGGATGTCCAGGGGGTTGGTGTCCTAGAACCATTTCTATTACCGGTTACTATTTAGCTTTTATTTTAGTATATTTTTTTTTTAAGCAGTTCATTAAAAAGGAAAGAAAAGTACGTTCACATCATAATGATACCAGAGGCATATCAAATGTAAAGTATAGTACATCTTGAAGTGTTGATTTAAACAGGGGCTCATCAGTGATTGTCATGAACTTTTTGAAAATGATCAAAGTCCACTATCTCGGTGAATCTTACAAATCAATCGTTTCAACAATAACTCTTCTCGACACGAATGATATATGTTATGATAAAACGAATTACCGCTCTTCCATACAACTTACTTGAAACTGTTTAGATAAGTAAGTAGGGGGAGGTGTCATATATATTGCGTTGATGTGGTGAAGATCAAACTTAAATCGGCCAGTTAGCCAAACAGTCAGTGTATTTTTTTTTCTCTCGCTAGTAACGTGTGCAATCAAGTGACGTTATATCTTTATTTTTTATTCATCAACAAAATCCTGTTTTGGACAGGATCCCAAAGGAAACAGTCAAGGGCAGTTCTATTTGGTGATAGGGGTAAGGGAAACAAAAGACAATACGAGAGGTCACACTGTTATATATTAGTATTATTATTTTATTATTACATGTATTATCATTATCATTTGAAAAACACATTTTAAATTGCTAGACAAGTTCACGTTTCAAATTTAAAGTAAAACTCCAGCTTATTGCGTAAGTGGGTTCTACACAAATATGGTGGTTGTTATCGACATACACTACATAGTTTATCAGTTAGTATATATAACCAAAATCGCACAGACTTTCGAGAAATCAACTCAAGTGCATATTCAATGACCTTATTGTAAGAACATTTAAATAGATGATTCCCATTGCTATTGAAATACCCTTAGGTTGATTCTTTCTTAAGTCTTGTTGATTATATTTCAGGTATTAAAAACGAAGAAAAGCACCTTTGTACTTCAAGTACTCTTTACATTTCTATTACTTTTTTTATTATCATAATAAAAAACATTTTGTAAAATTTAAGATAGTATTAAAGGGATCCGATAAATTTGTCTCAGATTCTGAAACAAAATCCTTGATTTAGCATATGCTGCAATGATAATTATAAACCTTTAGGTCACTCAGGAACCCCATGACTTTTACAAGCCGATCGCCTGTCTGATTATCAAGATATTTATCATTGGAAATCGAAACAAAATTTTGCGTTTTCCTAACGGTTTTCATAACACTACGGTCTATTAGAGAAAACGAGTATGGTAAAACCGGTCACTCAAAGATTATTACTCTTTTTGAGGCAATTCTTGATCATTTAAAAGCGCAAATTTGTTTAGGTCCTCAATATTACACCATATTACAGACAATGATAACACGTAGGGCCGTGCACTCATCATAATGACATTGGAAGCATAATATGAAACATAGTATCTCTGGAAAGTTTATGTAATACACAGGGGCCCATCCGAGATTATCAGGAGGGGGGGGGGAGGGCTGTTCGAAAATGGCGCAGTCAACTATCTGGGTGGTAGTAGAAGTAGTAGTAGTATAGCAGTATTTTCAGTATAAAAAAAAACATGAAACATACAACAAACAAAGCAAAATATATACATAATACTACATGCGGATGGATAACCCTGCTTACATGATATCTATGTTTTTTTAGAGGGGTTCAAAGCGACGCATAGTACAAAACAGTGCAATATAATGCAACAAATTTAAACGATATTAAAGGAAAACAAAATGAGACAGGCAATAAAAGTGAACTCTACAAGCCATTCTTTGATGCAATTTTTTCCCGACTTAATTGAAAACAAAACAAAACTGCCCTTCCATGAACCTCACATCTAGGAGCTAGAAGTTTATTTATTTCTCTTTTTCTTCTTGCAGTGTTTGTGAGAGTTTTTTTTTTTTGTAAGTTAGGCTGTTTGGTTTTAAAACAATCTCAGCTCTATTATACATTAATTCATGCATATAAATTTGAAAGCTACACTAATCAGACTTTGATTTAATCGTTACGGTTTGTTTACTTCTACAAAGTCCAAAGCATTTACAAATCAGCCATTTGACTGCAATTACAAATGTTATGGATACAAATAATAAAAATACTATGACGTCGAGCGATTCTCGTTGGATGAAGTTGAGTTCCAGAGCCCGAGATCGAAGATGATCCCCACCGAATTTCAAGATGTGTTCGATGTAGTAGACAACTTTCTCCCGGACGGGAACTATTTCATCTTTCATTATCGCGGCAGCCTTCTTCGCATTAGCTGTATACCTGTGCATGATGGGGGTGGAAGAAAGGGGAAGGAGAGATGGAGGATGATGACTGGAGCCATAGCGAGACAATTTGATTTGAAGACTTTTGAAAAAAAAACTCAACTGAAGGTTTGATATTCCGAAGGTTTGTAATTCCGATTGTTCCTTACTCCGAAGGGTTGTAATTCCAACTGTTTGTCACTCCGAAGTTTTGTAATTTCGATTGTTCGTTACTCCGAAAGTTTGTAATTCCGATTGTTCGTTACTCTGAAGTTTTGTAATTCCGATTGTTCGTTACTCCGTAGGCTTGTAATTCCGATTGTTCTTTACTCCGAAGGCTTGTAATTCCGAAAATTAAATAGTGCTCATAATACCAAATTTGAAATAGGGTTCGTAATTCCGTGAATGATATAGAACCTTATGAATCTTGTGGTAATGAAATTATGAACCCCCTGCTTCGGGGAAATTTGCGTCTCGGGATTTTGAAACTTGCAGGCAACGCTGCCCGTGACAACATTGTCGCGGGCAGCGTTGCCTGCGAGTTCCAAGATTCCGGCAGTAAGGTACTCTAGGACGGCAGCCATGTAGACATCAAAATCCCGGAATTTGGAATTATGAACATTTAGAAAAAGAGTGCCTTGCAATTTCATTATACTTTCATAATTGTATCTTCTATCATGTTCGGCTTAAAGACATACGTCATTTTAGTGTTCGCCCATTTCAATGGGGATAGACAAGCTTATTGGTTTTCGACCGAAAGTCTCTGCTGTCGTGTTAATTATATTTATGTTTCTCTTCACTGACCAATGTTGCATACTTATGTCTATCACTATACAACAAATCCACTATTGCTGGCTTTAAGTTGATTGGGGAGGGGGGCGTGGCCGTGTCAAGTGGTATCAACTGGTAACTGTTGTTAGTTCAATCTATCCCTACACATTGGATATACAGTGCGTCCCAGAAAAAACTAAACCGAGAATCATCGATGTTTTATCGTAACTTAATCACAATTATAATTAATAAACGACACATGTTTAACAAGCTTAGAGACTCCTCTTTCATTTAATGTAACTCATATGATGCATATTTCACGCATGAGTGATTGACCGCAATTTGAAGAGAGGAAACCAAAAAGTCATTTGGCGGGCGGTATCTGAATTTCAAGGAGAAAATTACATTTCTAGAAATGACACCTCAATCAGGAAAAAAAGAGCTAGGAATAACAAAGTTCTGTTTATTTAAAGTAAAATATGTGTCATTTATTAATTATAATTGTGATTAAGTTATGATAAAACATCGATAGTTCTCGGTTTCGTTTTTTCTGGGAAGCACTGTACAGTAAAACATGTCTATAAAGACCACCCAAGGGAGACAAGAAAAGTGGTCGTTATAGGCAAGTGGTCTATATGTACAGGTTCCTTTAGTGCATGTTTCAATGAGAAACCATTTTCAAGTGAAACAAAAAAAAGGTCTTCGTAGACAGGCGGTCTTTCTATACACTGTATACAGGTAGTCACTAGGCAGGTTACTTTGACTGTATCATGATTGAATCGTTTTTTAGTATTATTGAATAAATCTCTTCACTGAATTTGAAAGGAGTAAAATATTTTGGCAGTTGGCTTCCTCCTCCTCTACAATACATCCTCTACACCTAGAGAAAATGTAATTCGGGATCTTCAAAAAGAAAGAAGAAGGTGAAAAATAATTTACTTGGGGTTATTCAGCATCTCATGAAGGGCCTCTCTAAAGCTCTCTTCTGTGAGGGTGTTCTTGTCGACCACGAGGCCCATCCCTTTGGCTTGCATACGGACAGCATTACCCATCTGATCACCGGCTAAAGGCATGACTAGGACCGGTACTCCATGGGTGACTATCTCATTGATACCGTTAGCACCACCGTGATAGATCATTAACTTCGTCTTGGGGTGACCTGAGGTTTTGTTGGGAAATGTATCAACATTTGCATAAATCAGTAGCTATTTATACGTTGCGATGAAATTATAAACACGATTTCTTTATGATTGGTTAGGTTCGATTTTCATTATCATTATTTGACACAGCCTCATATGTAATACATTTATATATATCATTCCTATCTAAAAGAAGTGACAATCACATGTGTCTATCGTATTCTTTATGTTTTCTGTAAGATCTATCTTTTTAGTCTCTCCTTTTCATTTTCATATCAGATAAATAAACAAATCAACAAACTAATTATATTGTATCATATTCGATTAATATGGCTGCTACGGATTTAAAAACACACACAACTTATTAAGAAATTAAATTAATTAAATTAATATACATTTATGTCTTTACCAAGTAGGTCATTCTGCGGTAGCCAATCGGAGACAAGCGTGTTGTTTCCAAGGGTACGTGGGCGTGTCCCCTTTAATCGCCATAGCACCCTCTGTGGTAGCTCGCTGAAAACTTTGGCCAACTTTTCATTGAGATCCTCATTCATCAACGATGAAACAACAGATCCCTGACAAACGATATGAAACACAATGCATTAAAAAAAAAACAAGAAAAATAAACAGACAAACAACCGTTAGGACAGAAACCTAAAGACAAAAAACAAACAAAAAACAACAATAACAACAAAGAAAAGGCTTCTGTGGCTGAGCTAAGAGCTATGAAGTATCATAATTTACTCTAAATTTAGGGGCACTGAATTAAGATTAATCTAACTAAAGCCATAATGGGCGATGGATCGGGGGGGGGGTAGGTAAGATCAGCCAAGTATAATACCTATCCATGCGCATGTCTTACGTTACAACAAATTAAATGTATCCCTGGTTATGTTTCGGTTTTTTTTCCAATTCTTCCTCCTAGATAACATGTGTTATTTGTGCCCTCTATATAAAGATTTGTTTAAAGAAAAATCCTAGACTTCACCCTTGATGGAGCAACTTGTCGTTATCGCCAACATACATGTTGACACATTTCATAAGGTGCGTGGATGGGGCGATTTAATAAGATTTCTCTTTAAAAACGATGACGCCTGCCCCATTCCCTAGTGGAATTACATATCCTTTTATTGTTAGGCTTGAATAGAATCAACCGGCTATCTTACCAGAGTAAACACAATGATGCCGTGATCTCCAGAGCCTTCGACAAAGTCGTTCATTTCCTGTAAAAAGAAAATACATTAACTTGGTTGAGTATTGATCATCTAAATTCACGCATGAACGGTATATGCCCCCATTGTAAAAATATATTTGACGAATTGCAAAATAGTTTGTCTGAGATTATACTACCCTTACAGCAAGAAATAAATATAAGGAGGCAATGAAGAAAGGAGATGGATTGCCCTGAACACGCTTTGAATTAATGAGATTCGGCACCTGAGCATGTCAATACATTTAAACATATTCCTACAGATAATCTGGTCTTAGATTCCAAATGAAATTCAAAATGACTGTGTCGTCGTCTATTGGATACGTCACCGGAATGTGGACCACATGGTTCGCGGTTAAATTAGAGCCCTGCTGAGCGGCACTGTCCTTTGGCAAGAGATTAATCTACATTTGCCACACTCCACCCAGGTGTAGTAAATGGGTGCCTGGTAGGAATTTATTCCTTGAATGCTTTTAGCGCCTTTTGGCAGCTGGGCTACATCCCGGGTAATAATACTAATTTGTAGGCACCTTGTGTTTCTCCTGGGATGAAAACGTGCGCGATATATACACAGTTATCGTTATTAATAATAGGCATTTCTATAGCGCCATCTATCTAGATAATTCTATTCCGAGGCCCATTTATTATTACCCTGGCTTTAGCCTAGCAGCCGTTTATTCAGCGCTCCAGCATTTTAAGGAATTAATTCTTCCCAGGTACCCATTTACATCACCTGGGTTGAGTGTGGCAAATGTAGATCAATGTCTTGCCAAAGGACATTAGTGCCGTGGCGGGACTAGAACCGCGGACCTTGCGATCGACAGTCCGGCGACGTATCCACTCGACCACGACACCTCTATTATTATTATTATTTTAACAGATATATGCTGTCTTGAGAATCGAGATATACTCTTTCAATGTCAAATACATTTCTTACGTTTTAGATGTATTTGCATGTATTTTTGGTGAATGATATAAAATCAAATAAATTCACATCAATCATATTGTATCTGGTTATACCTTTGGTAATGGTTTGGCTGGTTTAACGGTGATCCCGCCGATTGTGACGTAGTTTGGTGTAGTGGGTTGAGCGAACTCAAAAGCCCAGTGACCTTGAGACAACCAAAGTTGAGCTTTCCCAAGAAGCTGTTCAAGGGTCAGATCAGGTCTGATGTTATGTTCCTTTTGGATCCGACTGATACCCACACGGGTGAAGGATACAAAGAGTGGATCGATGACATAACGCACTAGAATATTGGCAGTCCTTTGGAAGAACGTCATCTGATCGGAGAAGGGGGTGAATGGGCTGAACGGTACGTAGGATGATGGAGCGGGGATGCCGAAGGTGTCTTCAGAAAATGTGGGCATCCTTCGAAGAGGAGTCGTCGCGATGAAAGGAACATTGAGGTACTCTGCAAGCAAGGCATCACATCCGAAGAGAGGCATTGTGATGATCAGATCAAATTTCTCTGCCTTAAGGCGATCAAGAGTCTCCTGGTCTTCGAAAAGTCGAAAACACCCCCCGGAGACCATCGGCATGATCTGCCTTACCCTGTCCACGATTTCCATAAAGGATTCTTGGCTGAAACCAAGAGCAATGGACTGAAGGCTTGAAGCTACCTCCTCCATCTCCTCCTTTGTCCGGTTGGTTTTAAAGAAGATCTTCCCAGTGACGGCTCCCTCAGTGAGGCCCTTAGTGACCTTAAACTGAGGGGTAACGAGTATGACTTCATGTCCACGTTCAACCAGGGGTTCCGTGATAGCAGAAAACAGAATATGCTGACTAACGCTGTTCAAGAACGACGTCATCGCAAGCATGATTTTCGCCCCCGAGGCAACCGGGAAAGCAGTGAGTCCGAAACACAGGATAGTCGCAAAGATTAGACCAGCTCTTGGAAGTCTCGCCATGTCTAATCAATCACCGTTTCTATCAATTTATTTAATCACGAAACATGTACATATGTGTTCCTCGTTATAAAGTCTGATCACAGGGTACACGGGGCTGAATGAATCTCAAACAATGTAGGCCTACTGCTTTTATTCAACACAGCGCGCTCAAATCCATACGAAGATAGGTCTGAGCAAATATCCTCCTTGCAGGGTCTGAGTAGTTGTCGGGCCTTTCCGCACGTTCCCAAGGCCAATGTGCAATACGAATCACTCGACACGTACGTCGTCTATTGATAAAAGTTCGATCTCAAGTTTACAGTTAGTATAGTATTAGCCTATTGTGAACTTCATTCGAGGTGACTAGACGAGTACCTTTGCATATCAGTAATATAGTCTTAATCTTTTCGTTCTATTTTTTATTATTATTAATACTAAGTTAATTACTTACTTTACTTTACTTAAATCCAGCGATGCTATTGGACCATGCCTGTTCATCGATCGTATAGATGTCTTATTCGGTGATTATACAATATCCTTGTCGTTTCAAATTAAATACGTGGGAATGGACAAAAAATGTGTGCATACTTGCAATATCAACTTTTACAGCTTTTCAGGCTCATAGATGAGACCATGGTTAATAGACCAGTATTTGTCGAGTCTATTCTTAACCCATTGCTACTGTATTAAGCCTATGGGAAATGAGAGAATTCAGTAGTCAAAGAGTTAAAACAGTTTACAGAAGTTGCTGGGATAAAATATTCCTCATATCAAGCCAAGAGTACTGTTTGTCTAGTTTCATTTGTGACCTCTTGACCTCATCTGTGCCAAAAAAAAAATTATGTTGTGTATCATATACTCCTGTTAAAGAGAAGGTTGAGTTCTGGGAAGAGGTGAAACATAATTTGTGCGCGTCATCATTCTTATTATGCAAGTGTGGAAGAACATCAAATAAGACATGTTCCCTGAAAAGCATGGCTCTTTATATTCTAAATATGTCATGTAACATCGTAAAACTCGGGGGTAGGATTTTTACGCCACGTGTTCGTGTAGTTCCATATACATATTTATGTGTACAGTGTTTGTAACTTTACGAAGACTTGGCCAAATTTCTTATCATTTTGATGATTCAGAACCTTGCAATACACACAAAGTCTTATATGCTAGAGGATCAACCTTTTCTGGTCGATTCCACACCGTTTCTTTCACAATGCAATCGCATGACCAGAACACAACTTCTTTAAATACTTAAATCATCAATCACATCACCTCTCCTTCGCCTATGAGCAAGAGTTGGTAGGCGTTCCCGATAAGACATATTTATAAATCCTGGAATTATTACCCTTAAAGACCTATCGATAGAAAGATTAGCGAAGAAATAAATGCTCAGCAGTTTTGAAAATGAATACACAATTAGGCCTACGCATTTTCTTACTTGGGTTTCGAAACGATGTTATACATCATGTAAAGCGGTTCTATATCGAAGACTTTTTATGTTTTGTTCAGTGTTCTGTCTTTCAGGCAAAAGTCATTAATTACGTGCTCTTTATAGAACTATCTTTTTACTGAGTCTTGGGTATCAAGACTACTTCCAGTTGATCTTAGTTTCCTTCCTGATAACGTGTGAGGACTAATCTATGAATACTAGACTCCACTCAAAACATTCATATCCAGTAAAATCATAACTGATTGCCTTGTAAACTCATCAAGGGCGGCTAAGAATTGTATTTTTAATGCGAGGGGCATAAGTCCGAAAGATAAATGTCTGACAGGGGGGGGGGGGGGGTGAGCGCTAATTTATTTATTTTTGCCCTCGGAAATTTGAAAAATCGACCCCCCCCCCTTGAGCGCCAGGGGGGGGGGAGGTCCATCTCCAAAAAAGGTAAAATTTACACTTTTTTCTCGGGGGGGGGGGCCGGGCCCAGCGCCGCCCCCCCCCCCCCCCCCCCTGGATCCGCCACTGGCATAACTTAGCAGCCATTTCCACCTTCATAATTAAAGAATTAGTAAGCAACCCAGGTCGTACAGACTTTTAAAAAATCAACTCACTGACAAGAGTATAAGCCTTTATTATGAGCATAATTCATTAGGTGATTTAGATGGCTATTGAAATTAACTAAGGTTGATTTTTCTAAAATCCGAGATTACCAATCGTGTTGGTAATGCACATTTGCCTTTCTATTACCGGTTACTATTTAGCTTTTATTACCAGTATATTACAAAAAGTAGTTTATGAAAAAGAAAAAGAAAAGAAATTCACATCATAATGATACCGGAGGCATAATGTCAAGTAAGAAAAGTATAGTCAGGGGCGGCGATCCTGGGGGGGGGGGGGGGGCAGGGGGGGGGGGGGGGCGGGAGGAAACGACCCCCCATCAATTTGTTTAGGGGGGACCTCCCCCCCCCCCCCGGAAAATTTGAAAACGTGCTCCCCAAAAAGGATATAGAAAATACTGACTAAAGACTGCAACACACTTTAAGGCTTTTGAGGGCCCAAGAATGCAGCGTTAAAGACCGTCACCACTCCTGGGCCAGAAGGGATTAGACCACACAGAGAGCCATCGAGGTCACTGTGACAGGTGGCTATCTCATTAACTCAGCTCTCATTTAACATAAGAAAAAGAGGATCATGGGGGACCAACAGGCACCGATTGGGCAAGTTTTCTATATAGAGGGAGCAAGTAGCTACAAGTATGGCAGTGTGCCTTTAAGACAAATACAAATGCAAAATAAAAACGCTCCCTCGCATAATTTCCTTCAAAATGTACAAGTAAATATTGTAGAAAATCTTTATTCTACCTTGATACCAACAGAAAACAGATTTTCCCTCGTATTTTGTCCCCACCCCCCGGCATGAAAAGAAATCGCCGCCCCTGAGTATAGTACATCTTGAAGTGTTGATTTTTGTTTTTAAGTGTTGCTTTAAACAGGGGCTCGGCAGTGATTGTCATGAGGTCGACGAACTTTTTGAGAAAAAAAAACTATCTCGGTGAATTTTACAAATCAATTGTTTTAACAATAACTCTTCTCGACACGAGTAATATATTTTAATGATAAAACGAATTACCGCCCTTCTATACAACTTACTTAAAATGGTTAGATAAGTAAGTAGGGGGAGGTGTCATATATATTGCGTTGATGTGGTGAAGATCAAACTTAAATTGGTCAGATAGGCAAACAGACAGTGTATTTATTATTCTCGCTATTAACGTGTGCAATCAAGTGAAGTTATATCTTTATTTTTTATTCATCAACACAATCCTGTTTTGGACAGGATCCCAAAGGAAAGAGTTAAGGACAATTTGGTTTGATAAGAATTTATTTTCTTCATTACAAAGATCACCAGAGCTAACTTGGCTCGTTACACATATTACGTCGAGCTCCATCAGCCCGACGTAGCTAGCAAGTGCTAGCGTGCTTTATTTGGAGCACAATTTATGTGAGAAAGATTCAGAAAAGTGGGTACAAAATGAAAAATGTTCATAAATCAATATTGGCGTTTGGGATTAAGCCTTCGCAGAATCGAATGGTGGCCGGGTAATAACGCAATCGAAATAACGTCTCGTGTGCAAGATTACATAAAATCTTCTACTCCAGTGAGTTATAACTCCCTTGTGGCGGTGCTTCCCTCCTATAAGCACGTACTTCGGTGCTGTTTTTTTTTTCATCTCTCTCTCTCTCTCTCTCTCTCTCTCTCTCTTTCTCACTCCTACCATGCATTCCTCTTCTTATTTCTCCCCCTCTTGCTCACATCCACCTTAGCTCTGTGTGTCTCTTCTTTTTCTCACTCCCATCTTCTCCCCCTACCTCCTCTCTATATCACCCCCCCCCCCTGTCTCTCCCTATCTCTCATTCCCTCCTCTCTAAGTCGCGCTCTCTCCCTCTCTCTCTCTCTCCCCGCTCTCCCTCCTATCTGTCTCACTGTCTGTCTTTCTCTCCCTAGTCTCCCCCCTCTCTCTCTCTCTCTCTCTCTTTCTCCCCTTTCCCTCTCCAATTTGTTAAACTGGCGGGAGCTGACTCCTACAATTGTATTAACACTTGATCTAGAGCCTCGAAACTTCCAGCTATACTGTAATCTCCTTTCTTTCCAGAATTATTTATTTAAGGAAACTTTTGAGGAAATAGCCTCAGGAAATGTAAGGAAATGGTCTAAAGGTCACTCCCAGTCAATAGAATTGGTTATGTCAAGACATGAAAGCTTGAATGAATGTCCGCATTCGACTCGATGAAAATCGTATTACACTTTTAGTCTTCTCCTCCTTTTATTTTTTTCAGTATGATATATTTGTCATTACTTTTTGTTTATTTTTAACTTGTCTTGTGCATGAGGTTACCGAAATCAAAGGTATTTTACAATATATAGTAACATAAATGATTCATATCGTACAATGCATAACATTTATACAAATAAAGGCAGTGGTTTGAAAATGTTTCAAATACCTTTTTTTACATGTTAAGTACATCATCATGTCACCTAATATCATCGAAAAGTTATCGGAAAAATCTCCAAAATATTCTCTGATTGCTTCATTCGTGTTCAAGATTCTAGCAGGTTAAAATCAAGAAGGTGATCTAAGTGAATGCGCTATTTTCTACCAAACATGAGAGCAAACGGGCTGACCCCAGTAGTTGTATGAGGGGTAGTGTTGTACATATATACCAAATGAGGCAATAATTCAGGCCATCTACGTCTATCACGTTGATCAAGAGACTTAATTAAACCAAAAAGGGTCCTATTAAAACGCTCGGCTTGACCATTACCCTGAGGGTGATATGGAGTGGTATGCGTCTTGGATATACCATAAAGCTTACATATTTCTTTGATCACATTACCCTCAAAATTACGTCCCTGATCACTATGGAGTCTATTACTCTTTTCACACTGGTTTTGCTTAACCCCGTACTTTGCTTAGCCCCGTACTATCCTTAACCCCAGACTATTTTTTTGGCTTTTCACACTCGCTGTTTTTAGTCCCGTACTAGCGCCTATTCCGGAATAAGAAAATTCCCGCTGTTCTCACTGCATTTCGTTAACCCCGGATATCGTGTATGTTATGATTGGACATACTTCGCATCTGGCCAGCTGCGATACGCTCCATTGCGTAGTACCGGACTATTTTTCGTTTCTGTTCTCATTCATTTGCTTAGCACCGCAATTGCGGGGTTAGCAGGAGTTAGCACCACAATTGCGGAGTTAGCCCTGCTATTTTGCAGGGTTAGTTAACCCCGTACTATAGGTGGGGTTAGCCAACTTTAGCCCACTTTGGTAAAAACCAGTCTGAACAGAAAGTGGAATAGGCTTAACCCCGTACTATAGGTGGGGCTAAGACCCCCCCCCCCCCCCTTAACCCCACCTATAGTACGGGGTTAAGCAAAATATTGCCAGTGTGAAAACAGGAATACCGTACTTAGTAAACCAGTGCTCTTGTAGAGCCTTAGCTACAGTAGAAGCATGCTGATCCTTGCATGGAATTGCTTGAGCTAACTTAGTATAAACATCTGTAATAACTAAAACATCTTCCAAACCACCTTTACCTTTATCTAACTTAACAAAATCTATTGCCACTATTTCAAGTGGGCTGAAAGCCAACAAATGCCTCATAGGCGTTCTGGACCGAGGTTGCATCTCTCTAGCCTTAGCACATTTCACACACTTCTTGGCATAAGAACCAACTTCAGTATTCATATTTGGCCAAAAGGCCCTAGATCTTATTAATTCATAGGTCTTATTTCTACCTTGATGTCCCCATTCATCATGACATCCTACCAACACATTCTTACGTAAACATTGAGGAAGTAAAACTTGGAATATCTCCCCAAATACAGGGTCTAGCACTCTTCTTACTAACAAACCATCTTTCAATGAAAGGCGAGACCAATGAGTCAACCATGATTTAACATTATCAGGTTCTGAAGGATGTTTGAAGTATTCATCACCGGGTGCCCAATTTTGGGACCACCGCTCCCATACAAACTTCAGTTCGGGGTCTTCTTTCTGCATTTGGATTAACTGATCTTTTGTGTAAGATGGAAATATGCCAGAAGAGCTAGGCTCTGCAAACGACTGTTGGTCAGGATTGTCACTATGCACACGTACAGGGGAACTACAAGTATTTAATTGTACTTTAACAGATGAGGATTGGACACAATTAGCAATAACATCTTTGATATCCTCTTCCGATACATCTGTAAATATGGGATATCGACTTAATGCATCTGCACAACGATTCTGAATACCAGACTTAAATTTAACATCAAAATTGAATGGGGCTAATTGCGCGACCCATCTCATCTCAGTGGCTCCTAACTTAGCAGTCCGAAGATGAGCCAAAGGGTTATTATCAGTAAATATTGTAAAGGAAGTCCCTAATAAATGATCCCTAAACTTATCAACAACTGCCCACTTAAGAGCCAACAATCCTAACTTAAAAGAACTATAGTCGGGGTATTGACTTCCTGCACCCCTTAATTGACGACTGGCATAAGCCACTGGGTGGGGCTTCCCATCCTCCCCTACTTGCATTAAGCGCCTAATCCCTTCAAGGAGGCATCTACTTCTAACAGAAAAGGTTTAGTAAAATCAGGATAGGAAAGTACTGGTGCTTCAATAAGCATTTGTTTTAGCAATTGAAATGCTTCATTTGCTTCTTCATTCCAAATTAAACTCTGAAATTTGGGTTTCTTACCCTTAACTAAAGGGGGAATTAACTTAAACAAAGGAGCTGCTATCTTCGCAAAATCATTTACGAATCTACGATGATATCCTGCTAATCCCAGGAATGAACGTAACTGTTCGCTACTGGTTGGCACAGGCCAGTCTCGGATCTTCGAGACCTTATCGCCATCTACTTCGATTCCTTTCGCACTAACAACATGTCCCAGGTAATTGACCTGATCCTGAAATAAATGACACTTTTTACCCTTAATCTTTAAACCAAAACTATGAAGCCGAGCAAATACCTTATCTAGGCGTTGTAGATGTTCCTCAAAATTGTTGAGTACACCAAAATATCATCTAAATAAATCAATAGTTCTGACAAATTCATATCACCTAGACAATTCTCTATTACCCTTTGAAAAGTAGCTGGAGCATTGTTCAACCCAAAGGGCATTCTCTTAAATTCAAACAATCCAAAGGGGACCCTAAAGATCGCAACAAAAATAGAAATTCTCGTCATATATACGTTCCCCTCCAAGTTACACACACGTACATGGCTGCCCAGCACTAAAACATCTACAATAACTTCATATACATCATATAAAGCCAACATGGCTTCCAAAATACAATATGTAAACACACATATCAAACTGGTAATCCAACTCACAAAAATACCCACTAGTTCAAACATACTTAGAAATATCACCCCCATGAATGACACCCTTTGCATATTAAAACAGCATGTCAATATTTTGCAAGTAAATGCACAACCTTAACGCAATAGTCAATTAAACAAACCCTCAAACTCCAAAATTTTCCTTTTTTTTCCTCCTCTCTTCATCCACATAATTAACCAATTATGTGGTCCTGCCTAAAGAGGCAATAACAAAATTAAAATTTTAATCCAAAAACCTATTATAAATTCCTAGAGTGTCCTATTCCTGCATGGTTAACAAAAACGCCCAAATTTCCCTACAGCAGACCTATGGAATATACAACCAATTTCAACACGCAATTTGGCAAAAATCACCATAACCATAAATGACCCCAATTACAAATCACCACAATTACAACCAAAATTGTTTCGACAAAAACTAGAAATCCGACGGAGCGTACGCCGATACAACTCTGTCCCCCGGGGAGTGAGGTGCACCCCATCAATGATAAGATGGGGTGCGTGTGGGAGCAAACGATGCTCCCACACCCACACAAAGTCCCGGTGGAAGGAACCATCCGACATAAGTCGGTTGAATTCCTCCACACAGGAGTTGAATTCCTTTAGAGACAGAGTCGAACCGGCCCATCTCCGAGTCCGTGGGAGCACAGGGAGGAGAAAGATCGCCGTGGGGAACAACCCCCGACGACCCAACTCATCCGTAACACTGCACAGAACGCTGCTCAGCAGCTACGATAAGTGACAACTCCCGAGCCCGCCGGCCCAGAGTCCGATGGAGCAGCTCCCGGGCGTCACCGGAGTGCAAATCCGGCGAAACGGTAAAACCTGTCAGGAATATCCCGTGGAAAAACGCGAAGACAAAGCTATGACCGAATAAGAACATGACTCATAAAATCAGGACGGGTGCCCAGCCCTAAAACAGTAAAAATTTGATAATTAAAATTATTAACTCTCCAATTTGATGTAAACGACTAATTACCGTGATAATAACCGTCAATATTACGGTCCCTTCAATAAAAATACGAAATATCCGACTGTACATAGAATATCTCAAAATTTGTAGATAATCAGCGCAAAACTGATTTTGGTAAATTAAAAGGGTTAGAATGTCTACCCTTAGTTTGTCTTTGCGACCTTCTTGGGATGGCACCATCCTGATTCCCTGGAACATTAACATTATCATCTCCGGCTCGCCCTGCTACATCCTCCCCTACTGGATCTATACCTACTTTATCAAAATTAGGAACCAACATATACTCTCCCATGTATTTATCTTGCTGTTTACGAGGACATACTTTATCATGTACATGTACATCAGTGAAATTAGGATCAAACCTAAAATTATCCTCATTTAACTCTACCGCCTCTGTGTCAGAGGGCACTTCTCTTAACAATTTACGATTAATCACCTTTACTTCACCTCCATTAATGGGTCGAACATGATAGACATCTTGGTGGTCATTATCCCAGATAACTAAATATAACTTATCCAAATAGACATCCTCTAACTTATGCCTCTTATCAAATGCACATCTCTTCAAAACTACAGTTGAACCAATACTTGGATTTGAAATATTATCTGAAATGTTTGCATCTACTCGAGCCTTATTGCGGGATGCTAATTTCTGGGTCCTCTCTTTGACTACTTCCTGAGCCCTACTAACTAAATCTACTTGATTTTGCACAAAGTTCTGTTCCCACTCAACATCATCCAAACCTAAAAGGTGATCTAAGGGAATGCGCTCTTTTCTACCAAACAAGAGAGCAAACGGGCTGACCCCATCCGTACTACCAATTGAAGCGATCCACGATGAGACGGCCCGGTGGCCAAAGCCGCCCCGCCTAGTACCGACTCAGAAAATGTTAAAGTATAACTTTAGTTCTTGAAGTGTAGAAAACGAAGATAAATCAAAGTCACTAAAACAAATTCTTGATTGGAGTTGAAGATTTATTAAAATAAACGTAGAATTAATAAAATCACGAAGTTCATGTTTTGGGGCTGGGCAACCCAATTGAAGCAAATTAGCAACTCATGTCGGTATCGTAACGGAAAAGAGGTCCCGCTCCAGAGACGCAACTCGGTTTTTATCCCCCCCCCCCCCCCCGAACTGACACGCCTCGTCCTCCCAAAAATTGAGGCGTGTCACACAGACGCTTTGCGTAATATCAATCCACCCATAATTAGTTTCCGTATTAAAAGGTCCTATATTTCTTGGCGAATTTACCCCCCGGATATAAGGCGCTCCGGATGATCCGCATCTCTATTCCTCACATACTTCTTTCACGCACCCACCTGTGTCTCTTACATTCTAATCTTTCAAACAAGAGATGCAAATCACCCGGAGACCCAACAACCCTGGAAATTAATTCAATGAATATAAAAAGGGATAAATGTTGCTATGTCCGTCCACACTAGCGAGCCCACATGCTTCTGGCTATTACACACCTGTAATCCTCACTTCCTCTCTCATACTATTTCGATAGTGTGAACAGACCCGGCAACAAGGAAAAACCCTTCCAATTGTAATACAAATCTATTTCCCAAATTTGCCTAATTAAATTTAAGTCAACTGTGGCGACACGCCGAGCGACACCTAATTCAATCGGCCAAGCCGAAAAAGTAGAGCAAAAATTAAGAGCGCAACGTCTCGGAACAGGTGTTAAAAATAGCATACAAGGAATTCACCATGTATGTTTGTAAAAATAGTTCTAGCGAAATCTACCAGGAATTTGCCTTGTACATGTACGTCAATGAACCTTTGAGGAAAACGTAAACACGAGAATATCCATATCATTACAAAAATAAAGGCAGTGGTTTGAAAATGTTTCAAATACCTTTTTTTACATGTTAAGTACATCATCATGTCACCTAATATCATCGAAAAATTATCGGAAAAATCTCCAAAATATTCTCTGATTGCTTCATTCGTGTTCAAGATTCTAGCAGGTTAAAATCAACTTTTATGACAATGGTAGCATAAGCTTCTTGTTTTATTTACTCTTAATGTTTTAGTAGAGGGCGTTGGAACACTATAAGAAGGTCTGCCGTACACCCATTCTCCCTACTCTCGCCGCTTCAGCCGTGTCAAACTATGCACTACAATGGTGGCTATAAGTTTGTTTATAATAGAGGGCGCTGGAACACCATGAGTAAGGTCTGCCGTATACCCAATCGCCCTTCTCTCGTTGATTCAGCCGTGTCCAGGATACACGCAAGCTCCCAACCACGGTGACCCATCTCGACAAGTAAAGGCGTCCAGGTGGTGGTTGTTTTCATACGGTTACAAGCCAACTGAAGAATGAAAATCAAAAACAAAAACGTGAGCAGTTTTACCTTTATCTTTTGGTGGTGATATTGTTATTGTTTGGGTGGCTCAAACATGTAGATCAATTTGTGCAGCGCTTTGTAACCATGGTAACTGCAAGGGAAAGGCGTTATTTCAAATGTGAAAAGTCAGCTGACGTCTCGACATCATTTAAATTGTGATAGTTATGGTTATTTTACCTGACAGCTAAGAAAGCAATAAATGCTTGTAAGTAAGCAACCAGAAAACCGACGGCTTAAGGTCCTCTCTGAGGGACCTGGTAATGAGGATTAATGCCTTACCAAAGGGCACTAGCGCATCGACTTGTTAAGACAATTTCGATATATCTCTGAAATATATGGTAGTGAGGATATTAAATCATACCTTATATACTATAATATCACGGAATGGATGAAACATAGTGCTTTCGTGAAAGCGTATTACGAGGGCATGCGTAAGAAATATAAGCATATCGATCAGTTTTTATAAACCAATCTGTATTAGCCATTCTCTACCCATATTACCCAAGTGTACTAACCGGGTGCGTCCTTTTTTCCCGTAACATAGCCATCCTAGAATGCATATTAATATTTGAATATATGAATATTTGCGTTGGTACGGTGAGGTGGAAATCAAATTCAAAATTAAAACGGCCAGATTCTGGACTAAATTAACCAGTATGTCGCAATGATTGTTGACAAGTTACGACCTGTGTAGTCACTCGTTTGTGGTAAGCCTCCCGATTTTGTCGCAATGTCACTTATTTAAAGTAAACTTAGCCTTGCATTTTTAATTTTTGTAACCGGGTACCCACATCTCTTCCTTGAAATTAACCAAAGTTAAACTAAATGGAAAAGGAATGAACCCTAATAAAATTGTAAGATCAACAGATCAGGGATCCGTTTCACAAAGCCTTTTTTTCAATGACAAATTACAAAAATCAGTGACAAATCTGCTGATAACCAATCAGAAGAAAGGATTTAAGTAGCTTATAACAGAAACTGTCATTTGTCACTGATGACAAGTTTTGTTAAACGCCCCCCCCCCCCCCCCAAGAAGGATCACCAACCTTCACGACATGTTTGTACTTGATGATAGTACATTCCCAGCGAGGTTGAAGATCATTGGCTGCCGTAGAGGGCTTCTCGAAGACCCACATGGTGTTAAACGTCAAGTTCCGAGCAGCGGGTCGAAATTCTGGAAAGGAGACCATGTCAAGTTTTTTTAAAATTGTAATTTGACGGAGTACATTTTTCAGATGATTATTTAATTGATATAAATCAGTGTTTTACATGATGTTGTTATTAATTTTCAAATTTTAACCCCCCCCCCCTCGAAAAAAAATTCTGCGTACGCCCGTACTCTATCCTATATGTAATAATTAAGTATGCACATCTCTCCTAATGACTTGCTCGTTTCTTTGGTTACAACTTATTTCCATCTAAACCATTTGCTTTCCTCATCTCTTCTTATCCTGCATTTTCCATACCCTCCAGTGGCGGATCCAGGGGATGCCCGGGGGGCCCGGCCCCCCCCCCCCCCCCCCTCTGATCTTACAATTTAATGTGTCCAAAGAAAGGTCAAGTCTTTGTTTCACAACCTTGGTCTTCAAGCACTGTTCAACTCTTAATACGAAGTCCTAAAATTTATCTTTACATTTTTCATTATAAGAATACACGCCCTCTAGTAAATATTATGTGATCACGATATTCATATTCGTTTAAGTAGGCATAAGTATTTTTTCATTGAAACTGTGCAATTATGCTGTAATTCCTATAGTATGGTGGATTCAATGAGGTGGCGATTTCTTTCCAAATTTTCAAGATCGTACAAAATTAATCAATTACACAAATTGTTAGCGACAGCCTTTGGGGGTAAACAATCTTATTTTTAGAAAAAAATCTCGTTAGCTTCTCTCCCTCTTCCCTTTTCTCTCATTTATCTTCCTTTTCACTGTTTTCGACATTTATTTTGATTAAGGGAGAGAGGGTACAGGTGCCCCGTCACAACTTACGGCCTTGAAGATGTGAGCTGAGGTAGTTAGTATCTACTATCTTCCACCCCTGCTGCAGGATTTCAATCAGATGTGGCGTCACATCGTTGGCTATTTCGTAGACTTGACGGCGAGACACGGGCATAGCCCCGACAGCCGAGTAAGATACAGGAATGATGACCGATTGATACATGAATGACCCGGAAGTAGATTGGTATGGCCGATGGAAAATGAGGTCCATCTGTAGAACTGCATGACGGTTAGAAAGAATTAGGAATAGTTCGTGCGAAATTCAATGTAGAATTATTTTTCCCAGGACGGGAGAGAGTGAACAATTACAAATCAACTATTGCATACATAATTTGTAATGACATTGTGAATCTTTAAAAACTTAGAGTGGGTAGGTTTATATAAAGTTTTCCAGTGAGACTCAAAGTAAAATGATAATCGTTGATTGTAAAAAGTGAGCTGAATAATTGGAACAAGGCTGCCTATGAGTGTAAGGAAAATTATAGATGATTATATATGTATACATACACATGGTTGAAAACTGAATTAAAATGATAATGGGGTTAATCTTGTCTATTATTCTGCAGGTAAATTGCGCTACAATCGCAACAGCATTGTTAAGCCACACAACAAGATCATTAAACATGGTTAAAAACGTAAGGGAACGAGGATAGATAAGAAGCAAAATCGAACGCTCCGGTCTAAACACGTAACAATAAAAGATAGGTTCAAAAAACATAATGTGAGATAGATAAATATGATAGTTTTATTTGGTTCACCAGACCTGTTTCTTTAACGTTGGTTGTTTTCTTCCTGTAACCACTTGGTTCAAAAGAGACAAGCTGAAAACCCTCCCGACCATTCTCCTCAATCTGAATGTAAAAACAATGAAAGGGATAAAATAAGAATCAGAGATGAATGTCCGAATGAATAAGTAAACTACTTTGTAGATTAGATGCTGTATTGTCTTCACCGAAACGTTCTCCTCGTGAATTGCACGTTTTTGTCTTTCATTCGGCAATGAAGTGCAACTTTTTAGATCTCAATATAGTTTTTAAAGTATACAAAACATAAAAAATATATGGAACAGTTGGAGATTGAGTGGATTTACAAGATGTCTTCAGAAGAGGAAGGAAGTCAAACACAGACATGGAGGATTCTCTGTGATTGTGAGGACACACATGTAAATTAATCAATTAAATATTTTTCTCTCTAATCAACATCATCATCATCATCAAAATCGTCGAAAGAAGAAAAAAGAAAAGAACAACAAGAAGGAAAAAGAAGAAGAAGAAGAGGAGAAGAGGACGACGAGAAGAAGACAATAAAAGAAGAAGAAGAAGGAGGAGGAGAAGGAAGAAGAGGACAACAACGACGATGAGGAGGAGAAGGAGAAGAATATCATGATGGTTAAGGGAATAAATATAAGACGATGATAACAATTATAAACATGAACGGGTAGGAGAAATAGATATAAAGAAAAATGTTAAAGACTTTTACCGTTGCTTCAAATTCCCTCAGGTGAGCGACCTCACTGGTGACTTGGACAACTTCTTGGTTTGTTGGCGAGACAGACTCGTTGAATTCTATGGCAGTCTGAACAATCTTTACTCGACCTATAGGAGCTACTGGACTATACATGCGCAGAGGCAGAGATTAGGGAAACAAAGAGAAAATAGTACTTTGATACGACCGGTGACGATTTGATAGTCCGTCACACCGGTTAGATCGGCATCAGACCGCCAACAGACAAAAAAAGAAAGGCAGAGGTTATACTGTAATACTTTCATCTAACACGGCCAAACAGACTTCAAACCCACTTTAAACTGACTCTTTGCCATTCGATCAGGTTAATGCAAATTGTTGTTCCGTTTCTTGTCATTCTGGGCCGTGTGGATAGGGGTATAGGGGTATAGTATCGTCAAGAATGGGTCGGTTTGGACCAGGAGCGGTTGTAGAAAAATGGGGCGGGGTAGGGGGTTCTTGCATTACTTTTCTACATGACTTGTGCCTTGGAGGGGGGGTGTGAGCCCCCAAGCAATCCTCTACCGGTTTGGAGTTGATTTATGAATTTGTAGAAGTGCTACTGACGCATCAAACATGCCATTGCTAATTCCATACCGCATCAGACGATGTGGAGAGCCTCTAAACAGATTTGTTAAATTCTTTTAGGTGATCCTCAGGCATTGGCTGGTGATAAATGTCATAATGTTTATGTTATATCATTTGTAAACCTTGTGATGTTTTATATGTTATCATCTTGCCTGGAAATAAAATAAATAAATAAATAGGCCTACCTGCCCACAGGACGAATAAAGGCTGCCTGTATAGGGATGTAGTACCGTCTCTCCCTGCCGTACTGAACCCGTAGCTTCTCAAAGGTTCCAGGGACAGTCTTCAGTCCGACAACACGAAACCCTTGGGTGTAAGGCCCCTCGAAGGCAGCGTAGTGCGGCACCAAGTCTGTCTTTAGGTAACGTCCTGTTATCACGGTAGTGGGGGAAAAGAGGCATTCAGCAGGAGCCTGTTCGTATCTACAGGATTGGTGGAGGGAAGGGAGGGGCTCGAGGAGGGGATGGGATGCCTTAAAACGCATATGATGGGAGTAGGTTTCGATACTTAAAGATAAAGTTGAGTTCTGGTCATGGGGTTGCATTGAGAAAGAAACGGTGCGGAATTGATCAGAAAAATTGTGATCATGTAGCATATAAGTATTAGTGTGTACTGCAAGGTTCTGGAGTCATCAAAATGATAAGAAATTTGGCCCACTCTTGGTAAAGTAACAAGCGCTGTACACGGAAAGATGTTTATGGGACTACACAAACATGTAGCATGAAAATTGGGCCTCATTTATAAGCTGTTACTTGACATATTCAGAATATGAAGGCATTTGAAGAGCCATGCTTTTCAGGAAACAGTTTTTCTCTGATGCAATGATAACGCTCACAAATTATTATTCACCTCTCCCCAGAACTCAACCTTCTCTTGACAAAAAATTAAGCTGCTACCTTGGAAGTTGTTAGCATCATTGGCATGGTAAGAGTCCTCCCTGTAATAAAGGCTTGAGGATGAGAGTGTTTTTATGCGAGTCTACATTCAACAGTCTCTAACATCAGTGGATATAACACGTACATGTATCAGCGGTAAGCCTACTCAGGAAATACAAAGAGGTGCTATTGAAAGTTTGAGTAACATTCACTGAAGATAGTGAAAGTTTTGGAACGATCGCGAAGTAGATCGAGATGAATTAAATTCAAACGAATTCGAATTGAGATTTTGGAGTGAGGACAAAAAAGTATGCAAGCTTCGGGGTGACTGAAGATGGAGGAAGAGAGAGAGAGAGAGGGGGAAGAGAAAGAGAGAGAGATAGCACTAAAGAGAGAGAAAGAGAGAGAGAGAGAGAGAGAGAGAGAGCTGGAGAAAGAGAAAGAGAGAAGGGGGTGGTTGTAGGACTCTTACCCATGAACATTGTTCCGATGACCTTCATATCGACAAAGGCATATTGCAAGACGGCGCCCTTGTATGGAATGACGTCATCAGGCAAGCTGGAGTGTTCTCCCAGCGTTGGTTCCTCGTCAGCTGAACAGCAGCAACCCATGGTCTTCAATATGTCTAACTCAGATTCTGCAGGGCGAAACAAGAAGCAACGATAGCCTTGTGAGTCACCTACTGAAATGTGTGAACGTGACAATGACATATTATGATTTCAATGGGACATACAATACTGCATCGAAATTGCTCTTTAATTTAGATTAAGAAAATAGTTGCGATTCTTTTGCTTATATATTTTTGTATTCACGATGATATCGTCATCGCCCTTCCTAGCAATGCTTTTTCTTTCTCGCGTAGCATACGTTAGCCCCCCCCCCCCCCCCTGCCCGGGGGGGGGGGGGTCACTCTCATACACAAATGCTATCAACCCGTGTCTGCCAACCTCTGAAATGGATCTTAATGGCGTATGTATCGCGTAGCGCACCTCTTCTGAAAATGTACCTTTTTTTAGGGGGGGGGGGTTGTTGTGCGATCAGTGCTTGAAAACACCCCGTTTTCGACGCCGTATAACTGAAAAAGACAGCCTTTCGACGCTTTCCCTGGATGCGGGTGCATAGCCAGTCCAGTTGGGAGTGCCCCCCCCCCCCTCCCCTTGACGTTAGCCAACATCATTCTACAAAGAAAATATTACAGTTCTATTCGACAGTAATCAAAGTGACCTAGATCTGAAAGTGCTCACTCATATCTTTAGGCGATGAGAAGTAATCGAAAAATGGTTATTTTCTTTTGCTAGATATAGCTTTTTAAAATTATTGATTTTGATAAAGCAGAGAATGCCCTGAATACTACTGAGTTTGGTACAAAATGTAATGAATTAAGTTGACATTATCTTCCATATTCTGGGAAACTGTTTTTGATTGGTCTAGCTAAAAGAATTAACATTGCTTTTATTTGATAAAAAGTAGGATACCTTCAAATGAAAATGGTGCACTTTATAGACACGTAACAATTTATAGGGCAATTGGTGAAAACGAGGCCGACTCGAGAGGAGGAATAACATCCCGACCCAGATTTGTTATTTTCTAGAAAAATGAAACAACATTATCAAGTGTAATTTTTGATTGTGTTGACGTTTAAACTAACCTTCTATCATGTAAAGTAATAACAATTTCAATAGAACGCGGTGTGTGATTGATATTTGCCTATGTACAGTTGTGTAAGCTTCGACTGTGTCCTTGATTGGCGAAGAGACGTCAGCTTGGTATCATTCTTGATTGAATATTTGTTATATATTCCTATGGATGATAGTGTACAATGAAGGAACCTTGTCATGCTTTTCGAAGGGCAAAAAATTGCTTGCGTGCATGAGTTTGCAGTTTGAAGTTTTGAAGTTTTATTTATCCCACATTTTACATAGAAAAACAGTTTATATTCTTTTCTTTTTTATACAGGCGTATATTATTATAAGGATAGATTTCACACAAGAAAAACAAAATTAAAAAATAGAGATTTAAAATATAATGTACGGAAAATAAGTACGAAATTTCGAAATATGTATATATATATATATATATAACAGGCTGGGTAGAACAATGTAAAATGAGTTTGAAAGATTTGAAGCCTTTTAAGGCTAATTGCTAAATGCCGAAGACATTATTGTACTTGTTGTTTTCTTCTTTTTATTCTGTCAAAACAGCCACGGTGCAGCCTAGTTAGATTATTTCATCTAACGAGAAATGATTTATAGGCCAAACCGTCTTGGCAGAAGAAAAACACAGATTAAAACATTCTAGGTCCTGAATTCCACTACTTATTATTTGTAGCTAATCACTTTCTATCATATCTCAATTCATTTAATCTATACGCATAGCAAGTCATTTTCTCAGAGATATACTTCCATCTGTTTTCTTCAAGATGTATTCTCTGGTAGAATAAAACTAGCATTTTCATTAAAAATAAATGTTTAAAGCCCCTATCAGGGATTTGCGAGCCCTCAAAAACTTATCCTAAGATGTATCAGTATAGCAGCAAAATAGGTTTATGAGAATATACGTGTGCTAAATTTCAGATAAAAGCCCCTGTGGTTTCCTTGAGTGAAAATTACAGCACTCGACAAAAGACAAAAAAAAACACTGCCAGTTGCAAAATATGAATAGAAAATTTGCTGTACTTTTGCTTATAATAAATATAATTTTGCCACCACACTTTGAAGAAAGTTTTTCAATAATGATTTTTTTACAACATTTCGGCCCTTTTACAGTTTTTGTTTAGATTTTCACAGCGCAAAAACCTTGCAACGCCCTCGCAAACTGAGAACCATATTTCTGATTGACATTTTTTTTAACCGCACAATCAATAATTCGTCAGGGCAGGTAACTATACTGCGCAGCGTACACAACAAACATACAAAGAGAAGAGAGATAATACGCTATTATACGCATTATGCCATCCACTAAGATAACGTTGTATATAGTATATATACCGTACGAAATACACGTTTTAGCACTGTGCAGATATTCATGAAATTTCACACACGTACCATACATAGAGTTCACAACAAATATGATTTACAATCCACTTACGATATCAACATGCAGCTCTCCAGTGACATATAGCACGGATCAATTAATATGCCACAAACGTTCTCAATATGGCGTCGTTAGGTGTTTCTCACGCCCAAGAAATGCAACGACTTAAAACTGTCTCCGTTGATTATTATGCAGATATGGCATCAGTCTACCTCAGCTTAGAAATTATTCTCATGCGTGAACATTCGGAAAAAAGATCACATTTAAGTCTTCCTCCTACGTTAGCCTAAATGTCGATCACAATTCTATATATACTGAAGTAAGAATTTTCCGCTTTGTTCAAATTGCCAGCGCGGGCACGCTTCATTGAGTTGGGTAAATGTGTCTGAATTGTGACCTAGTTTCACAATCTTGCTATTTTGATTTTCTTTAAATTTCAAGTTTTTAAATGGAATTCCTTATCACTTCCCATTTAAATGATGATGATGGTAATAACGAAGTAATGATGATGATAACAATATTAACAATAATAATGTGATAATGGTAATAATGTGATAATAGTAATACAAGTAATAATAATGATAATAAACATGTATTATTATTATCATAATAACAATAAACCTTATGATAATGATAGTAAAATAACAAAAACAACAACAACAATAATAATAATAATAACAACAACAACAACAATAAAATTAAATTAGGTCCTATACTGTGGCACATTGTTCATGAAGATGCGCATTGCAGTGGTGTAGTTATATTGGTATATGTTGGGTAAGTACGCCCCCTCCCCAATCCATGGAACGAAGAAAGAGGGAGAGAGTGAGATGGGGAGGTAGTGAGAGAGAGAGAGAGAGAGGGAGAGAGAGAGTGTGAGAGAGAGAGGGGGAGGGGGAGAGAGAGGGGGAGAGAGAGAGAGAGAATGAGAGAGGTAGGGAGAGTGTCAGTGTCAGAGACAGAGACAGACATACAAAGAGGGAGAGTGAAAACGGGAAATGGAAAAGGAAAGAGAAAATAAGATAATATAAGACCCCACCTCTTTGAACACCCTCCCCAGATGGCCATGTTCATTCACATTCCAGTAAGACAGACACCTCCTTACCGGTGATACCGACACCCCTTCCCCATTTGTGAGCCCGGTCAACACCACCCCCCCCCCCCCCCCTCCCTCCTTCAACGGCATCTATCAAGTCGACGCACCTGCACTGATATATACACCTCTCCCCCTCCATGTTCCCATGCCATTATCTACGGATCATATGTCGGTATAAAGGTGTAGCACAGCTAGGCACTGTTAGTCTGCAAGCAGAGACTTCGATTTGACACTTTATCACAATTCCTATAGCCTTGAGCAGAGCCTAAATGATTATGGAATTCTCTGGCTGTGTTAAATGTCTGGAGCGGCTTAAGTACAGGACCGATGCAGTACGCTTTTAGCATAGTCTCAAAGTGCAGACTCTGTTACACAAAACGAAAGACAATGGTTTTTGCCTGCAGACTATGGGTAGAGCATGCTCTTGTATCAGTTTTGCGATCCTCGAGGACGATATGGCGATGTTTAAAAATGAAGAAGATGAAAAAAGGACAAGCCCCGTTTCAGATCATAAAGTGAATTTCCTTTCAGGAATGTATCGAATTTCCACTTTTCTATTTAACATTTCATTTGCCATCGGTACCGGTAGGCACAATCACACGTTTGCCACACGTGCATATTGGCACAAGACAATTGGCATCAAAATGATGGAAGGATTGCATCGTGCAACATATAACGGCTTTTTAAAATTGCCAATTTCTGGTTTTGATTAGTTTAATGCAAAGTGTTTTGAGACCTGTAGGATTATAGTACATCCATCCCATGATTAATTTGGCACAATATTATGTGTGTGTAATGTGAAGAGTTAAAGGGACTTGGTAACATTGTTCAGATGAGAGAAAAAGGTTTTGGGGCACCTACCCCCTGGACATCCACCCCCGGATAACCACCCCCAGTTAACTACCCCCAGACCACCACCCCTACGACAACCATCCTCTGGGACAACTACCCCCGGACAACAACCGCCGGACAGCAAGACATTAAAGTCAATGATATCATACATATTTCCTTTTATATTTTTAGTGTCAAATGTATAAATTCGATGCCTATTTTCTTTGGTAGGCCGTATATTTTCTTCGGTATTGAACTTTCTTTAATACGGATGGAGCACGAAAATAACAAAAGTCATAGTGTATTTGATTGTCCGTTTTCCCCTTTTAACCCCATACCCTAAGAGCTAGGCTCATTGAGTTTCAGTAAACTAATCCAAATCCTCGAGTCTTTTTATTCAGTTTCAACTGCAGAACTCGATTATATGCGTTTTATGATATCCCTAACTGAAATAGTTCTCTATATTAGGTCAATTCCAAACGTTATTATGGAATTACATTTCCAGAGAACTTTCAATTTTTAAAAAAAGAGAGATTATTAAAGACATTGTAATAAAGATCTTGAAATCGATGATATTAGGAGGCGCGATAGCTTAGTCGGTAGAGCAGTGGTCTCGTTATCCGGTGACCCGGGTTCGAAACCAAGCCGATGCGCTAGTGTCCTTTGGTAGGGCATTACTCCTCATTACCAAGTCCCACGGAGAGGACCTAAAGCCGTCGGCCGTCTGGTTGCTTAATTACAAGCATTTATGCTTTCTTAACAGTCAGGTAAAATATCCATCACATTGATAGTATATGAAATCTAATATGAGGTACTTTTACAACAGTTTTGTCTCCTATTAACCATTCATCAAATTAATGAAATACTAAATTACAAACAGGTTGTTACGGAATTAGCAAAAATGACCTTCTTTATTAGTCCATAACAAACCTAGATGTAAAATTCAATATTTCATAAATTTGAAGAGTGATTGGCTGGAAACTCAAATATTATAAAATAACCTCATTTTAGGTTATCAAGAGTTTGTAGACTTTCCTTTAAAGTCTATAATTTCTTGTACTCAAAAGTGATTCCTTTAACGCTTGCATGTGGCCTTATGTTGAAGTTTTCTGACTGTGCCAAAGAAGTACGTGCCTTAAAGTCTGTCGCACCTATTCTTTCCAATTTTCCGCAAATATACGATGATCATTTTTTCTACCTTCTTTTTTTCGTAATTGTTTTCCATTTTGAGTTATTTATGACAGCTCATTTGGGGCCGTGTTGAAGAGAACATTTGCAAAACTCCTGGTTGACACGACAATTTATTTGCCTCAAAGGTTTTAGAAAATAAACATGTATTTTTTTATTCCCAATGAACTTTCCACCTTTGCTTTTTCAGATACTAGGGCGAAAAGCAAGACTGTGTTCGTGAGCGATTCGTGTCATCTTCTTCTTAATTCTCTTTCCCTTCCTCCCTCTTCCCTCTCTCTATCTCACCCCTTCTCTTTCCCTCTCTCTCTCTCTCTCTCTCTCTCTCTCTCTCTCTCTCTCTCTCTCTCTATCTCTCTCTCTCTCTCTCTATGTCATAATCTATGTGTACCTGCCTAAAGCATTCAGTACATGCTCGAATGCGTGTTTATTTTATTTTACACAAAGCCTGATTAATGAAATTTCATTTCAAGTTTGTTATTTAAATGTTTAATATGTTGGGTGCATATATGCTTTAGCATGAATATTATCTAAATATCACTCTCTGTATTTTACATTCACCTTTTTCTATCTCCTATATTAACCAATTTACATCATGCCTCATTTGTCACCTTCTCTGTATATCTTGCTACGTCATCATAAGTAATATACTATGTTTTATGATAATTATAAGGGTCAGCTAATCACATAAGGCTCGTTAATATTTGTATTTATAATTGCATTTTTAATTGCCCTGTGCCTTTCATATATTATAAAATATGTGTAATTCCTTATGATGTTGATGTTCTGCTGAATGTTTTTAATTTCACTGTATGCATGAAAAGTAAACAAAATTCCGTTATATTATGGATACTAAATACATTAAATTCAATTCAATTTAATTCAATTCAATTCGCCCTTGCGTTATAGCCTTTTATGCATGTAAAACAAATCCGATATATAGACAATAAATGTATCCAGTCTAGATGAAGTAAACTAAATTAATTTTTTTTTCGCCCCTGTTTTTTCCTTTTATGCATGTAAATAAAACAAATTTCCGTTATATGGGCGATAATAGTATTGCATTCAATTCAATTCGCCTCTCTGCCCGCTATATTTACGCCAGTGTTGTGTGGACAATAAATACATTCAATTCAATTAAATTAAATTCAATTCCATTGGAATTTTGTTCGTCCCTGTTTTTTTTTATAATTTCTCCTCATATGCGCGTAAACAAAACAATTTTTTGTGAAATGGAAAATGAATACATTCATTTCAATTCAATGCATTTTTGCCCCTCTGCCCGCTGTACCTACTCCAGTGTTGTGTCAAGAAGGGATTACTAACGTTTCTCATGATACCTGAGTCAAGCTGAATAATATTGACATAGATGCTCAACTTTTGTCATCTCCTCGTTAGCCAGACACCAAAGTAAAGACAACGCTAAAGGCTGTCGAATCTTCATGTCACGCACACCGCAGTGAAAGTATAGATGCAGGGGTCGGCGGCCGGAAGTAAAGTGAAAATCAATGTACGAGCGTCGCCCCCCCCCCCCTCCTCTCACACTCCATGGCATTTTCACCCAGAATATGACACGCCAAGCTTTTTAGACTCGCTCAATGGGGGAATGAGAGAGAGAGAGAGAGAGAGAGAGAGAGAAGAGGGCCGGGTGATGGGGTTGCATGGCCTATAGGAGATTATTTGTTTAAGATATTTTCTTCCGTAGAGGTGGAGTATCCAAAGGGCAGGAACGCCCGTCCCCCTTTGAAAGAAACTGTCGAAGAAATTAATCTCTTAAATGTTGCAGCCCGCACAACAAGATAGAAATCTCTCACTGACAAACTCCTCACTTATTAATGCAGATATGTACCCCAAAATAGACTTAAATGTTTAAAAACAAAAAAAAACAGGGATTTTGAAATGACGTCAAAATGGCAAATAGAATTCAAACGTAGACCAAAATAAAATAGCAACAATTCTTGAAAAGTTTGAAGAGTATTTCGAAGAGTTACGGTGAGTCATGTATGAAAGGGAGATAAGAAAGAGAAAAAATATATAAATGCTTTGTTGTTGAAGGATAATGATCATACGTACGCTCACCTACATTATATACCAAAAACAAACAAGAACATAAATCTTAATAATTTGTGAAGTCACATGGGGACATAAAACTGATTAACTTGTATAGCAATGAGAAAGACGTGTGTTAGCATC